CCGGCCCACATATTGCTCGTGTTACAGACGTGTTGAACCACAAGCCCATCGCGCTAATAACAGCCCACATATCATTAAGCCTATTTTCGCCTTTTTCGCGACACGCTTTGTCGAAATCAAGAAGCTGGTTCTCGATAATCTCCTGCAGACCGTATCCATGCCAATCATGGGAAAGATGCATATTGAATCGATCAGGATCACAGTACTTGGCCTTGCAACACAGTAAGTCATACTTCAAGAATGCACTTGACATGATGATCCACTTGTGATCAGGGTGCTTTGCCGCTGGAGCTCTCCAGATGCCAGCTTCCTCTTCCTTGTTGAAGATTGGAATCAACAACTTCTCAGCCATTTCTTCCTTGTCTAGACGCTCGCCCTTTCCTTCCTTCCACTGGCGCCAGTTCTCGCCATCGACGTCGAAAAAGGGGCGGTTGATGCAGATGTTGTCGTAGGGCGCTGGATCAGCCAGTTCCGTACCCTGCAAGCACAGATTAGGTTCAGGCCTCATGGCACTTGGAGCAGACAGTAGTAGCAAGGTTATCTTTCCGGACTTTTCTGTCTGCGCTCTCTGAGCTTGATCTGGGATTGCGGGCGCAGACGGCACATTGCTGGATGTTCCGGCGAGGGCGTCATTGGCCTTATTTGGCTTCTGTCGCTTGGCTGGAGGCAAAATTGTCACACAGGACTGACACACACTTTGATGGCTGCTCAATGGAGGTTCAGATTATTCTAGAGGGTGATCTGGGATTGCTGGTGTTGTTGTTCTGCCGGGCTATGGCATCAGCGTGAGTTGCCTCAGCCCCTGAAGGCGACTTACGCGTAACGTAGATCAGTAGGGTGCGTGTTGTGTTAGCTATACGTACTTTCGTGTTAAATTCGCATTGTCTACACATTGATTAATTGATTAGTGTCTGTATCTTTACCGAAAAAAAAAGCAAAAGATAAGAGCACGATAGACTAAAAGGTGCGGGTAGGTAGCTAGAGTCACGTTATATGTCATTCACGCTTCCAAGTGAACTTTCTGCCTCAAGTCTTTTATAACACGCAGCAACAAAGTTTTGTATTGCTCTCCTCGCATGTTTGAGCAAAAAAAGCTGTGTCTCGTACGAGATTCGAACTCGTGGCCTTGGGATGTCTACTCCAGGAGTAGTCATATATGACGATATGAGACCCACGTGATAACCAACTACACCAACGGGACATTGCGAATAAATCTTCGCGTTGGAGATTATGCAAATTTGGATCTTAGTAAACTTATATACTTGAAGCGTGCGTCGGCTGTAGTTCTCCGACCTCGGCACTTCCTATCGATAAGACAGTGAAATTCTTAGAGTCATCTTTGGTAGCGTCGTCACGGCAAATGGCTCCAGGCAGCTCGTGTAACTGCTTTTTCCACTTTTTTCTTCTGTCCTCATAAAATGGCACTGCGGTTTTCCTCCAAGCGGGCGTTCACTGTGTTGCGTGCTGCCCGTCTCAGTAGCCTTCACGTTCGCCATGCATCAGCCGCATCCGCCGCACTGAAAGGCTCAAGTCTGCCACAAGACATGCTAGACTCGATAGCCGTGAGCAACATTGCCTTCAATTGTGATTCAAAAACCAAATCTAATTGTTCGGCAGCGTGATGCGACACTCCCAACTCCCGATCCTCCCTCGAGTTCCAAGACAGCAGGTCTTGTCAATCAACAACTCCCATACATGGTTCCAACCTACGTTCGACCGCCTCCGATGTTTGAGAAGGGAGAGGGCTGTTATATGTGGGATATTGAGAACCGAAAGTACCTCGACTTCACAGCTGGAATTGCGGTCAACGCGTTGGGACACTGCGATGCCGGCGTTGCACAGGTCCTTGCTGAGCAGGTATACCATGGCATGCGTGCAGGCCCTGCCGTTCATGGCTGAACAAATCCTAGGCCAAGCAACTCATGCACACATCGAACCTATACCACAACCCACACACTGGTCTTCTCTCGAAGCAGCTGATCCAACTCACACACGCGACCGGCGGATTTGAAAGCGCAACCCGTACCTTCATATGTAATAGCGGCTCCGAGGCCAATGAGGCCGCCATCAAATTTGCGCGCAAGGTGGGAAAGTCTATATCCCCTGACACGGATAAACATGAGTTTGTCTCGTTCCATAACTCTTTCCATGGCCGCACCATGGGAAGTTTGAGCGCAACGCCAAATCCCAAATATCAGACACCGTTCTCACCAATGGTACCGGGCTTCAAATACGGTACATTCAACAACATTGAGGCAGTCAGAGACTTGGTCACGGAGTCAACATGCGGCGTCATCGTCGAGCCGATACAGGGCGAGGGCGGCGTCAACGTCGCGACACCTGAATTTCTTCTTGCGCTCCGAAAACGCTGCACAGAAGTTGGCGCCGTGTTAGTCTTCGACGAGATCCAGTGTGGTCTAGGAAGGACAGGCCAATTCTGGGCACATGCAGGCTATCCCCGCGACTGCCATCCAGACATCGTGACTACTGCTAAAGCCCTTGGCAATGGTTTCCCAATCGGCGCCACTATTGTCAATGACTTCGTCTGCAACCATATCAAGACTGGTGATCATGGAACTACCTTTGGTGGTAATCCACTCGGATCACGCGTAGCTTCATACATCCTCTCCCGACTATCATCACCTGAGATTTTAGACTCGATTCCAGCAAAAGAGCAAATGTTCCGTAAGCATTTCGAAGTGCTAAAGATAAAGTATCCACAAGAGATTAAAGAAGTTCGAGGTAAAGGTCTCATACTAGGACTACAGCTGGATGTTGATCCTACACCAATCGTTACAGCTGCGCGCGAAAGAGGGTTGCTAATTATTACCTGTGGCACCAACACCTTACGGTTCGTTCCTCCGTTGGTGATCACAGAATCTGAGATTGATGAGGGTATGACGATTCTTGGACAGGCAATGGAGAGTGTATGGGTTAAAGGCCAAGATGTGGAAGGTACAGATGGACAGCAAGAGATGAGATAGTGCGCAATATTTGAGCATGGCGTTTTGCGGAATTTAGAATATTTGAAGCCAAAATCACAAAGGAGATCAACCGTCAATGCCTCATATTAGTCATATGCAGATATGTTGGTGAGACAACACTATCAGGCGTGTCGCAAGTGCCCAAAACCTCATTGGAATGCGTTAGCGCGAAACTACCACCGTAGTGTGGCACTGCAACCTCACTATGACTTTGGCCCGGTCAGTGACATTCATCATACATCTAAATCAGAAAAAACCAAGACATTCAGAAAAAAGCTGAGACATGGCCGTTTCCATTGACGATTCTATATTGCTATAGCTCGGGGCATGGTACGGGGTCGCGTTCCGGTGAGTGTGTTTGTCGCATGTAGGGCTACCGGTACCCCAACGACGCCACTTCGAGATTGTTCCACGACGATAGCCCGGTCAACTGTATATCGTAATAAGAGTGAGGAATCATATAAATCGGTGCTCTTGATGGGCAGTACACCGGTTTCTCTGCTTTGCCAAGATGGATCCGATTCATACCCCGTCAACACAGAGTGCAGGGTCGGAGCAAGACAATCTTCAGCGATACATTGCCATCGGCTGTCTTCACTTCAGTCGTAAATTACCTTCGTCCTCTACTTCCATTAGCAAAGAAAACTGGCAGGAGCTGTTGCACTCGGACCTTTCACCGGAAGCGCAACTAGTCATTGGGGACGAAGCTGAGCGGCTCTTGAACGGACACTGGATCCGACTATTCGTTCGACAAAATGAACCTGGCAGTCATGGCAGCATATTACGCATCTATTTGCTACCAGAAGACTGGCGTCATCGACCTATTGATCGTAACTGTAGAAGTTTGAAGACGGCTTTACGGCAGCTACTCCAGCAAGTGGACACATCCGAACAGTGCTGGAACGGCTATCCCTCAGCGTCTGCAGTATCACGCTTCGACTTATGGGCTAACGCCGAACCTCATTCTCTCTATTATCTATTCAATAAGCTGCCATCAGCAAACCCAGTGCCAGAAAATGTCAAGAATCGATATGCTCGCGCAGCAATACACGACTTGTTGAAATCTTCGGCAGATTCGCCTTGGGAGATGCACGGGGAACAACCCCTTCCTGGACTTAAAACAAGACTATTCCCCTATCAAGCGCGATCTGCAAGTCTGATGGTGCAACGAGAGACCTCACCTCAACTCCAACTCGACCCGAGATTAGAAATTCGGTCGTCTCCAGACGGACAAAAGTTTTACTATGGCGCTCGAGATGGATCCTTCCTGCAAGCACCTAAGTATTATGAGACAACCCGAGGTGGTATTCTCGCAGAGACCATGGGCCTGGGCAAAACCATCATCTGCCTGGCGGTCATCCTGGCCACGAAAGGTCACCATCCGCAGATACCAGCTGCCTACCATCCTCTTAACCCTATTCGCGGCAGCGTTGGCACTTTATTAGACATGACGGCTTCTACTGCGAGACGATTCTCCATACCAGTGAACGCTTACTTAGATCAATCTGAGGCAAATGGAATTGGAATCTCGCCTGGCTTGAGGGATGCACTGGAACGCAACCTTCCGACGTATGAAATACCGAGCGAGCCACAAAGAAGAAACCGGAATACCGTTTTACCTCCGCGTCAACTAGCGACTTGCTCTGGGACAATCATCGTTGTACCGCGCAACCTGTTGCACCAGTGGCAAGCAGAAATCCGAAAGCATGTGCTTGAAGGTGGCCTACGGGTTCTCGTCGTCGACACAGCACCCAGAGGCCGCAGCAAAAGCAAGAGACCCACCAAATACGACGGTGACATAGACCTTGACAGTGAACTGCCTATCCCCTCTGAGCTTTTGAAGTACGACATCATACTCTTTAGTCGCAATCGGTTTGAGCAGGAGATACAAGATGGAGCAGATGACAGAGACCGACGGGCTCCTGACGCTGCCTGTCAGCCATGCTCTTGCTCATATATTGGCACCACCCATATTCGCAACTGCAATTTTTTGAATGACCACAGGGTGTATGAATCGCCTTTGAAGAAACTGCATTGGCTACGGATCATCGTGGATGAAGGCCACAATTTCTCTAGCTCTGTCACCAATGCAGTAGTAGTTGCGAAGCAAATCCCAGCGGAAAGGCGTTGGGTTGTGTCTGGAAGTAGGTTTTACGATGATCGCCGATGTCTCTTATGCTGACTTGCATAGCACCAGCAAGAAATTTGGTAGGTGTAGAGGTGGAATCATCAGCTCCAGACACCGAAATTGATAGTCTTACCTCGCTGCGAGCATCGGTCATCGAGCGAAGGAAGGCTTTCGTATACGACGATGAAACAAGCAAGGCCACAAAAGCACTAGGTTCGTTAGCATCCCACTTCCTCACAGTACGACCTTGGAGCGACAGCAAGGACTGGGACGAATATGTGTACAGACATGAGCACCACCAGCGGAAGACTTACACCAGTTTCTCCTCATGTTTCGTCCGCACGCTGGAGAATCTTGTGATCAAGACACGGCCAGAAGATGTTGAGCAAAACATCGTTCTTCCCCCGATACGGCACCAGGTTGTGTACCTCAAACCGTGCTGGTTCGATAAGATGACTGCCAACTTATTTATCCAAGTTCTCCGGGCAAACGCAATCACCAGTGAGCGAACTGATGTGGATTTCCTTTTCCACAAAAACAGTACGAAAGCTCGGCAAAGTTTGATGAGAAATCTCCGTCAGTCAAACTTTACTTGGACGGGTTTCAGCCTGGCGGATGTCATTGCGACTGTGGAGACAAGCGAAAAGTACCTCGAAAAAGAAAATAAGAAGTGTTCGAGAGAAGACGAGATTTCAATGAGGGAGAGTTGTAGGATTGTGTCAAGACTCAAACATTCAGAGGCATGGAAGGCTCTTAGTCAAGCACATGAGGTGGGGTTGGCCATAGAAAGCTGGCCTGAAGAGTCAGAAGAGAGCTTTGCGCTTACATATCCAGCGAAACCTACTATGATAGGTCTTGCGCAACTTCTCGATGGGCAAACGCACGTGGACGGAAATATACACGCACAAGATCCCAGCGAGGGCCTTGTCACTGTTGGACAGGCCGCGAAAGCAAGGATAGCCGCCCCAGAAGAACCGGGAAAAACAAGCATTAAACTTGTGCTGCATCAAAAGGCCGTATCTTCCACCCGTGAAGGTGAACAGCCGCCAGAAGTGAGGCGCGAGGTGATCACGAACATGACGGCGCCAGCTACTCGCATGCTAGGTGCCAGCACAGCCCATAGCTCTCCAGCCGTGACGTCTTGGGTATCCCCTCCGCGTCCAAAAAAGCGCAAATTGACTCTGGCAAACGAAAGAGCGACTCTAGCTGCAGATTCCCCTCTTAAAGAAACCAAGATCATGGGTACTACATCAGCAAAGCTAACGTACCTCCTCGACAAGATTGTGAAGCATCAGAGCGAGGAGAAGATCATCGTCTTCTACGACGGAGACAATGCCGCCTATTACATTGCTCAAGGCCTGGAAGTACTCCATATCAATCACCGCATCTATGCCCGTACACTTGAAAACACGAAACGATCTGAATATGTCAGATTATTCAACGAGGACCCCACTGTGCGCGTGCTTCTCATCGACGTCGCGTGTGGTGCTCTTGGCCTGAACTTGAATGTTGCCAGTGTTGTGCTGATAGTCAATCCTATCAATCGCCCATTCCTGGAGGCTCAGGCCATCAAACGAGTAAGTCTATTGCAAGGGCTGGTCGATACTTGACTGACTTCGGATAGGCTCATCGTATAGGGCAAACCAGAGAGGTGCTAGTCGAGACCTTGGTACTTGAAAACACCATCGAACATGCGATTTTCGATCGGGCCAAGAAGATGTCGCGAACTGACCACGAGGTAGCGAAGGAATTGGAGGATGATGAGAGTATCACGGAAATTATTCAGAAGGCGCAGGTTTTGCCTGTAGATTGTGACGAAGGCAATGGCATTGCCAGCTTCGCACTACTTGAGGCACCACAGCAAGTCTTCGGTCGCCCAGACCGACACAAGTTTCATCGCTATGGCCAGAAAGACTTCTTGAAGGCTGAGAGATTACCAAAAAGAAGGAAAACCCAACCTCGCGCCAAAGCACCTCGGAGCCAAGGCAATGGCGATTTCTATGAACAGAAGCTTTTGTCACACATGTCCGACATTGCTGGTCATAGCGATGCACTCGTCGAGGATGCATCTACATGCGGTCAGGTTGCCAGCCTATTTGGTAATGGCTAACGAGCGGTGCCCTGGGCATTGTCATTTGGAACTGTTCGCATAGTTCAAAGATGCGTGAAGAGTTCTGGCTGTCGTTGCTTGAAGGATGTAACGACATCCGACTGGAGCCGTTTGAAATATAGAGAAATATGCTTGGCCTAGGTATATCATGGCGTAGCACACTCAGTCGAATGCAGTAGATACTGAACATAACTCCATTAGCATCCTTGCTGTGGTCTAAAATACATTGGCCACCATACTCTTTCTCTAAAAACCACCTTCTGCTTAAGCATTTGCAGGAGACCCATGTACAGTATCTAGTAACTTACACACGTACTCGGAGATCTTACAACGGCGGTACCGTACCTATAGGAGTAGCAAGCGGGGAATTACCATAATTAGGGCTAGTGACGTACCAGTAGTGACCCTGTTACAGAGCAAGTCCCCGCAGTTTGTGATGATCAAAGGCGAGTGCGGCGAGCCTTGGACGGACTGTCGTCTCTTTCCATCTTGTCTGTTGTAATCAGTTGAAGCAGAACGAGCAGCATGTCACCCCAAACAATCGGCGTCGTCACGGGCGCGAACAAGGTACGCAAACCCTGAAAGGTACCTAGTCAAGTCGGCGTGGTCGCCATGGCTAACTCCACCAACCTACCGTAGGGTATCGGCCTCGCCATAGTCCGCCAGCTGGCACTCCAGTATCCCACATCGCCAGCCAGCAACGGCTCCTTGTTGGTCTATCTCACTGCCCGCGACCAGGGTCGGGGCGAAGCCGCAGTCCAAAGCCTGGAAAACGATGCGCAGCTGAAGCAAGCCAAAGCGTTGAAGGCCGATGGGGGGCTCTCCGAGATCAAATACCATCAGCTCGACATCACCGACAGCAACAGTATCAGGAGCTTTGCGGCCGAGTTGAAGGCGGCGCACGAGGATGGCATTGACTTTGTCATCAACAATGCCGGAATCGCTCTGAATGGCTTCGGTAAGTAGGCAGGCCCGCCGCCGTGACTACCGACCATGTACCTCAGCACATTGGCTGTCTAGACATCTAGTTAGGTACATCGGCATCACGGTGTCTAGACCAGGTGTGCATCGAGCCAGGCGACTGAGACGTGAATAGATGCAAAGGTAGTAAGCACAACACTCGAGTGCAATTACTACAAAACCCTCGAGGCATGCCACACCTTCCTCCCTCTCCTCAAGCCCACCGGCCGCATCATCAATGTTGCAAGCGCAGTCGGCAAACTAGACAAATACTCGGAGCAAGTCCGCAATCGCTTCCAGGCTGCCAGGACCGAAGAGGACATCACAAGCATCATGAAGGACTTCCACGCCGCCGTCCAAGCGGGCAAGGAGAAGGATGCTGGGTTTCCGAGCGCGGCGTACGCTGTGTCCAAGGCTGGTCTGATTGGTGCGACCAGGGCGCTCGCAAGGGCCGAGAAGCAAAAGGGCAGCAGCGTGCTGATCAACAGCTGTTGTCCAGGTTATGTGAATACGGACATGACCAAAGGTAATGGCACCAAGACGCCAGACGAGGGTGCGCAGACGCCCGTCATGCTTGCTCTACAGGACATCCGCGGCCAGACTGGAGCTTTTTGGCAGAGCGAGAAGGAAATTGATTGGTAGAGTCCTAGGCCGAGTGAAAGATGAGACTATTGAATCAAACAGCTTCTGCCACGACTCCTTCTCCTTATCCTCGTTGTCAATACATGCCTGCTCCAGCCCAACATTCTGTTTGCCCAGCCCTTGTACATCATTCTCATGCCATTCGTAGAAGCTATGATGAGACAAGAGAAGGCAAGTACTGATGATATGCAAGGGCTCCAAGTGCAAGATGTCATCCTATCTTCCCAACTCCCGCTTGAGCCCCGGATCTGCCCCACCACCAAGGCCACCGCACAGTGCTTGGATCTGGTCCAACTTCTTCTGTGCATCCTCCAGAATTTGGCAATTCTTCTTTTCGTTCCCAAGTTCCCTCTCCAACCTTGCAATCTTTGCATCCTTGACCCGGCGTGACTGTCTTTCAGCTACCAGCTCCAGCTCGAGGCGGTAGGACCTGTCTTCGGCCTCTCTTAAAACGTGCTCCGTTTCACTGAGCTTCTGACCAAGCGTAGCAATTACCTGGGTCACAGTATCTAACGAACTCTGCACAATGTTGGTAGAGGATGTCGTCTTGGCAGTGACAGATGGCTAGGGTTACTGGTCAGCCCATTCTGCGACGTGAGCAATGTATACTAACGACGATATGCATCACATTGCCATTTTCTTTGAGCTGAGTAGTGGTGAAGGGTGCTGTCTTGCGATCGAATTCCTTCGACAGTAGGTATACCTCGGCTGACTTCAATCTCTTCGAAGACTGACGCTCATATGCGTTGAAGTCGGGTACTTGCCCCATGGTCCTCTCTCGTATACATGGTTTCTTAGATGAACTTTGATTGGGTCTGAAGCCCATACTACGATGAGACTGTAGCACATTAGTGCTCTGACGGTTGTATGCTTGCGGAAGTCATGAAGATTGACCTTGACGCTTGCATTAGCACCTTTAGGCGACCCCGATTCCTGCGCACCAGAACCTCCCACAGCCTTCACAGTGGTCACCGGGTCTTTAGGCTGTGCGGTCAACTGTCGGACAGGGCTTGACAACTCGATGTCTGAGCTCAAACCGCACAGATCGAGCTGGATTGGGGTGGTCTTGCGAATCAGTGTCATCATCGGCGTGCTGTGTGGATGCCTGGAGGAGACCTTGTGAGATGAGTAGAGGTAAGAATGGTATCAGGGAGCGGCATCCAGATATACTCCAGGCTTTCGGGAAGGCACGCATGATGATCCAGCTCCCGCAGGCGGACTGTCGACATCGTGATACCTGTGCCCAACATCAATTCTAGCTGCAGGAAAAAGAAGTTTCTGTTGCTGTTTCTATCGACTGGCTAGTTTTTCAACTGCAATGAGTAGTCTTGTCAGAGGAGCAGTCAAACGTAGTCAGGTTACATGTCCTTCTAGTCGACCTATGCATCACTTATTAGAGGGAGAGGTTGCGGCAGAAATAGCATTCGCAGTCTTGTAATTCATCATTATGCGAAGAGCACATACAGCTCAGCTCTCCCTGCGTCCGGAATCATAGTGTACAACTTAGATGAACAATTCAATCAAGCTACCCAAGAGTGGCAGCAAAGCACCACATTAAAACGCCTTCAGTCTATGACCCGACTGTTCCAAGCCCCTCCCGCGTTATGGTATTGTACTGTCCCGTTGCCAAAATAAAAAAGGTAAAAAAAAAGACGCCCACGTGATGCAATCCGCCCGTTGTACAGGTATACTTTACACTCCCATCTTCTTTGAAATCCCCCAAAGTTCAGAGTCGATAGCGCCAGGCGGACTCCTATTAATCATCCAGGGTACTTGCTGGCTCCACACTCGCGCTCGTCCGAATGCTGTCAGACTTGCCCAGACTAAGCTTGATCTTCTTCTTCTGAGGCGCTTCTGTGCCATCATCGCCTTCCCGGTCTCGTTTGCCTTCAGATCGTTCGCTCATTTCGCTCTGCTTCCGCTCTATATCGGGGCGGCTAGTTTTCAGCTTGACCTTCAAAGTCCCGCCCGAGGAAGGCTTATCCCTATCAGCCTTTTTGACGTATGAGCTCTTCTTCTTGATCTTCTTGCGCTCTGGTGTGTCGTCTGCCAGTTCGTCTACGTCATCGTCGGCGGCATTCAGCCGCTTGACGGGGCTGATGCCTTTTCCTTTGCCCTTGCTGACGGGCACAGAGGCGTCTTGCGATGCTGGCGCCGGGGTGCCCATTCGGCTGCCCAGTGGTGTTGTGCCCAGGCCTGAGCCCGAACCGTTCTGGCCGACCAGCTTGGCCATGGCATTTCGTGAGCTCTGCCGGCCACTGATACCCAGACACTTCTCCAGATGTTGTGCGAAGCGAGTGATGAGCAGACTGCGCTTGCAATTAGGGCACGTGTGCCAGGGGATGTACGAGGCAGGCTTGCCGCCCGTGTTGAGCTTGATCTCCTTGGTGTCGCCCGGGGCCATGTCGGTGTCCTGGGAGCCAGGCGTGCCCACGCTCTCCTTCTCAGCGTTCTTCTGCTGCTGCTTAATGAGCTCGCGCTCCTTCTTGCTCTTGGCCATGTCTGTCGGAAACGGGTTGCCGTAGACATCGTGGCCGGGGCGCTGGACCCACGGATAGAGCATGCAATACTCTTTGGTGAGGTCAGGCGTCTGCATGCCTCTGCCCATGATCGGGTGCATCAGGCGGGGCAGTTTGCAGTGCGGGCAGATGATCTCGGGCGTCGTCTTGAGCGGGTTTCCCTTGAGGAAGACGCGCCCGTTGTCGTACTTGGCCGCTGCCGTCTCGGCCGTGGGAATCGTCGAGGCGCCGGCGCTGTTGGCGTTTTGCTTCTGCGACTGTGGTTCGAGATTGGCGAGGGCCATGGATTCAGCCTGTGTGGCGGCCGACTGCATGCGCAACAGTTTCTCGGAGCGGTGGCAGGCCAGCGCGGTGCTGAAGACCATGTTGCTGATAACGTCGTCGAGGATATCTCTCGTCAGCTCCGCCAGCGCCTCGGCTGGCAGACCAACGGCAGCGCCGACGCCCTCGTCCTCCTCTTGGACGGCGCGGTCTTCAGACATGGTGGCAATGAGGGCGTTGGTGGTTAGGGTGGTGGTGGTGACCTCGGGATGGCTGACCCGTTGAGTTGAGCCCCGTGAGCGTCCGCAGTGTCCACAACTCCAGGCTGTGGGGGGTCGCGAGAACCTTGGAAGGCACACGCTACGCAATTCGTGCCATTCGCCTCCTATCTACCTACTATGTACCTCCTATCTATTATAAAGATCAGTACATGCAATATGGATGAGAGCCGGCGTCGCTTGCTGAGAGACGAAGACAGACATGAGCATGACCCTCGACTGTACCGGTACCCTTGCTAGCGTCGCGGTTCGCTTACATACACGCTGAAATGCACTGCACCGACATCCCATCATGTCTACAGCATCTATCATGGTATTCATATTGTAACTAACACTGCTCTATGCTACACATTGCCTCTCCCATCATACTGCCTCCCACCTCGCCAATCTACCAATCGTGCTACCAGCTTGCCTTACAATGCACAATCGATTCTCGGCTGCTAGGCCACCCCCCTCCTTAACAGCACACATGATCCGGTCCAGAGCCACATTTGCAACAGCAGTCGGTATCCCCTCACAAAGGTTGTAGTTACCCGTCGTCACAAATCCAATGAGATCCTCCTCATCTGGGACCACTGGATAGTCTTGCTCACCGGCCTTGGGCGGTCCACCCTGTATCTCTGTTGGCGTTGTCAGAGCCCTTGCGAGGGCCTTAAGCTGCAAGTGCGCTGGCAGCTCGCTCCGCGCATAAGTCGATCGCTTCTTGGGCGGAGCTTCTCTTCCTGCCTGTGGCATCAATGCCAACCATCGAGCTCGCAGCTCCATGTTGTTCGCTGGAAGTCGATAGACACGAGCACAATCCGTCGGAGTCCCTCGTTGTATCATGGATATCTTCACTGCCAAAAGCCTTGCCGAGTGGCGGTCCTTGACATGTGAAGATGCCTCTTTAACGATATTGCGTGCCTCATCAAGTGACAGCTGTTGAAAGAGTGGGCGGAGCTCTCCAGGTTTTCCCCCGGATTCGTTAATTCCCTCCGGTAGCAAATACTCCCACTCACACGCCCAAGGATCTCCAGTTTCTCCCTTCCTACCATTGCCTAGATCGATCGTCGTCCATTCGATTCTCTTTCCCTTGGGCCGCTTCGTCCACTCGTGCTTTCTGCTTGCGCGCTCTCTGAGCTCCCAAGCCCACCCAGCATCGGTACCAGGGCAATCGTATGGGAAGTAAGGTAACGAACGCTCAAAGTAAACTTGACGGCGCTCCTTAATCCCACCAAATCTGGGATTGCCGCCAGTGCTTACCGGATAACGCATGATGCTTCGCCATACAGCCATCACACTTTTCCAGGGCAGTAACACTGTCCAAGTCTTGCTTGCTCGTGATACATAGACCAGTACAGGAATTTGTGCATCTGTGGGCTTGATATCAGGATGCTCACCAAGCGTGCATCCACTCCTTCGGCGATTGATGGATTTCTGAGACAGCATAGAGCGGGCAGCGGCCATCCGTGCATTGCGATCAAAGATGGAGGGCGTCGTCTGTGTAGTATCTATCGGCCAAGACGCGAGTATGTCCGTAAGAGCATCTAGCGATCTCTGATCCGCCAGAAGCGGACTTGTTGAGGGAGGGTCCCTTAATCGAGGATCTGAAATGTCAAATGCCAGCAATGCACCTGCAGGCAGCGAAGCGGCATCTGTAGTGGATGCAAGACTACCCCATAGTGTCTGTGGCGCATGACCCACTGCACCTGTATTTTCAATGGGAACAAGAATGGACGTTAGTGTTTCTGCAGCGGCCGGGCCGGTGATCTCGATGGATCCAATCTCATAGCGGAGATCTTGTACAGTAACACATGGCTTCTGAACCTTTGCGGTCCGGACCACTTCATTCCAGACCGCCGGAAATGCGGCAGGGTGCACGCGTATGAAGAGCTTCCTTTTGGGAAGCTGTGGGTCGGGCACACACCAAATGGCCGTGATCAGAGCGATTTTCTTTGGAGGGATTGCTTCTCTTTCGCAGATCCAGCCGTCCCAAGACCTCGTGCCCAGCATCCACCTCTTTGCTCTTCCTCGATCCTGCCACGGATTTTCTAGACTTCCGGTAGCAAAATTCAGGCTTTTGAGTAAGTTGATGATGCTGGTTGCTGCACCTTCAAGGCCAAGCGTAGACATGTAGCTTGTGTCCCATGCAACAGCTCCTCGCTGAGTCGCAGATCGATGGGTTAGACGATATGCCTTGACAACAGGCTGTAGCGGGATCGCAAAGCCCCAAAGAGGATCCTTTGGATCTGTCATACGAGCACGCTTCGAATGCCAGACGTGTGTCGGAAGCCAGGTCTTTCCCTTTTGCCGTTTGCGGAATCGTGAGGGCGGTGTAGGAGGAGTTGCTAGAGGGGGAAATGTACGCCTCCTCCCAGAGGCAACATTGGTCGCCTGGGCTGCAGTGAGTTGCTTTGGTTGCTTGGTCGACTCTGGCTTACCAGGAGCTTCGATACTAGACTCAACCTTCCTCCTCTTAGCCCGTTCCTCCCAAGTCTGCCGGCTCTTCTCTCTACCCTCTTTACGAAGGAACTTGATTTTGCCTTTTCCGCTGCCGCTGCCGCTGGTACCTCTTGCGAGCGGCGTGTTGTCCTCCTTGGCCTCTTGCTTCGACCTGGCTCGCAGCCTCTTTGGGACGCGCTGCGGGTTGTGGCTCGCAGTTCGCCGCCGCAATTCTCGCGGGACATCCTGGAAAGCGCGACGAGTAAGAGCTTGCTTGGCAGCCTTGATGGCATGCTCGAGCGATTTGATCTCAACTTCGTGCGACTTGAGGAAGTTTTTGACATTGATCTCGCCATTGGGATACGCGTTCCTCGTAGGCGTTGCAGCGATGTTGTGCTGTGGCTTCTGAAGGAATCGCGGGCGTTTCCCATGGTTGCCATGGTTGCCATGGTCTACCGTCTGCTTTCTCTTCCTTGAACTATCGGCCATAATTGTCGCGCCACTTCCCTGGAGTTCTAGGTGCGGGTATTCCGCTCGCCTCAGCACAGGTGAGACGGGGGCGTGGGACAGGAGGTGGTGTCCACTGTGCAATTGACCAGTCCAGATGTCCAGATGTCCAGACTTGTGAAAATTACTGTCACGTGTATCGGTATCGGCACTTCTCGCCAAAGAAACTCCGGCAGACAAGTTGGCCGTGTTCGGCTTAGCGTAGACGCGGTAGCACGTGCTCTGCACAAAGATGCAGCCATCATTCACTGGGCGGTACAACAACAGGACATGGGCAACATGGGTAGGGTGGTGACATGGAGTAACATAGTAGTAGATTCTACACACTACACGCTCTTTCACCGGTGACATTCACTGCGCACTCCCTCTCTGCACTGACGTCCAAAAGGCCTTGCGTGCGGACTCCTTCCAGCCACGGACATTTTTTGTTTCAGCTGTCAGGTCCGGGCTCGACGTTTGATTGCACACACACACACAAAAAGTTCATTTCATTGTCGCCGGCAGAGTGCCCGCTTATGTCACCATCCCCCTGTCTCGCACAGCGTTCCTGGTTCCCCTGCGTTGCGCGGCCACCGGGACCCATCCAAGACATGAATGTTTCCCACCCAACTGCATCCTCACAACAATTCACATTCCCCCTTGTAAACCCCCCCCCCCTTCTCCTCACACATTGTTGCTGCCTCTTTGTCTTGCATACCCTCTCCAGCCTGCACCTGTTTCTCAATCTCTCAACATGATGCAATCCTGCTCTGCCCTTCCACATGTTCCGCAAATGTGCTCCATAAGCCTCAGTCCCCTGCGCACCAAACGACGTGTTGACCACGAACGCCACGCTTCCGAAGTACTACAACGTCCACGGCCCATGAGTGTCGCGTCACATGCACCGATGCAGCATACCAAGAGAGCTTCCATATACGTGTCTGACGCCTCCATCATTCTCGCCCAAAGAGCGCCCATGGTCTCTCCAACCTCACAGCAGGGCGCATTGGCGTCGCCTAGCAACGAGACCTTGGATGTCGACCATTATGCAATTCTCGAGCTGGATCCACATGCAACCACCGAGGACATCAAAGCCGCCTATCGTCGACTGCGAGCAGTGTATTTCCAAAGCGATGCCAAGAAATACCGCGCGTTGCAGGCAGCTTTCGACACTCTCCTGGACCCGGAAGCGCGCCAAGTCTACGATTCAAGTTACGCAGCACGTGCATCCTCGCTAGAAGGCTCGGATCCAAAACACGAGCGGAAAGATAGTGTGACTGGGACCGATGGTGGAATTGCCACCGTGCTTGAAGAGGAGGACGAGGATGCTACTACATGCGCACGCACTGAGGACCCGAATTGGGCGTTGAAACGACATCAACGACTGTACGCTCCTCTGATTGGTACTCGGCCATATTGGTCGTATGTCCCAATGTCTACTGCGTACGACTTCAAAAATCCGAAGCGATCCAATTGCCATAGACCAACGTATGTCGGGCGACTAGCGACCATGTCATTACCCAATTGAGCTGCCTTGCATCCTCCTCAACATCTCGAAATGCCCTTTAATGATTGGTCCCATATTGTGCAAAGCTCACATTTTCTTGTCTTTGATTGAGCACGGCGTTATGTACTACATTGGGTTGGAAAGCGTAGCGAGTACTACTCCTATTTAGTCACAGGGCGGGTATGCTCTCTTAGAATCATAAATCTATTTGCACCAACTACCGAAGCTCTTGTCTGTGCCTGCTAGATACTGCCACAATCATCGAAGAGCTGCTCCGAAGCGCCTCGCAAACAGGCGATCCTTGTTAGATTTACATCGTTGCTCGCAATACTGCTACTATGTACCAAGAGCACCTACATGACCCCCACAGCGACTATGGCAAGGTTTGGTGCTCAAGGTCCAGGGAATGCGTCGTGTCTGTGCTCACAAAGTACAGATCAACGCAACTATTCAATGACATAACAATTCTTCACATGGTAATGGTATATCCTATGAATCAGGCCTGCATTGCTGATATCGATCGCTATGATACAGGTGCTCTAAGGTGCAAGTGGCAAACTCTGATCGTTCCAGCTCCTTGTCTGTGAAATCATTGCATGCCGAGGATTGCCATGGAAAGCCTTCTACTGGTTCAGGTTGACTGGGAAATTGCCGTTCTCTGAGAAAAGGGTCAGCTCATCACCGAATTCAATTGCCTTCAAGTACAGCACAAGCACATCGCTATCTGTCTCGAAGATACTTACCGCGCTGATCATCCCATCGCGATGTCCAGCCGCTAGGGCAAAGGGACTTGTAGGCCAGCATGAACTGCATTGTGTCAGCACATACTCCGAATTAGGCGTCGCGGAAAACTCGAACCTGGCGGCACGGCGCAAAGTCCTCGCCTTTGGCGATAATGCACTTGTGATGGTCGACATAGTTCTGCCAGCAGTGCTTGGTCTGGTTCTGGTTGGGAAAGCGGGCATCGAAGCCTGTGGCACAACAAGCTTGTCAGTTCTGTCAAATTTCGCCCATATCTCCCCCGATATTCAAGCAGCAGTTCGTGCGGTGGAGGAGAGTGATGTCTAAGTGAGCGTACCGGCTGGGAGGGGCGAAAGTTAGCTATCAGATATGCAGGCCGTGCGGGCGCAGTAGCAGCTCACCAGTAACAAACTTGAAGGGCTTGGTGACGAGCTCGTCGCCGTTCTCGTTGTCGGACATGATTGCGATTAAAGACCTTGTCTGTGAAGGGGTGAGGTGGCGGCAATGGCTGGTGGCAGTCGGAGTTGGTGACGGTGGTGAAGTTGTAAGGTTGCGATGATGGGCTGACCCCAAACCGCGCTTTGTCCACCACTCGATTCGCTGCCCTGCTCGGCGTTTTCCGGGCAAGCAACGCCCGCAAGCTTCCCAAGTTCCTGACTGCGATCCTGTGACGAAACTACAACGAATTGAACAGTCCTCTCCACTCTCCACTCTCTGATCCCCCGCCTCTCCTCCATCCCGTGCACAACACGACTACAAACGACAACATGTTCAAAGTTACCAGGGCCATGGCCATGCGGCCCACGCGCATGATGATGATGCGCCAGAGCCCCCAGCTCTTCGTGCGCCAGACGCTGCAGATGCGCAGCCCTGTGCCGGTACGTCCTTGTAGCTTGCGGGCCGGGCAAAGTGGCACATGCTAACTGCACATAGAAGGAAGAGCAAGGTGGTAAGCCGATTGCGCCGCCAGGAACCATGTGGGAGGATGCCAATTGACCTGTCTAGCCCATACCGCCTCCCAGCGTTTTCGCCAGCTCAAGAACATTCCCACTGAGATCTGGCCCCTCAGTATGTCTTCCCCGACCCTGTTTCTCCTCTGACAAACATGTCATGCTAACAAAATTGTGCAGTTGTGGTCCTCGGGTAAGTCCCCTAGGCTCTGCAATCGATGGCCCACCACAGATGGTCTGACACAGTCCCAGCGTTGCTGTCGTAGCCGCAATTTTCTCCATCACTCGTAAGCTCTGGGTCGACAAGACCCTCCGCCTGAAGAGGCAAGGCAAGCTTTCGTAGACTCTGGTGCAGCACAGAACACAAGTTACAACCAAACCTGGGGCTCGAAAGAGGCTTGCAAGCCATGTGTATAGTTTTACATTGGAGGAACAATCAATTCGGCATTTCAGCATCAAGTTTCCTTGCGTATTATTTAGCCGTCTCAAGTCGTTGGTACTCTGTGTCGAATATCGTCTGAACAAGATGAAGTCGGCAATCGGCTTACTGAAGTGAAGGGCTGTTCGCCCGCCTGATATACCCTCGGTTGCTCTTTGAGTTCCCAGACTCCTGTATCCACACAAAATTGTTGCAGAACCTCAGTGAAGAAGCATAGGGTCTTGCTACGACTATTGGTATCACGTCAAACGATGCACATGCGCCTCAAACACCCTCAAACCAGAACCCCACATGTTTCCCCCCAAAGAGAAGCTGCTCACACCGGCTTTGGTCCTGCTTCGTCGAGCCCTTCCAGGCCCTGCATGGGATCCATAGGGCCGTTCGACTGTTCCTGTCCGTCAGTAGCCTGGCGCTCCTCTTCGCTCACGGCATGCTTAGCTAGCCAACCCTCCTACAAACTGTCAGCATACCGTTGAAATTCCTGTGATGTGCGCTCTGCAACGTGCCTGTTCCCAAATCGCTGTCTTGCTTCCCAGTCCCTCATTTGCATCCTTCTGAGGCTTGGCTGCTGCAACCTTGATGACTGAGCCGTACAGCTCACTTCGGTCCATGTTATCAATGGCATCTATTGCGTCAGAAGCCGACTCGAATTCGACATAACCAAAGCCCCGATGTTGTTCATTTTCCTTTGGTATATCTGGCTTTGGAAGATTTACTTCGACAATGTCGCCAAACGGTAAGAAGGCATGGAAGAGTGTTTGCTGCGTCACTGCTTGGTCTAGGCCGCCGACAAACACGGTGGCCTTGAGACGCGATGTATCGGAAAGATTGGACATGTCGGCTGCAATCCTAGGACAGAAACGCGATGTGCGTTATGAGGGGCAGCAAATGCGGAAAGTCTTGCCCGCCTGCTTGGGAGGTTACATGTAGTCTGGTACGTCGAAGGTTGGAAGTGATATTAAATCCATGTCACGTGATATCATTAGTGTGACCCACTAGCCCGCAGCGATGACCAGGGAAGGACAGGTGGATGTTGATGGGCAACGTTGAAGGAGTCGTCGTACTGCCTTCCTGACTGTGGTTTGAACACATTTGCGCTTCTTCCCCGTCACAATCTCCTGCTTCACAATTCTGCAACACATTTTGCGTCCTCACAGCCTCTTTCTTTCTCCTTTCTGGCCTACTCCGACTTATCAGCATACTACCGAGCCAGCGCTGCTCCACCATGGTCCGCCTGCGAGAGATACCCAGGACGGCCACCTTTGCGTGGTCGCCTGGGTCAACACAGCCATTGATTGCTACGGGGACCAAGGCTGGTGCAGTGGATGCCGACTTCTCCAATGACACGCAATTGGAGCTGTGGGAGCTCAAGCTCGACGACAGCGAGCAGGGCGTTGAGCTTAAGCCTGTCGCCTCGCTCAGCGTAGACTCACGGTACAGCCAGCCCTGGTTCTTGGGACAAAGTGTCCAATGGTTGGCTGATGAATGCTCGCAGATTCAACGACATTGCATGGAGCCAGCCGAGTGAGCAACACCCGCGGGGCATAATAGCGGGTGCTCTCGACAGCGGCGCATTGGTGCTCTGGGACGCGGACAAGTTGCAGGCAGGCGCCAGGTCAGTTGTTCCATATCTTCTTTGGCCAGCTGCGGGATGCTGACTGCTCACAGCGATGCCCAAATCGACCAGATCGACAAGCACACCGGGCCAATTCAAGCGATACAGTTCAATCCGTTCCGACCTAACATCCTTGCCTCAGCAGGAGCAAAGGGCGAACTGTTTGTCCACGACCTTGATGACGAATCCAAGTCCTTCCGCCTCGGTAAGGCTGGCGCGAACCCTGACGAATACACTACGTTGGACTGGAATAAGAAGGTAGCGCACATCCTCGCGACCGGCAGCAGTGGCGGCTTTGTGACTGTCTGGGACGTCAAGGGCAAGAAGGAAAATCTCACACTGAACCACTTTGGGCGGAAAACTGTCAGCGCCGTGTCTTGGGACCCAGATGTCCCAACGAGGCTTGTCACCGCGATTCCAACCGATCAGAATCCTCTTGTACTTGTTTGGGACCTCCGCAACACCAACGCTCCAGAGAAGACTTTGCAAGCACATGACCAAGGCGTGCTCTCCCTCTCATGGTGTGCCCAAGACAGTGATATTCTCTTATCCTGCGGCAAAGACAACCGGACTATTGCTTGGAATCCTCACAGTGGGGAGCAACTGGGCGAGTTCCCCGTTGTTACAAACTGGACATTCCAGACCAGATTCAATCCTTCGAATCCGAATCTCCTTGCAACGGCTTCCTTTGATGGCAAAATTGCCATTCAAACACTCCAGAACACCGGTGCTTCGGTCGATCAGAACAAGACCGCTGCTCAAGCACCTGAGGGGGAAGACTTCTTCTCGCAGACACATGCAGAACCCCAGGGCGCTTCCTTTTCACTGAAATCACCACCCAAGTGGCTGAAGAGAAGAGCGGGTGTGGCCTTTGGCTTCGGTGGAAAGCTTGTCCGTTTTGGTGTGGTAGACTCCAAGTCCAAGGTCAGCATCTCTTCCTTCGCTGTAGATTCTGAGATCAGTACAGCTAGTGAAGAATTTGACAAGGCTTTGGAGACTGGTGATCTAACGTCCATCTGCGAATCGAAAATCGCAAAGGCCAATACCGACGAGGAAAAGGCCGATTGGACTGTCATTGAAACATTAACCTCGGACAACCCCAGAAGCAAGCTGATTGGTTACCTTGGATTTGCAGACGCTGAGGATCAGGAGTCCACGGAGAAGAAAGAGGTGGAAACCAGCAATGGGACTGATGAAGGCGCATCATTCTTCGACAAATCAACGGATGAAGGCAATTTCTTATCCGATCTCGCTGCCTCCAAGGGCGCAAAGACCAACAATCCATTCCAGGTGTACACAGGCACAGAGTCAGAAGCCGATACCAAAGTCACTCGTGCGCTGATGCTGGGCAATTTCGAAGCTGCGTTGGACGTATGTTTGAAGGAAAATCGATTGTCGGATGCTTTCATGATCGCTATCTGCGGCGGCGAGAAGTGCATAGCCAAAGCCCAAGCTGCGTATTTCAAGAGACAGTCGGATGCTCCGAATTACTTGCGCCTTCTCGCCTCGGTTGTAGGAAAAAATCTTTGGGATATCGTTTACAATGCCGACCTCAAGGACTGGAAGGAAGTCATGGCGACTATTTGCACGTTCGCCAGCCAGGAGGAATTCCCAGATCTTTGTGAGGCACTTGGTGACCGCTTAGAAGAGGCTGTCGCAGATGGCAACCGTTCCGCTCGTAAGGACGCATCCTTCTGTTATTTGGCTGGTTCCAAGTTGGAGAAGGTAGTTGTCAATTGGGCAGAAGAACTTCAAGAAAGCGAGAAGGCGGGCATTGAGCAATCAGCGACCGACAGTAGCTTTTCTATTCACGCACGATCACTACAAGACTTCATTGAGAAGGTCACCGTCTTCCGAAAGGTCACCTCTTTCAAAGACGAAGAGCAGGGGAAGGATGCCGACTGGAAACTTGAACCACTGTATGCGAAGTATGTGGAATATGCTGATATTGCATCGGCACATGGTCAGCTCCCAATAGCCGAAAAGTATCTGAACCTCTTGCCGGAGAAATACCCTGCCGCAGACGTCGCCAGGAACAGGGTCTCACAGGCAACAAGAAAGGTATCATCATCCAAAGCAGCAGCTCCTCGAGCACAGACTGTACCAGCAGGCCAGCGCAACACACGTATCGTTTCTTCATACGGAGCTCCCGTACAGCAGGCTTCGATGGCACCGCAAACGAACTCGGCCTATACTCCTGTAACCTCTCTCCAGTCGCAGCCCAGCGCCGGACCCTATGCGCCCATGAACCCCCTAGCTCAGCAGTCACAAACCCCGGCCCAGTCTCTCTATACGCCCTCGATGCCTGGCCAAAGTGCTTACGCGCCAGCTGGTGCTGTTCCCCAACCAAGATTTGGTGGCATGCCCACTCCTCAGCCACATTCTATTCCACCGCCTCCACGCAATACGGCAGGCTCGCCATCTATTACACCTGCCGCGAATCGAGGCAACATCCCTGCTTGGAACGACACGCCAGATTTTGGACCGCCAAAATCATCATCGCGTCGCGGCACTCCGATTAATGCTGTAGCATCGCCATTCGCCAATCAACAACAGCCCATTGCTGGTCCACCGCAAGGCCCATTCTCACCGGGAGCTCGTTCAACACCTCCGCCTCCCCCCAAGGGACCTCCCCAAGGCCCGCCTCGTATGACTTCTCCTTCGGCAGGTCACCCACAAGCAGGTGTGCCGAACCCGTACGCACCTTCACCCGTAACCAATGCGTATGCCCCACCGCAGCCTAGTGGCTTTGCGCCACCTCCACAAGCTCCAGTGCAACGTGGAGTATCACCATACCAGCCACCCACTGCCGCTGCACCACCTTCAAACCGCTATGCTCCTGCACCTGGAGTTCAACCTTCTGCTCCTCAGGGTGGTATGCCCCCGCCGCGAAACATCGCACCACCACCCAGCCAATTTGCTCCCGTGCCATCCCCTTATGCTGCATCTCCGGCCCAACAAATGCCTGCTGCAGCTGCTCCACCGCCTCCAAAGGGCCCGCCACAAGGCCCACCGCGAGCTGGACCCCCGCCAGGTGGACTGTCGAAGTCAGAATCTCGACCGGGTACCGGCCAGTCACAGCCTGCAACTGCCACTACGGCCAAATTTCGTAAGTCAGCTTCGTTTGCTTGATTGCATTGCACTAATATATGGAAGCTCCTGGTGATAGATCACACATTCCAGACAGTTCCCGCCGGATCTATGAGGTGCTTGATGCAGATATGCAACGAGTGAAATCCAAAGCACCAGCACAATACAAACAACATGTGGTAGATACCGAGAAGCGACTCAACATTTTGTTCGACCACCTCAACAATGAAGACCTTCTCAAGCCGGATACAATCGAAGAGCTGAACAAGCTGGTAGATAACATCCAAAGCAAGCAGTATGACGAAGCCATTGCTATCTTCTCGAATCTGATGACAAACAAGACGGATGAAGGGAGCAACTGGATGGTAAGTCATGAAGAGAATTACTGCTTCGACGGTGACTAATTTGATCCTAGGTCGGTGTGAAAAGACTCATTCAGTTCAGCAAATCGACCGTTTAGATGCCAGTTGTTCTGAGAGGCTAATATTCGTGGTATAAAGGGGATTTGCCCTATACAGACTGCAAGCAGAGAGCAATGGCTGCCAGTTTGCTGTAGCTCGTTTCTCGGGATTGTTGGGAAAGTGGAGAAGGTGTCATGCAGGTTACATGAGAGACTTGAGTGATGTTTACGACGAGGAAACATGTGGAGGTGCACGATGCTCAACCAAAGGACAGAACACCATGACTAGAAAAGATAATCACTTGCTACTCGAGCTTCAAGACTAGTACTCTCATTTTGATACTACAGTCTGTTGACATTGTGAAGAATTGGACAGAAGCCATCAAATAATAGACAAGTATACTTGGCACAGCTCCCAGGACAATTATACACAATGAGGTCATATCACGTGGAGTGCCGCCAAGAGCAACCCGGTGATGTACACAGTGTCTGTACTCTACTACTAGAGCATGCCACTGGGTTCTGCACTGAATCAGGATCAAGCTTTGCTGCCAGAAATAGATGCGATCTATTGCATTAAATACCCTGAGTGATTGCTGGATATGCGAACCAATGGACATGTACTACTCTGGCCATGAGTTGAACTACTCTTAGAGTAGGTCCGGATTCCAGAGCTTCGCTAGAGTACTCCGCGCCGGTCTAACCTGTCCCTGGCCATGGGGTGCAAGCGAAGCACGCAAGAGGCAAGCGAAGCACGCAAGAGGCAAGCGAAGCAAGCAGGATTCATGGAGCTTGCCAGCCACCGTCGCCACTTGCCCAGTCGTTCCCCGCCAACCATGAAACTGCATCCAGCCCAAGGTTCAGCACATCGACGACCACGGTAATATGCAATTTGTTCGAAAATGCCATGCGAGCTGTGGCTAGTGAGGCAGGTCATCATCATAACCGGTTGGACGACATGGGGCATGGACCCTGGATCTACACTGCTGCTTGCTGAGCATGGTGAAGGGGCCGATGGGCTGTGCCGTTGATCTTCTGGATTTCGCCTCTCAGTCTGCATGCATGTATTCCTGACGAATCTTTGCTGGTCTATAGCTGCAGGCAATACGTGGGCGTAAATGGGTCATAAAGACGATATGGCAGCCACCCCGATAGATACAATCTTGCATGTCGTCTCACATCGCCGTGAATATGCAGTGTAGACGCTGAATGGCGATTGGGAAAGCACCACACATGGTATTCTGACGGCTTCACGTCCTCTAGATTCTTTGACACTCTCGCTTTTCTGCCCATGCATTTATTCGCTGGAGGATGGGGGTGGCTCGTCGCCAGCTGCGTCCTTGGCCAGATATCAGGCGCGGTACTGCCAACGCCTGTCATTACACCAGCCCCACAGTTCGCAGAGACTGGATACCTTCGTTTGCAGGATAGACAAGTTGATCCGTAAGTATTGCTCTCTAGATCGATCCCTGGGGGTATTGACCAAATCCCAGCATCTCGTTCGCGCAAGTAATCCTCACAGCATTGCCACTTTCGCTGCGCTTGATCGCTGCCACCGATGTGCCTGCCGTATCGAGCATCCTTTGGAGCCAGTTTCTCGACGACAACAAACCAGATTGGTTTCTAGATCTGCCTCGGGATGTACAGAGCTATCTCATCAAAGAGTTTGGGCCCGTGAATGCTTGGCCAACTACTCCACCGCCAGTTGCGTCTACGGCCGGTGCATCAGCGTCTGTCACTGTAGGACCCTCACCCACTTCCTTGGCCTCTGCACAATCGTCATCCAGTGCTGTGGACTCGCCCTTTGCGTCTTATGTTTCCCATAGCATCTCTATCGCTTCAAGCTCGAGTGCCTCGAGTGAGTCCTCCGTCGGCTCAACTTTGCAGTCGATTCCATCGCAACTTCACTCAGTGTCACTGGCAACAGTCCAGACCTGGAGCTCCACAATAACCCCAAGTGCAACCCATGGTCTTGAAGCCCCTGCCTTGGTCGAGTCTGGGCTGAGTAGGACACAAAAGATTGGACTCGGTGTCGGTGTGCCATTTGCGTTACTCGCTATTGCTGCACTTGTATTTGCATGCTGCCTCTTGTCCCATCGACGAAAGAGAAGGCATGTGAACGGCAACGAGCCACCTTCATCTCCAGGCTTCATCCCTCGATTTTCATTCCAGGACAAGGGACTCAGCTACGAACACCACGAGCATCATGCACCTTTGAACCCGGTGTCGAACAACTCGAACGAACATGTCGGGGACATGCACTGGGAAGACGAGGAGTACGAACAGAGTGCCATTGCCGCGTCTCACAGGCGCGACACGTTCACTCCAGCTACAGCCACAGCACAAATGGTATTGCATGATACTGCTCCTATCATGGCACCAGCACTTTTCCATACACACAGCTCAAACAGAGCACGAGGAAGACGGACAAGCTACACAAGCCTACAGGCAGTTGCTGAAGTGGCTGAGCCCGAGGATGACATGCTGGAATCACCAATACTAGGACGACGACAGACCAGAACTGGCCTGCGGAGAGCGAGCCTTCCTAGGATTATGAACATGCCGCCAACACCACCAGCTGGTGCAATCAAACGCAAACCCGTGCCTGCAAGTCCTACCGAGTCTCCAGCTCCAGACATGGCGTCTCAGTCTTTCCAGCGGCCAGCACTGGCACCTGTCGTGTGCAACAGCGGCAGTAGCTCCAGTGGGCTAGCAATGAGCAGCATAAGCAGCAATTCTGGTCTAAGCTATGAGAGCGAATCGCCCATATCAGCCATGAACCCTCAAGCACCACGAAACCCTTTCGCATGCGGATACGAGTATCTCGAAGACTATGGTCCGGAGTACTCCCATCACGGGTACGTAGACCATGAGGATGGAGCATACGGTGGCCATCGCAGTCTGGACAGATATCCGGAAGCTTCGCCACGGCGCGGTAGCTTGAAGACTGAGTGGCCGTTAAGAAATGTGCTGGGCTCGGGATATAGGAGGAACAAGTCACCCATATGGGATCGCGTGTATGAGCCGTGATGCGCATGCGTAGTGCGGACGAGGGTTATGATTTCTTTCATCGTCATGTGTATACCCGCATTGGCATTGGGCGTTGGATGGTGGTAAAGGGTGGATTCATCGAATCACTCTACAGGTTGTTCCATACAATTTAGCTTTAGCGTCGACGACTTTTGCAATACATCTAGAGTTACTACATACCCAGACACTGAACTGGGCGCGCGCTCGCTCAACAAGAAGGCTTCACCACCCTGTAACTAGCAAATGGCGGTGGATGTGTGGGTGCATCGTCGATGAGAGAGAGGCGACACCTCGTGGCGGGTGTGGAACGCGTTGAGGTTGTGTGGTCGTACCGCGATGGCTTTCCAGGCGTTGTGCGTCTCAGTACGACGGGCCCTGCAAGGAAGCAGTAAGCAGCCGGCATCCCCTCGAGCGCCTCCATGCCGAAGCCGCCAACGGGCACAAAGAACGGCAGTTGATCATCTCTTTGCTAGCGATAGCTCTTCTTCGACCAAGCGGACTTAGCCACTGGAATCAACGAAAAGTAGGCGAAGCCGACGATGGGTGTGTCAAAAATTCCCAGCCGATCCGAAGACCAACTGGAGCGGTCATAGTTGTAGTTTTCAACTAGCAAAAACGCTACCTCAGACGAATCTTCACTGGTAAGCGTACAGCCCTTGCACTTGGATGAGGAGCAGAAAGGAGGGACGGAGGAGGCCAGGCTTATATATTGCGTCCGCGGCTGCTTGCCTAGCGTCTCACGTGACTGAGCACTGACTGCCCAGCTGCCCCAGCGAAAGGCTGCCTGTTGCGGCGCCCGAAGCTCCGTTTGCTCTGCCAAGCTTCACTCTCGGCTCAAGTGGTGGGATATTCGACCTTCACCTGGACTTTGCCTTTTGCGTCTTCTTGTTCCAGCTTCCACATCTACATCTTCACACACGACTCGGAATCGAGTTCATGTCAACCACGATCATGTGAACTGTGGTACGGCCAATTTTACCACCTCTGGGCCTGCCAGTCAGGATGACACTCAGCATTGGCTCACATTACCATACACTCACAGTACTGGCACAGCACACGTGCGAGTGCGAGTCTTCCCACCTCGACCTTTTTCTGCGGTAGCTAACCGCAGCTACCGATTGCCATGGCGCCCAGTCAATATTATACTGCCCTAAAAACGCCCAGCTGGCTTCATGCCATAACCTGAAGAAGAACGCCCTCCGGCCAGAGCACGATCAGCCCACAGTCACGTCCATTACAGCAGGAACCACGAGCCATGAGCCATAAAAACCGACCATCTCTGCGCAATCCTCTCCTACATGGAGTCTGCATAGGCTATATTTGAATCAATCAGTTGGTATCAACTCAGTCAATAGTCCTCATACAGAATGATCAAGTTCACAATTGCCCGAGGTCTGCAGTGCATCGCTCCAAGGCCAAGCTATACTGCACTATAATACAATCAACTGACCCCAAGCCGTTGCGGGATTGAGTGCAAGTTCCGACTTATGATTTCTCCAGCGCAGCCAAGCCGCCGTCCCTGCGATCGTTCACCAGACCTTCCACATAGAGACAAGACCCAGCCTCCGACCCAATCACACCTTTTGTGGCGTTAGCCTGCACTCGAACTGCCAAGCTGCTCAGCATATTAAAGGTCCATCCAGATCATACCATGGTTCTCCGACTTCATTCGATTGATGGTCTTCCGCCGCTTGGAGCAGATCTACCGGAATCATGGGGTATGGTACCTGCCTAATAGAATGATGGTCGCCAGATCTATCGATAAGGCTCGGGGTTATGATGCTATTGGCAGGTGGATACTATCTTCATACAATCGCCATCATGTATAAAAGCTATGCCTGGTCTCAGAGTTTCTGGACATAGCTCTGCGACAACAGCGCGGTCCGCCCATCTATCATCCATCATGAAATCTGCTATCCTTACTTCGGCCCTCCTGATCTCTAGTGCCTTTGGTACAGTCGTACCTAGAGCTGATAAAAAAGTTGATTACACCGGCTACAAAGTTCTCCGTGTCACAGCGCAGAACAATGTGAAGGCTCAGGTTGAGAGCTTGGCCGCTCATGTTCTCAATCCTGGCAAAGCAGCCGAGTTGGATGTCGTTGTGTCGCCAGACAACGTTGCCGCTTTAACTGCTCTTGTGGCCGAAAGCAAGGTGCTCAATGAGGACGTCGGTGCTGCTCTACAAGAAGAGGGTGAAATGGGGGTCTACGCTGGTAAGCTGGCTACGTCCCACGTAGCCTTCGAAGACATTAATCATGACAGTCCCGAGCGAGAGTTGGTTCACTGCCTACCACCCATACGCCGATCATATCCAGTTTCTGAGAGATCTGCAGGCCGGTTACACTGGCAACTCTGAGATTGTGACACTCGGTACATCTGTGCAAGGACGCGCCCTAACAGGTATTCACATCTGGGGCAGCGGGGGCAAGGGATCCAGGCCTGCGGTCATCATTCATGGCACAGTGCACGCTAGAGAGTGGATCACATCCATGACCACAGAGTACTTTGCATGGCAGCTCCTCACCAAGTACGCCTCGGATGCGAACATTCGATCCTATGTCGACAAGTTCGACTTCTACATCACCCCCATCGGAAATCCCGATGGCTTCGTGTACTCTCAAACGACTGATCGTCTTTGGCGCAAAACCCGACAGACTGTCAGTGGAAACACCTGTGTGGGACGGGACATCAATCGTAACTGGCCGTACCAGTGGGACGTTCCGGGTGGCGCGTCGACGAACCCTTGTTCGGAGACTTACAAAGGCCAGGCTGCGGGAGACTCGCCTGAGAACCGTGGTCTTAGAACCCAAGTCGATGCACTGAGGTCCTCGCGTGGGATCAGGCTCTACCTTGACATCCAGTACGTTCTCTCATCACAATCCTCTTCTCCCCTCTTCAATGTCACGTGCTAACGTCGTGGCTTAGTTCGTATGGTCAATATATACTGTGGCCTTACGGCTATAACTGCAATCTTGTCCCTGAGAACTCGGCCCAGCATCGTACGCTTGCGACTCGTGCTCAAAGTGCTATTCAGGCGGTATCGGGAACTCCGTATACTGTTGGACCCAGCTGCTCCACGTTGTATGCTACGACTGGCAGCTCTACCGATTATACCGATGTAGTGGGCAACGCCACCTACTCGTACACGTATGAGCTTCGCGATACAGGTAGATTTGGTTTTGTAATACCCGCCAACCAGATCCAACCTACGGTTCGGGAGACTTGGGCTGGTCTCGCCAGCATGATTAGAGACGCCTGAAGGAAATCAAACCATAGCCGAGAAAAGGGGTGAGAAGCGTAGATGTGCAGGCATGGAGGGGCTTTATGCTTCTTGGATCATGACACGTTTTCAATCTGTACAATGAACATGATGTCGTGTAATTATGTCTAGAACATGGAACAGGAAGCTGAAAAAGTGATTCATGCTTGCACGGTGAATGCCTGGCCATGCAGGTGATGGAATGTGCACTGCACGTGAATCACTATACAAGTAAACGGTAAGAAATGGTGTTCACAGGCGTCAGGGTGAGAATTATGTATTTACTGTCATGGCACAAGGTGAGCTCGCTAGGACGAAGCCCATGGTCTTGCAACGTTCTTTTCAGCGGGAATTACCTCGGCTCTTCAGCCATGCAAGTCAAGGCTATCAAGGCGGCCGTCAGACTGGCGTGATGCCTTGCACCAGGCCCATGGAGGAAGACGGTACAGATGAGTCTTGAGCATAGCCTTCAGTCGTGGAACTTCCTGTTCGCATTCTCTCCAAACAATGTGACCCTGATGGAGGGCAGAGCTTGGCTTTCGAGCAGCTTCAATCGCTCCTCGAAGGTATTGTTGATGTCGATTCTGCCATTGGTACCGACAATCATAGCACCCCCAGCGCTACAAAGGAGACAAGTCAGTAAGTGGCCATTTCGCAAAAGGGCAACAGTGGTAGAACTCACGATCCCTCTGGTAGCGGGTCGCTCTCCTCAATGGTGATGGCGACCTCCTTGTTCAGCTTGGCCTTGTACTCCTTTTGTGCTTCCTCAATGGCCTTCTTGGCGAGGTCGTTGTCCACCTTGCGCACCTTGATCTGCAGCTTGTCCTCGTTGAGGGCGTAGGCACCCTCGAGCACCAGGTCCTTCAAGATGGCCTGGTACTTGGTCTTATCCTTGGATACGTCACCGAGCTTCTTGCCCGCCTCCTCGAACAAGCGGTCGAGCAGTTCCTGGCGGGCGGACAGAATGCGCAACCGGCTCTTGTTGGAGAGGGTGGAGCGTGTGATTTGCTGCGACATGCTGGCCTGCTTGAACTTCTTCTCATAGGACGAGTCGATCGAGGCCTGCTCTTGGCGCACGAGCTTGGACTTTTCAATGGCGAACTCCTCGTCGGCCTTGAGGCGAATCTCGTTGGCCTTTTCCATGGCCTCCTGCCGGATAAAGGCCGTCATCTTCTTGAGCTCGCCGGCGACCTGCCATGGAGGGGTTGTATGGTTAGCTGTGGCGCGGTTGGAAGCTGACGTCGACTGGCGGGGACAAGGCCTACCTGGTCGTCGGAGAGGGCGTGTACTTGCGACATGGCGGGGGCGGTTGTGTGTGTGTGTGTGTGTGTGAGACCGAGAGAGAGAGGGAGGGAGGGAGGGAGGGAGGGAGGGAGATAGAAGTGGGGGGAGGGGAGGGAATGAAAGTTCTGGTAGATAGCGTTCGTGTAGTATGTAGGCACGTCAACTGGTACGTCGACGATAAGTGGTGGAGTAGCAGTCTACACGTAGAGTAGGAGTCGCAGTAGCTGGGAGCAAGCAGGCTGGAGCTCACGTCTCATCCAGCAACACCGTTCCAAGTGGTTGGCGACAAGATTACGTCAGCCATGTCTGCCAGGAACAAAAAGTCGTCGCAAACGTCGCCAAGGGTTATCCGCAACAAAAGACAAGGCGAAACATGTAGACTGGAATGCCGGTGCATCTCTCTGCATTTGGTGCTATAAGATAGGATATGGGGTGTAGCGTACACAAAGTCCAAGTCAATGTACATATGAAGCGTGCATGTCTCAAGTCCCCAATCAAAATCCAGACAAACACCGTCACTCGACACCATCACTCGACATCATCATTCAGCTGATCCCTGCACGTCGACTCGCTACCCATCTGCCCTGCTGCTTGCTTACTTGGCTAGACTCGCCAGACTCGCCAGACTCCCCCCCTCTCCCAAAGCCCATCGTGACGTTTTCTGACCTACCACCACACGCACTTACATCGCATAGCCCAACCTTAGAGGCCCAAGTCGCGTCTCACCGCCCCCAGCAACTTCACCGACACCCATACACGCATACACAAATACACACGTCCACTCCTAGACATACATACACACACACACACACGAACGCATATATACATATATATATCCACACATATCCCCATATACATATGCACACAATGCGCTCGCCATCGCCGTAGTCCTTCCCGCACGCCGCGTAGCCTTCACATCACTCCCGACAATCCCAAGGAGCGAGCCATGGTCGAGCTGTCGGCGGGCGCCAGCGTCGCTGTACGTCGCCCCTCCTGAGCCTTAGCTATCTACTGCCTACCTACCTACCCATCCCTCGTGGAACCATTCCAGACACCACACATAGACAGAGCCCCAGGCTAACACGCCCCTCCTCACTCACAGCTGGGAGTCATCGTCGGCCTCGCCTCGACCAGCATCCAGAGCGTCGGCCTCACCCTGCAGCGCAAGTCCCATCTCCTCGAAGACGACAAAGAGCACGACGATGAGAGGCGGCCGCCGTACAAACGCCGCAGATGGCAGGTGAGGCTCTCCACACTCCACACCCGACACCCCCCAGACCGCCCTCCCTTGCTAATCCTCTGTCCTAGCTGGGCATGTTCATGTTCATTATAGCCAACCTCGTGGGCAGCACCATCCAAATCACCACCCTGCCCCTACCCGTTCTCTCCACCTTACAAGCCTCTGGGCTCGTCTTCAACTCCATATGCGCATCCATCATCCTCAGCGAGCCCTTCACGCGCCACTCCTTGGTAGGTACCGTGCTGGTGGCCGCTGGAGCGCTGCTCATTGCCCTGTTTGGCGCCATCGCAGAACCCTCGCACAACCTCGATCAGCTGCTGGCACTGTTGGGGCGGAAACACTTTCTGGCATGGATCATCTCCACCGGAGTCATCGTCATCTTCCTCATAGTCGCCACATGGCTTTTTAAACGTATGCAACCTCGCCCCACGCCGCGATTACGGCTCATTCGCGGCATGTTCTTTGGCTGTGTCAGCGGTATCCTTTCGGCACACTCTCTCCTCATTGCCAAGAGCGCGGTCGAGCTCTTGGTTCGCACCATTGTGGACCGCCACAACCAGTTCCATCGCTGGCAGTCTTGGGTCATCCTCATCGGCCTCGTAGCCTTCGCCCTGACCCAGCTCTACTACATGCACCGTGGGCTGAAGCTGGTGAGCACGAGTGTCTTGTATCCACTCGTCTTTTGTGTGTACAACATCATCGCCATTATTGACGGGCTCATCTACTTTGACCAGGGTGACCGGTTATCAGGACTCCATGCTGCCCTCATCGCTCTGGGAACTGTGATTCTATTGGCTGGTGTCGTTTGCTTGAGTTGGCGTCTGGAAGAGGTCGACGAGGAACCTAGTTCGCCATTGCTTGGCAAACATGTGGATCGAGTTCCTCTCCCTCAGAATGTCCTTCAGCCTGGCCTGGGTCTTGTGCATGGTCACATCGCCGATGATTCCGAATCGCTTCGGGATAGTGAAGAAGAAGCCTCAGGTATAACTGGCTCGGTGAATGAGAGGACGTCGTTGTTGGCCCGCTCCTCTAGTGGGCCTGCCCATACTTTGTCTACGCGACAAAAAAATCGGAGAACCTCGGGAAATAAGCACCACGGCGATTCACGAGCGAATCCATCGTTCCGGAGAGCTCCAAGGAACCGGCGAGTGACACTCTCAGAGGAAACAAGTGAAATCTGGGATGAGCTCAACGACAGGGACGCGTTGCCGAGCCCGGTCAGACGCTCAACGGATGTACAGAGGCCACGGTCTGGCACTCTTCCCTCACGAGCGCAAAACAGACAGTCTGCACGCCCTGAGCAGATGCGCAAGCGTTCCTGGTTCGAAGGGTTCGGTACTGAACGACGGTGGGACCGCAGCATATTCCAGGGAAAGACAACCACCAACAGTTCCTCATCACTTCTGGACCACCCCGACCCAGAGGACGGTGATGACTCAGAGGCTGGCGTTGTGGAGACATGGCGTCAAAGTGGGAGATGGAAACAAGGCGGGCAAGGAAGCAGGGGTCGAGATGGTGTAGGAGACTGGTTCAAGCTGAAGTGGTGGCGAAAGAGATGGAGAGAGGGAGAAGAGGGAGAAGGAAGCCCATGATGAGGGGGCTTGTAGGATGGCAGTGTTCATCTTCAATATCCATTTTCAATTTGAATGAATCATGACGAAAGTTGTAGTTTTGCAGCCCTTGAAATTGAGTGAATCATGACTTTATCCATACATGTGTGTGCTCGACAGACGTTTGCGAGAAGCGAGGTGGGTAGAAGATGGGTGTTGCATGGCGTTCAAGGCGAAAGCTAGTGGACGACTCTGATGATTGACGAGTCTCTCAGTTTGTTTCTTTCACATGTCCCTTCCTGTGGAAAGTTACAATGGTATAAAAGACGGAGCTTTAGCTGCCAGTTGAAGCAGTAGTGCCGAGCCTCTTCCTCATTAATGACCACATGAATGAGCATATGTACTATAGTACTGTAACTCGACTCGAACTATGGTAGAATATCCACAAAGTGACTTGATCTTGCAAATCAAGACATGTCCCTGTCCCCACCGAACAAAGTCCCTTGCTCCGAGTAAGGCTGGGTCAGAATGAGGCTTAGGTAGTAACAACGCCTTGACAAGGCCAAGCTGTGGCTTGGCTACCATGGTTTGCGTGGCCAGCTTACGATACATTAGGCCGACGGGGGGGGGGGTGTACTGTAGAAACCTAGTAGAATCAACGGCAGACTAAATGTTATAGGCATCAAGCGACGGAGACGTTTGCCTTTGTTGGAGAATGTCTCGAAACGGCCGAAAGCAGGGTGGGTCATCATGTACCCGCGCGTCGATGATTGCGCTACGGAGCTTAGGGCCCGCAAAGACTGGACAGAGGCGAAAAAAAGTGCGGAGTCGTACCGAGCCCACCCCCCCGTAACCGAGCCTTTGTCAATGCCCCGTGAGAATCATCAGATTATGGTAAAAAGAAAAAAAGGGGTGGGGGCAGGGGGGCGTGCTACAGCGGGTTGCAATGGCTTGTATACCTACTATACACAAGCTGCTGCTGCGTGCCGATGACAGCAAAGAGGAGCCAGCTGGAATGCATGCTGATGGGCACGAGGATGCATCCACCCATCATGCGCGCGTTTCCCGTTAGTCTTGCAGCGAATGCAACGACTCTCGTTGCCGCATGCAGCTCCGTTACTTGGACAAACGTGGGTCTGGGGGGGGGACCCGCCAAAAGCTCTCCAGGTCCGCTGGTGACTCCACACTACGGATTGAGCGGGCCACACGACACCCCACTGTATTGCATCAGCATGCGTGAAGCTGTCAGTTCATGGATTATTGTTAACAATGTATGGATCTGCTGTCAACCGTATTGTAGAGTAGATGGATGGCATTCCTGCAGCGATGACCGTGGGGTCGGTCGATCGGCGGCATTAGTGACCTGCGGAATCATCCGAATAGGTTGCCATGAGAGTACCTAAAGGCAGCCACAGAACGGGCCCCCGATGCGAGAGGCGATTCTGTACACAGTGGAGTCAGGAGTGGTACTAGAAAGAGCAGAGTGATCCCAGCCGAGCCGAGGGCACAGCATATTGACCGACCAATGTTACATGGTAGAGCATGCAGCGTGCATGCAGGTGAGCACAAGCTTTCACGCTCCGCGTAACGGTTCTAGTGTACTACAGTATAGAGCACATCTGTGACCGTCTGGAGCAGCTAGTGATGGAACGATGTGGATGTGGCAGGAGGAAAAGACGACTGGTTGCGTTGCGGGAAACCTGGAGGGATGATCTCGCGCGTACAGCCGACTTCAAGCTGCATGTTTGTCGGTAGCGAAGACTGTGGCTTCTGTGGAAGAGACATGGCGTTGTTGAACGATAGGTGGTACTAGGTACTGTGTACTACTCCACATGTGAATGACCATTGGGCGTCGTTTGTCATCCTCTCAAGTGTGAAGAGGGTGGGTGAACAGTGCTTCCTGTCCTCGAAGACACGATGGTTGTGGAGATCCCACCCGCAAACTCCACGTTCTCTTCTCGACGGCCACTGTAAGTGTATTCATTTAGTTGAAAGTGTTTGTTCTGGAAAGGAAGGGGGTATGTAAACATAGTACACATTGTATGTATGGGAAGGCGAGGAATGGAGATGACGTACACCAACACGTGACCAAGGCTGCTGGGCAGCGGGACGGCTAGGATGCAGATCTGGTCCACTTGCTTGCGAACTTTGGTGGCCAAACAAGCCGTGGGCGCGGGCGCGTTGGCGTTTCGACTTGGAACAAGCCGCCGTTGTGTACTAGAATACGATACGGGTACCACCGAGGCGATCCTGTTACAGTACTTGCACAAGTAAAAGGCCAGTGTTTTGTTAGCCAAAGCCTTGTGCTGCGGCCCGTGGATCTTGGCTGTCGAGTCGCCATGGTACAGGACGGCCATGACGGTTCGCATGGGGGTGCGCTTCACGACCTGAGCTCTCCGCTCGCTGCCGTGGCTCTGCAAGAGTGCCAGCCCCTGATGCGCGGAAGCTTCCCAATGGGAAAAGCTGTCCGATTTCGTCTGGCGCATCTTGCCGGCAAGGGCTGATGGTGGATGACACGCAGGCCTCCGGGCTGCCCTGGCTTCACCTCTACAATACTAGTATGCTACTAGGCATGTAGGTACTTACAACATCACCTTGTGGCGGTCGACCTGTTTTGGTTTGACGTGGCTCCGGTTGCGCGGTCGAGGGTGGAGAGAGGACCCAGAATGTGTGTGGCTGCTTCTAGCGGCAGCCTCTCCATGTTTATCCGGTCAGGCAGCTCGGCGGCAAGCCACGGCCCCATCAGGGTGTGTCGAACAGATGCGCCTCTCTCCCCCCATCCCATGCCCATGCACCACACCCTGCACACAGAGAGCGGTTGCCGCAGAGGCAGGCGAGGGCAGTGGGACACGCTGGACGCTTGAGTGCGCAGCAACAGGCGTTGCAGGTTGCAGGCCGCGGCCCTCCCCCCCCCCTCTGCCTCCCCTCTGCCCCCCTCCCCCTCCCCCTCCCCCTCCCCTCCCACCTCCAAGGGCCAGGTACCTAAGTACTTGTTGTCCGATGGTGCAGGGCCCAGGCTAGGGAGCACGGAGCTGGCGACATGCTCATGCGTCAGCAAATGACGGGTGCTTGTCAGATTGCAGCCTGCCGCAGGGTTGGGCTAGGGACAAATGTACAGTATGCCTAGAGTAGAGTACTGTGATGTGGGTAGGTACCGTAGGTAGGTGGGTGGGTCACCGTGGGTGTGCGGTGCGGATGTGTAGTGTGGTGTGGGTTGGGTGTGTGAGGGTGTGTGTGGATGTGTGTGGATGTGTGTGTGTGTGTGTAGAGTATGTGTGTGTGTGCGTGTGTGTGTGGCACGAGCCATTTCTTTCTGCCGAAGAGGCGGGAGCGGAGGGGTTGGGTACATATCCTGCACAGTGCTGTGTCACACCAGGGGGGGCATGGGCGTTCCAAGGCGCTAGTCCGACGGCCGGAAGCTTCAGCGCATGCCAGCAAGCATCCCTGTGTGGAGAGAACAGAGTGGTTGCTTGGCGATCAGCCCTCCAGATGTTGTGTTGATCAATGGATGGCACCTTTGGCACCACCCGGGCGCCCTGTCCCTCGTGCGCCGCCTTTGTCTCGCCAACCGCCGACCAAAGCTGCGCGCGGCCAACCTTTGGGGTGAGTGTCCCCCTTCGCCGGTGGGCTGCTACAAGTACGAGCTGCAATCCGCCTCACAGGGGCAGACAGGCAGACAGGCAGACAGGCAGGCGAGGCAAGCAGGCGACCTTGGCAATTCCTGGGTGGTTGGGGGACGAGGGCGGGATCGATGGGCACTGGTGGGGACCTGCTACCACGGTACCTACAAGTACTGTACTGTACGTACAATACCTACAAAGTACATAGGGCACACACTCTCTACTTGGAGCTCCCCGAGGTTGTCAGGTGTGGGCCAATGGGGTTGATCAGGTGACTCGGGGAAAAGGGTATCGTCACGTGGGCTTGGAGGGGCCGTCGTCGAGGGCATGTCCAGATGTGATGTCGAGTTGGACTGGACAGGGTGTGGGCAACTGGGCAGGGGTGCAACCAGACGATGAGATGGACGGGCTTGATGGCGCATGTGAGGAACTGTGATGGTCTAGGTGGACCACCTATCTGTTAGTCCCCTAGCGAAAGGTATCATCTACAGTATGTACCCAAAGGTAGTAGCAGAGAGCAGAGAGATCTATGGGGACTGTCATGTCCTATCACCTAGTAGTTGGTGAATGTACAGCACCAAGTCTACAAACTGTGTGCCTAGGTACTCAAGTCTCGTCTTTGATGTGCTCTACTATAGTCTCGTCTTTGAACATGGCAGCCTAGTGCTATAGTAACCTACTGTGTAGATGCTCTAGTCTCGTGTTAGTGTGTTTGAATGGGCTTCATTCCCCCCTGCAAGGCGGTTGGCGCAAGAGGACGATCCGGTGCAAAAGCCAAGTGCCAACCGTGGTCCGTGGCCAAGCTTGGAAGCAGCGCGCGCTGGACTTTGTCGCGGGTGGGGCCCGATGCTCTCGGCACGCAATTACACTACAACACGCTAGTACGGTACAGGTAACACCCAGACCACCCACCCACCCACTCACACCCACTCACACAAAAAAAGCCTTTGTTGGAAAGGCAGTCGCCGCCTGTGTGTGTGTGGCTTGCGCCCTAGTGGGATTTGGCGGGTTGGCGCGTGCAGGCATGTCCGTAAGACAGGACCCATCCCGCACGGTCGCTGCACTACTTTCCACACACTCAGCGTGGGTTAGGGTTACAGAGCAGCGAAAGAGCGTTGGACCGCCCTGCCCCTTCGTTCTTTCGCCCGCCCGCCTGCTGCTGCTTCCTCACTCTCTTTTGCTCACTCACCCACTCTCCTCTCCTCTCCTCTCCTCTCTCTCTCTCTCTCTCTCTCTGCCCCTCTCTGCCCTCCCTATCTGCCATCCTGCCTCCTTCCCCCTTCCCCTGCCAATCCAACATCACCACTATCGCAGCCTCCCGTCTCCAGAGCTTTTGCTTGCTTCACTCCACTTCCACTGTACTGCCGCAACAACGTCGGCAGTCTTGTTGTGACGGCACCCCCATCCACACCCCCCCCCCTCTCGACTCCACATTGTCCGTGTTCCTCCCTACGCTGCGCGCGCGACCGCTGCACTGTGCTGCTCTCCGACACATCGCGCCAACCCTTTGTTGCACTCAACTCGTTGTCGCCATCCGCACCAGAGCCAGACGCGCCTACGACCCCATCTGTACTTGCTGTACGTATTCTGTCGCCATCCCGCCGTCGTCTCCTGTGACTAACTGACTGACTGACGCGAACAGCCCGTCGACCCTCTTTGATCACTGAACCTGCTCATCACCCGGCCGTTCCTATCTCTGGCGGGCCTTCAGCAGCGCCCTCATTGCCTTGCCACCCAGACCGGTCGTGAGGCGCCCTCATGGCTCAGCACCAGCAGCCGTCGCCCACGACGGGCATCCCGCCGCATCATGTCGGCCCTCCGCATCCAGCGCACGCCCAGGTCAACGGCCATCCGCCGCACGCCAATCAGCCCAAGACGTCGTCGCAATACCTCGGCCAGCTGACCGAGGCCGTCTGGACGCAAATGGGTAGGTTGCGCACGCCTTCCCACGCTGCAATGTGCACTGCTTACATGACACAGGCTCCCTCTCTGAGCAGATGCAAGACTACGATGGCGCTATGCAATGCTACGAACAGGCCTTGAAGTTCAACCAATGGTCCGTGCCGGCTATGCAAGGCATTGCCTGTATTCTGCGCACCAAGGACGCCTTCCCAGCTGCTGTCGAGTATTTGCGCACTATCCTAAAGGTCGATCCTGCGAACGGGGACGTCTGGGGTAGCCTCGGTAAGTGACACTTGGGCTATGCGGACCTCCATCGCCTAACATGACCAGGTCATTGCTATCTGATGATGGACGATCTGCAGCAGGCCTACTCGGCCTATCAACAAGCTCTCTACCATCTCTCGGATCCCAAGGTAGGACCTCGGCCATGCATTTGGATAAGAAACACGTCATGACTGACTTCATTCAGGAGCCTAAGCTGTGGTATGGCATTGGCATTCTTTACGATCGCTACGGGTCCTTGGAACACGCCGAAGAAGCCTTCTCGCAAGTGATGCGCATGGAGCCCACGTTTGAGAAGGCCAACGAGATCTATTTTCGCCTCGGTATCATTTACAAGCAACAGCAGAAGTTCAACCAGAGTCTGGACGTAAGTCTCTCAATCCACCTACTACCTGTCTGTCCAAGGACCCTTACTCATGCTCTCACAGTGCTTCAAATACATCGTCACCAATCCACCGCGACCACTGACGGAAGAAGACATATGGTTTCAGATTGGCCACGTCTATGAGCAGCAGAAAGAGGTACGTGCACTGCACTGGTCGCTTTGATTCCCCAATCTGACATGGGCCCAGTTCGAAGCTGCAAAGGGCGCTTACCGGCGGGTGCTTGAGCGTGATCCCAATCATGCCAAGGTGCTCCAACAGCTGGGGTGGTTACACCACCAGCAAAGCACCAACTATGCCAGCCAAGAGCAGGCTATTGAATATCTCGAAAAGTCTGTTGCTTCTGGTAAGTCTGGTGTTTGCAAAATGAGCCGGACGGCGTGTCTAACAGTTCTGAATAGATCAAACCGATGCACAGAGCTGGTATTTACTCGGCCGCTGTTACATGTCACAACAAAAGTATCCAAAGGCGTACGAGGCGTACCAGCAGGCAGTGTACCGTGATGGGCGGAACCCGACTTTCTGGTGCAGCATAGGTGTGCTATATTACCAAATCAATCAGTACCGTGACGCGCTCGACGCGTACTCCCGTGCGATCCGTTTGAATCCCAACATTTCCGAGGTCTGGTATGACTTGGGCACACTCGTAAGCACCCGCCGAATCCCCTTTCCCATCTCTTGTCACTAACGAATGGCACAGTACGAGTCATGCAACAACCAGACTGCAGACGCTCTGGACGCCTACCAGCGTGCCGCCGACCTGGATCCTTCCAATGTACATATCAAGGCTCGTCTTCAACTGCTGCAGAATGGCCAAACCTCTGCCGGCGCTCCCAACCAAGGAAACGCTCCCATTCCCCAAGACGTCCACCCACAGGCCTACCAACCTGCGTCTGTTCATGGACCTGCTGCGCCGCAGTGGGGCGCACCTCAACCACAGCAAGCACCTCAAGGCCCTGCGCCGCCGGCCCTCGCAGCCAGTGGTTGGGATAGGCCGTTGGCGCAGATTCGCGATCCCGGTCTTCCGCCACAGCAATTAAACCCCTATGAACAGCGCGAGGGCATCCGACCTCCAACCCAGCATGCGCCCCAGAGGCCTGTGAGCCCTAGACCAGAGCCACCTCGTGCGTATGCCGAACCCTCGCGGCCTCCAACCAATGGCCCTGGTCCTCAAGGGCCTGTCGGTCCCCCGCCAGGTCCTGGATCTATGCGTCGGGGCATGTCGCCCTCCCCCAAGACGCACCATGTAGCTCCCAGCCCCTATCATCCGCCGCCGCCGCAGCTGACACCGCAATCGTCTCAAGCGCCACCGCAACCGCCGATTCATCAACAACAACAACAACAACAACAACAACAACAACAACAACAACAACAACAACAACAACAACAACAACAACAACAGCAGCAGCAGCAGCAGCAGCCGCCGCCGCCGCCACCACCACCACCGCAACCCAACCGCATCTCCAACCCCAACTACGGTCCTCATCCTACCAGTGCGCCACCGCCACCGCCCCCACCACCTACTGGTCTCGGGGTTCCTGTGAATCAAGGCCCAAGTCAGGGTCCGGTCCCTCCCTATGGTCGTCCTGCTAGTCCCCCGCCCGAGGTTCGACCCATTGTAGAGAATCGAGGCAGCTCCCCTCGCAATGGCTACCAAGGTCCCTATCAGCATCATCCTGATTCGTCTGCAAGCAGTGGTATTGCAAGCGGAGCTCCTCCGCCAGCCTCGGCACTGGCTGCTGCCGAAGCCGCAGCACGCGATCGTGACGACCGTCCGCCAACTGCACCAAAGAGACTTCGCGAGTGGGAAGAGAATGATCACGTGAATCCGAAGCCTCCTACAAACGATGAGAAGCGTCAGAAGTTAGAGGAGCCGCATAGTCGTCGTCCAAGCCCTCCTCATCGCCTATCATCGCCACAGGTACCACGTCACAGTCCTCAAGATGTTTCTGATCCTCGACGGTTCAATGATGGATACCACCCATCCGAGGCGGCTCACCATCCTACCTCTCTACCGCCAATAGGTGCTGCGCCTCCGCTATCTCGCATGTCCGAGACGCCGAAACAGGAACGTCCGGAGCACCATGAGCCTGCGGCGCGACATGTCGACGTGGATGAGAACTACGATGACGAGGGGGATGATGCTAAACCAAACCCTTCCAAATCTGAGCGTGGGAGCCCGCGTAACGTGCCTTCGAATGGTGTTCCTCATGCACCCAACCCAGTCGAGCAGAAGTCATAGCCTGACGTAGAGTCGAATATCGGGCACAATTCTCCGTTTTTAGACGAGCTCTTTTTTTTGATGATCAATTTGAATCGCTGCACTGCAATTGTCTTGCTTGACTGGTTTTGCGAACGACTTACACAGCTGACAAGGCCAAGATTGTGATATCGATGCAATGAAAAAGATCAGTGCGTTTTATTGGTACAAGGTCACTGCTTGCACTCGGCGAGAAGTCAGAGTCTTGGTGATGGCTCTGCCATCAATTTGGCGTGTCCCTGGTGATACTATTCGTATTTTGTGTAAACTAAGTAAATTGATCAATTCACTCTTATTATCCTTGTATCACTCCTGCTTGCCAATGTTACACATGTACAAAACATGCATGACATGTGATTGCGGTACACGATATCTACGGTGCCTTGCCGGTACGTGGTGACGTGTGTCGTTGTGGTGTCGTTTGCATGTTTCGCAGCATGTCTCGGCGCGGGGCTGCCCAGAAGGCAGGCAGCTAGGGAGGGGAGGTACAGTACCTACAAGCCAAGACGTATGTAAGCGAGGGCGCAGTTCATATGACCATGGAATTAGCGCTGCGTGAACTCGTATTCGGCATGGGGTTAGGCCGTGCCAAGCTCCACTAGCTAGCTAAGCGAGGTCAACCAAACATTATGCCGTAAGATTTTGCAACGCGTTCCAAACCTATTCCAAACACATTCCGTACCAGTGACACCACAAGCCGCCGCCGCCATGCCTGTCACCAACGCATCCCTCTCATCCTACGTAAGCAGATTGAAACGTGTTCAGAACGTGTTCTTAACAGGTTACAGAAGCACTATTAACAGTACCTCGCCCTTGGCTGCGTCCCTTCCTTAACGCTACTGCTACCATCCTCCTCTGGCACTTCATACGGTTGCCCAAATTCATCTCCAATATCACTATCTAGTTCAGATACGTTGTCTAGTACTGCTGTACTGAACTCTAGTATAGCATTTGGGAACGCCTGCATATTATTAAGAACAGGTTTAGAACACGTTTAAAAAAGATAGTAACAAAAACTGCGTTTACTTGCTTAAATTACCCTAATTTATACTCGACCATGGGCTAGTTCATATAACCATGAAAATTTGCCGCTGTGACGTGGACTTGAACCTACAGGGATATTCTAACCACTCGGAGTAAAGCCCAAGTCGCCCGACGCTAAACCCATGGTCATATGACATGCCACCACTATGTAAGCCTCACAACTCCTCACGGATGCGTCATCGCACTGCTGTGAAGCATGCCCCTGCTGCCTTTGCGCCTCGTACGCCAATCTTTGCAGATCTCTCACTGTACAGTTACCGAGTCAAATCTGTATACGCATACGGCCAGGAAGAGTCTCGTTGGCTTTGTGGCCACTCGCACCTTGTCCTCACGACATTATTACCCATTTCAACACCCCCCGCAGCTACGCCATCGCTTTACGCAACCCAGTCGCGTAGTGTCTACCTGCTGGAACGACTCAGGCAGCCATCCTACCTCTCGACCGGTACGAAGCATGTCATCCGACGCCGACTACGCGGCCTTTCTGGACAAGGCGAATCAAGCCAGCGGCTCTGCAGAAGCGCAGGAGGCAGTCAAGAAGAGCCATGGGACAAAGAGCGTGAACAGCATGGTACCAAGAGGGCTGGATCAGATCGAGGAGTACTACACAAGCGATGCAGATGAGCCTTTTGAGCCTGTTGCACTGAAGTTTGATGGGTCAAGTGTATCGGCAGGTCAGAAGACCCTTTTCTTGAGGGGGGAGGGGGAAAGGTGGTAGGAGAAGCAAGCTAACAGGTGTGTAGACGAGCTGAAGAAGTTGATAGGCGGGGATCAGGATGTTCAAGAGGTTGGGCAGAAGGAGTTTGGAAGCCAGTATAAGACGGTCATGGACGCGGTGAGCAAGGCCGGGAATGGCGAGATCAGGATCTTCCGAGTGGAGCTTGGTGAAACAAGAGCGGAATACTATGTCGTCTCTGTAGACACGGAACAAGGCAGGGTGGTAGGGCTCAAGGCATTGAGCGTGGAGTCGTAGGCGTTGTACGTAGTACCCACCATGACTATTCACTCTACCTCGTACTTGGGCCATGGCCGCATCCTTTGCACACGTTCGCGCTCATCGGTCTGCCAGTGGCCAATGCTGCGTTGAGAACGAGGGTCCGTCGCTGGGCGGAGAATGGAAAACAGAGATTCGCACAACCGGGTTTCCCGTCGACGCATTCCGATGGGCACAGGATGCACAAGCAAGCGACAGTCGACAGTGCTTTGCAAGCGGGAACAGGGCACGCTCTTGCTCTTGGGATGCGCTGCAAAGTACGGAGTACTGGAGACTGTTTGCTGCCCACCAGCTCATTGGCCGGGCGAGTGGTTGGAGGCGAGCCAATGACGGGGGCCTTGGCTTGTGAAGGTGGACGAGTCGCAATTTCGGGACATGGGCTAGTACCGGTAGAGTAGGCTGACGGGGGGGACCAAGGGGAAGGGCATGTTCCATTAGATGCTGTAGAGTACTCCTAGTAGGTAGAGGACTCGTAGGGAGTAGAGGACAGGTACTACTTACTCTATCTGCTAGTTATCTCGGCTAGTTTGAGGATCACGTTACTTGTCTTGTGCTATGGAAAATAGCCAGGATGTAGCAGTGGCAAATCACATGATACTCAAACTACCCGAGCGCATGAGTTACCCCAGAGAGTAAAGGAGCACACATGACCATACGTGATGATGATGGTGGTGGTGCGTAAGCGTGCTAGAAGGAATCACTGTCTTTTGTCGTTGTTCATTGTCGTTGTCGTAGTCAAGTCATCGAGTGGGTAGTCGTGGTCGTGTTGGACCGACCTCTTTCTCCTTGTCCATCCATCTGCACACTCTCCAGGTGTACATCTCTTTTTCGCCCACCACCCACCACCCAACACCCTGCACTTGCACTTGCACTTGCGCTCGCCTGCCTGTCTGCAGACCGGCCTTCAGCTCTGTCCGCAGCAGCTTATGGATGGAAGCTGCCAAGTGACGGACGGCCAAGGTCCTACCCAGGGCTACTATATATGTACTAGGTGCTTCCTACCTCGTACCTAGTACCTACCCTGGCCGGCCAGCCCCGTTTGAGCCAGGAGCAAGTCGCCCTTCTTTTCCCTGCAACTGACCCGACTTTCATTCACCCTATCCTTATCCTCGTGCCCACGCCCGCCCTCCTCCTGCTCCCCCAAAACCGACCTTCAGCAGCGATACCAAGCAGCTTTTCGCCCATCGGCCCCCCCTCCATACGCACCGCATCTCGAGGGGAGTAAGCATTCTGCATTTCGCCGCCCGTTGCCCCGACACGCAGCTGCAGCCCTCGTGCAGACCGCCCGCTCCCTTGTTTACCAGTTCCGACTGCGTGCCACAGCCTACCACAACACTCGTTTACCGCGTATCCTCCTCGCCCTGGCGTCCTCATAGCAGACAGCACGGCACTACACTCACCCATACGCTCCTTAACCATGACGCCGCCACAGTCTCCTCGGGGAGACGGGCCTCCCCACATCCGCCTCAACTCGGGCACCCTCGAAGCCACGACCGACGATAACGCATCGCCTGCCGTGCGACCGGGCACGGCACGCACCCACTCGGCGCGTTCGCTCACACAGCCCATCCGCCCGGGCACCGCACCCAGTCCGGGCCTGCGCTCTGGCACCGTTCCCGCCTTCTACAACAATGCCGCCGTTGCAGACTCGGCCGAGCACCTGCTACCGCCCAAGAAGCTCAGGGCCAGTCGCCAGTATCGAGACGAATCACCTTTGCGCTCGCCCTCTGCCATGTCCTCGCGACGCTCGAGTTGGAGCTCCGACCTCACCCGTGACTCGAGGGGGCCGTTTGCCTCGCCCTTTGACGATTCACGAGCACCCTCACGGGCAGGCAGCGAGGAGGACCTCAATACGCAGACCGTCTCAGAGAAGTTCAATATCCTTCCCTCGGCAGGCTTGTTGTTGTTCCCAGAAGATGTGGAAAAAGACGATTATCTGCACAACCCGGACCCCAACGAAAAGGACAAGCGAGACTGCGACATCTTCACCAAGCGTGGCATGGTCAACGTCGGTGGTCTTGCACTATTAGCTCTTGGTCTTCTTGCCTTGTTTGTCGGGTACCCCGTGCTGTACGTTGGGCTCCAACGTAACCCTTGCTCTGTAGACGTAGGCTGACAGCGGAACAGGACCTTTGTCGACAAAATGACTGAACCAACGAAGACTCCTTGCACAGGCAATCCCATGTGCATACAAGGCAAAGAACATGAACCGCTACTCACTAATTTGCGACGGGGACTCATCGATCCAGACACTCCCAAAGAGGCCATGACCCGGACATCGGCCGATGGCTCCAAGCAGGTTCTAGTCTTCTCCGATGAGTTCAACACGGATGGCCGGACCTTTTACGATGGAGACGATGCCTACTTCCAGGCAGTCGACATTTGGTATGGGGCAACACAGGATTTAGAGGCAAGTCAGCATACCTGCTCGCTACCGAGCCCAGTACTAACAGGAGCAGTGGTATGATCCTGACGCAGCATATACCGAAAATGGTACTCTCAACTTCAAATTCGATCAAATCAAGAACCACGGTCTGGACTACCGGTCTGGTATGGTGCAGTCGTGGAACAAGCTTTGTTACAAAGGCGGACATGTCGAGGCCAGTATCTCGTTACCTGGCCGAGGCGATGTCAGCGGGTTTTGGCCTGGATTCTGGACCATGGGCAATCTGGCCCGTCCTGGCTATCTTGGCTCTACCGAAGGTCTTTGGCCGTATAGCTACCATGATGAGTGCGACATGGGAATCACGCCGAACCAGAGTTCATACGATGGTCTGAGTTTCCTCCCCGGAATGAAACTGCCCGCATGCACCTGCAAAGGTGAGGATCATCCCAGCCCGGGTAAATCCCGCAGTGCGCCCGAGATCGATGCTTTGGAAGGATCCGTGCATTTCCTAGGCCCCGGAGAGACAAATGCTGTCGGTGTAGTGTCTCAATCCTTCCAGGCCGCGCCTTTTGACATTTGGTATCAGCCAGACTACGGTATGTACTTTTGCTCACTTACGATGGTCACGGTGTACTAAAGCAAATCAGACTACGTCGAGGTCTATGATAAGTCAATCACGATGATGAACGCCTACAAAGGAGGGCCTTTTCAGCAAGCCATATCCGGTTTGACCAACCTGAACACCGACTGGTACAACGGGAAACAGTACCAGAAATACGCTTTTGATTACAAGACCGGTAAGGATGGCTGGATCACCTGGTATGTTGGAGACGATAAGGTCTGGACTTTTCACGCCCCTTCAACTCGGGCCAATGGCAACATCGGCACCAGGGTCATACCAGAAGAACCAATGGCCATTATTGCCAACTTCGGTATGTCCAACAGCTTTGCCGCGATCGACCTCAAGGAAATTGCCAAGGACATGCCTGCGTACATGCGTATCGATTACATTCGCATTTACCAACCAGAAGATAACCAAATCGTCACTTGTGACCCAGAGGGGTACCCTACCACTGACTACATTGAGAAGCACCCAGAGCCGTATGCGAATCCCAATTTTACGGATTGGTAAGTAATGTGATTTTACTGTGACTTGGCATGACTGACGATGATAGGAAATCGACCAAGTATGAGTGGCCAAAGAACTCTTTTATGCACGGTTGCGAAGAATGAAGTGGCATTGCTTGCCCAATGTGCAATTCTCATCACCAAATGGATCCGCTGGTACCGGCTTCCAGTTTCTTTACTGCCTGACGATCCCGATCTGACGTGGTCATGGCATACGACAATACCCGCACAGATTTTCCGCAAAACGCACGTAATTATAGACGTTTTCTTTTTTGGGCTCCACCGGAGGCACTGTACGCACAGATCATTTACACGGCGCCCGATGCAACATGTGGTGTTATGCAGCACCCTAACTCGAACGCATTTACGCCCCCATGTTTTGATGGAGACCGTGGCCACCTGTTCGCATTCCCAGGGAAACTATGTTTTCACATGGGTTTGCGAATGACCGGTTTTGCTGCGGTACGCCGTTGGCGTGCTGCGGCGACTCTGCGTCACACTGGCATCGACCATCACCACAGCATGCACATTTACAGCGCCTCTTGTATATCGCAGCATTTGTCTTTTTATGCATTGCCTGTACAAAAACATTTTGGACCTTTCAAGACTTATTTTCTGGACTAATTGGGTTGGAGCTGCTGGACGCTCACCATACTTTCTTGTTTGATCTGCAGCGTAATGCATTCTTATTTTTACCCTTTTGTTTCGGCTGTTGTTGTTAGCCACTCGTGGCCAAGTGCGTTTTTCATTACGACGTTGGGTTGGATAAGATGTTCTGTCTAAGAGAAGTGCGAATGCTCTGGGAGGCTAAGCAGCCGTTATAGCTCGGATGTGTATCATGAAGGTGAAGACTGCATGACAATACGGGACCTAGCAAGGATGCAAATGGTTGATCAAGATCGATATACTTCAATGGTCATGTCTTGTTGCGAAGACGGCTTATCGTGGTCACGTCATTGTCTTGCGTTCCCTGGGTACATTATCAGCCAAGTAGACATGTTGTCTGAGCCATGTCAGCTATTGAACACCGCAATGGTATGTTGTGCATGAGAAGCTCTTTGCCTCGAATGAGCCATGACTGTAGACGCGATTATGCAATCAACCCTTTTGTGTCCATATCAGAGTAGTCTTGTCCTTGTTTTGCCGTCTCGAGGACCCTTTGACTGAACAATGGCCGAACACAGTGCCTTGTGTCTACCCGCACAGTCACTAGGGGAAAACTATGATTGGATTTCGAGAACTTGTCAATCCTTGGGTAGATGTCTTTCAAGTGTTTGTGAAGTGCTGAATCATCGGGAAAGGAAGTGCAACAGGACAGCATTATGGAAACGGCTAGAGAGGTCAGGCAAAAGGAGCGCGTGCGCACAGGATCGTGCAATCAGACTTGGAGGGGTGCATAAAGAGAGGCCTGCTCACCTATTCGGATGTTCCTGATGTACGTCTTTCACGATTCAGAATCGTGTTCTAGCCAAAGGCAGCACGGAAATGGATGCTCCGTCTGGGCTCGGACCGCGCCCAGGTAAGTGAAGGTGATACAGTAGTATCGTTAGTGCACCAGTAGTACGTCTCATTACCCCTTGCCTACTATGGAATATTTAATTATATAGAAACCCCCGCAACTTACATGTCACGAGAGTCAATCTGTGCGCAACGCTAGTCCCGTATTTGTGCCCTTGAAAATTAATCCGTGGATTTCTTTGCCAACCATATGCTTATAAGGATGGGTCAACATGGCCAACATGGCCAACATCGTTGTAGTCATTCAACATAGCATCAAACATGAAGTCTTCTGTGCTTCTTTCTCTTGTCACGGCTGCCTTGGCAGTACCAACAGCCGTTGACCTATCTCCAAGGGCATCTATTGCCAAGACAGATGGATTGAAATTCAACATCGACGGCGTTACCAAGTGTAAGAAGCCATGAGTATTGTTTTCTGGCCATGACTAACCCAATGTTTCAGATTACGCTGGCACCAATAGTAAGTCATCCCATCTGGATATAAAGAAGCTGTCTAAACAAGTCCCGAATTTGAAGGCTACTGGATCCCCTTCCTTACCAATGACAATGATGTCGATGTTATCATGGGCCACCTGGCCACGTCTGGCCAGAAGATCTTACGCGTCTGGGGCTTCAACGACGTGACATCAATACCTAGCTCGGGAACAGTGTACTTCCAGGCCTTTTCCGGATCTTCTGTGACCATCAACACTGGCGCTAATGGCCTTCAACGTCTCGATGCTGTGGTCAAGGCGGCAGAGAAGCACAATATCAAACTCATTATAAGGTACTCCCCACGACTCGAGTAGAAATGACTCTGGCTAACATTTGTAAAGTAAGTTTTCCCCAAGCCATGGCCTGGAATCCGGTTTTCAGTCGAAATCGATGAGCGAGAGCTGAGGCAATGCCCTCGGCTGCTCCATGCCTATATCTCCCCTTCTTTTGAGACGCCTTACTGATGCTGGCATTTCCATAAATAGACTTTGTGAACAATTGGACCGACTATGGTGGTATGGCGGCCTATTTCTCTGCATGTGGTGTCAGCAGTAACGAGCAATGGTAGGTTCTTCGTGGTCGGATAGCACGTAGGGCAAACGCTAAACCAGAACCTGAACGAATAGGTACAAAGCAGCCAAATGTCAGAATATGTATCAGGCCTACATCAAGGCTGTCATGGGCCGTTATCGAAATTCCAACGCCGTCTTTGCTTGGGAACTTGCCAACGAGCCTCGATGCAAGAGTTGCCAGACTTCGGTGCTTACGGATTGGATCCGCAAGACATCCGACTACATTCGCTCGCTCGATTCCGATCATATGGTACGTGCTTGGGCTTCTGCTGGGTACAGATTGAGTATTGACGTACCTGGGTAGATCACAGTAGGGGACGAGGGCTTTGGACTTGCTGGAGATGGGTCGTATCCATACCAATTCAGCGAAGGTGTCGACTGGGCGGCCAACCTTGCTCTGCCCAACATCTCCTTTGGTACATTTCACCTATACCCTGGCTCGTGGGGCGTTAGCAATGCATGGGGTAACGGGTGGATCGAGGCGCATGCAAAGATTTGTGCTCAGCTGAAAAAGCCGTGCCTGTTTGAAGAATACGGCGTCAGTCAAGCGGCCGACCACTGTCCCGTGGAGTCGGAATGGCAGAGAACCAGCCTGGGTCTTAAAGATGCTGGCATGGCAGGCGACCTCTTCTGGCAGCTCGGCGATGTTATTCCAAGCTCGGGACAGCAGACGCACAATGATGGACATACCATCTACTACGGAAGTGCAGACTGGAAGTGTTTGGTCGATGAGCATGTGAAGAGGATAGGATAAAGCCGCTTTTCATGGCTTGCTCCGTGTGGAGGCTACAAGGCGTTCGTAGGCACGGGAAGGATGAGGCTGCACTACCAAATTGACTGTTTGCCTGACCTGGACTCGTGGAGTGTGTGCCTGGGCTGCATGGCGCTTCACTTGGCTCAACGTTTTCATTGTGATCATCTGCCGCTTGCATCTGTCTGTAGGGTAGTTCTTGGCGCATGCTGACGATGAGATGGACAGTGGTGGCCACACACGGATACAGCGGTAGCATGGCCAAGCTGGTGAAGCGAAGGAGCATGTGGTAGGTGATCAGCAGCCACGCGGGTGTACCTAGGTAATGAATGCATCCTGTTGGCTCAGCCAGCCAAAGAGATTCCCGTAGTGCGTGCTCGACGCAGAGATTGCGGTGTCACATATCGTTTCCCTCGGGAGAGAAGAAACGGAGTACATGGTATGGCCTAGCTGGTAGGTATCTGGAGGGAGGGCAGGACGAGGTTGGTGCAATGGCCATCGTCCTATGCAGAAACAACATGGGATTGGTTGGGTTCATTGGTGTAATTGCTGTGACGTCTACATGTACAATGATTGGGTCGGTCTCGGGCAAGGCCGTGTCCGGAACCCAAGGCCTTCTCTCCCAAAAAGAGTCGAGTGTGTGCAAAGAAGGGAAAGGTGAAACAAGAGTTGAAAAAGACGCGGACGAGTTTGCCGAGGCGGTTAGTCTACCCCAGAATGCGAGAGTCCAGAATATCCTAGCTACCAGACGTACATGCTTGTAACCAGGGGACCTAGCCGGGGGTGGGAGAGTAAGCGACCGTTCGGCACGAGTCGGCTTGCTGGGCACGCGCGGAGGGCTTTTTCCTGGGAGGGGGCAGGGTGATTGGAGTGATGGGTGATGATGATGGGTGATGATGATGGGTGATGATGGTGGATGGTGGATGATGGATGATGGATGATGGATGGTGGATGGTGGATGATGGATGGTGGATGGTGGATGGTGGATGGTGGATGGTGGTGGGGGGGTTTGAAGGGATGGCAGATGGAAGGGCGTGCGTGACATGTGAAAGACGAGGACGGGAAGCTGCCTGCAAGGTGAGCTAATACGTAAGCGGTCGGTACAATGGCTATGTACCTAATGTACTATACTGCATGTTGTAGAGTACTGTGGACTGTGGTAGAGTAAGGCTACCGGTCCCATACTACTCTTATGAGCAACAACGACAGACACCACCAACCCACACACACACACACTCACTCACTCACTCACACCCACGACAAGAAAAATAAAAATCCCCCTACCCGCCCCCAACAAAGTCGCAAACTCTCAACCAACATTCTCCCCACCACCCCCCCCCCTCTCTCTCTCTCTCTCTCCACGCCGCCACTACAACCCCAGACAAGACTACTTACTACATTCTAGATAGATGCCCAGGCGGGCGACGTCGGCGGCTGGCCATGTGACGGCGCCCTCTCTCAGCTACTGTCGTTCCTCTTCTCTCCACCATTCTCTCCCCCAACCCCCAATAAGCCGCAAGGAAAAGGCAATAGCCGGTTGAAGTCGAGCTGCCTGCTGTCGCTGTCGTCGTTGCCCTGGCCGCCTGTCTGTATCGCCATCCCACCAACCCCCCCTCTTCCGCCCGCCCGCCCGCAACGGCGCAACCCTGGCGACGCTGTCGCTGCACTCGTTCGCAGGGCCCTTCGCGGGTGCCACGGCCACGCCCAAAAAGGCCTTTCACAGTCCGCCATGGGCGACAAAGATCCGCCGCCTTTTGGCTGTAGGCTGCTCCTCCGGCCGCCCCGGCCGCTCCTGTCCCTCCTCCCACTGACACGCGGGCAGACACCTTCAGCGACGACTTCTTCGTCGGCCCCTCGTCGACCTTCGATGCCGACGGCCAATCACACGCACAAGGCCCGCCGCTGCTCAACGACACGGAGAACCAGTCGCTCGCCGATTTCTTCACCAACACAGACCCTTTCCTGGTCACCGAGCCCGAGCCTTTGCCCTCGCCACTCAACTCCAAGGACGCACCCGTCTGGGACTACAACAACTGGAGCGACTTCATAGCACCCGCCACCGTCCACCGCGTCACCACCACCATCCCCGACCAAACCCACCTGCAACACCACAACTACTACCACGAACCCACCTTCCCCCCAACCCTGCTCGCAAACCACCTCGGCAGTACACAGGACGACCTACAGGCGGCTTCAACCCTGTTCAACAATGCACAGCCGCCATATGCAAACAGCACCTCGCACGGCTATCCCGAGCCGCCAGTGCCGCAGCCCACCAACACCACCGCCAGCAGCGCCCCTGGATCGAGCCAGAACAACCGGCCCATGGTCATCACACCACATGGCCCCCTACATGAGCAGCTTGCCGCACTGCTACCTAAACACACCGAGAACGGCACTCTCGATGCACAATGGGCCGCCCAATGGGCCGCCAACAGAGCGTCCGAGCAGTTGCAGCAGCTCGAAGCCGAGTACAGCACGACCTTTCAGAAACCCAACCTGAAGAGATCGTACACATTCGGCACAGACAGCTCTTTCAACAATCCCGCGGGATTCTGTGCATCTCAAGACCATGGGCACGATGATGCCACGAGGCGACAATCGCAGCACGACCTCGAGCATTCTCAGTTCCTGGTGAGATCCATTGTCGGCATACCGGAGCCTGCCACACCTATGCCGCCACAGCCAATGCATGCCGACGACGTGAGCGAGGAAGACAAGTCCGGACGTGGTACATCAGACGACGAAAGCAGTGATAAACCAGCCAAGAAACGCAGAAAGAGTAAATATCGAGTCGGCAAAGAAAGCCCTCGCAAGGCCCCACGGACTGGCAAACATCGCAGAGCAGCCCTACTGGAAGACAACAGTAAAAAGAAGCGGGCTTCTGCGGCTGCACAGAAGCTACAGCGAGAGAATCTTACAGAAGAGCAAAAGCGAAGTAACCATATTCTCTCTGAACAGAAGCGTCGAAATCTTATCAAGCGAGGATTCGATGATCTTCACGATCTTGTGCCTGAGATTCGCAACGGAGGACTGAGCAAGAGCAGTGTCTTGACGGAGGCCGGTAACTTCCTCGAGAAGCTCATGCAAGACAATCACGCGTTCTGGCAGATGGCTGGCGGTGCTACAACTGCCTCGCCTAGTTGATGGTTGCCGTGAAACAGGGGCCTGTGGCAGCTGCTCATACCAAGACCTGTGCCTTGTCCATGAATCTACTACAGCAAGGACATGGGCGAAGGCGATTAGAGGTGTAATGAGTGCGCATATACAGCTTATGCTGATTTATGACGTTCTAGATGTCGTCTGGAGAGGAATTGCGATACCCCTACGTATAATAATGTAATTTGATCCCTCTGAAATCCAGTCAGATTTTAATTTTGTCACGTGAGACGGATGATAGGGTAAGTCTACATCCTCGAGAGATGCTGATTTTGATTCTGCCACAACCCTTTCTATGCCGTGGCCTTGGGCAGCCCCGTTTCCCCAACTTTGTCCTCGGGAATATGGATCCGCATTGCCTCCTCTCTCACCTTGGCTGGCCCGCGCTCATGTCCTCTGGGCACACCTGCAACTCTCTTGTCTCTGGACATGCGTGCGCCGCCTGGCCCAGTCAAGATTTTCTTTTGACCTGGATAATCACATCGCCCATGATCGTTACAGAAGCCTGTCCTGCACTTTGCATTGCTTCGACACACGGCACCCAGACAGCTGTCCGTGGACAAACAGCGGGTACATAGTCCCCAGGAGCAGTAGGAATCTACGTCGCAATGCTCTGCAGATTCACAGGGGTTGCCGCGTCCAGGAGGAGCTAGGCAGATGGGAAGCATGCCTTGCGACCCGTCATGCTGCCAGATTGCGAAGAGATTGGAAAGACTGTCGGTGTAGCACGAGCCTTGGGGGTCACTGGCGACGATATGATTCCAATTCGGATTCTGAGGCGCCGTGTCGCCAGCGCGAGCCCTCTTCTGTTGTTCCATGACAGGCTGCATCGTGCGTCTTGCTGAGCATTCTTGACATTTTCCATTCGAGCAACGAAGATGCTCCTGACAGACCTGCTTGCTGTTACATCTATCGCCTATTTTGCCAGGCTGGGACTCCGAATTCTGCTGACAAATGTTGTTTTTACAAATCAGGTCAGGGCTACAGCCGTCGGCGGCGTCACAAAGATGGCCCTCGCAGCCGAACGTACAGTCGCTTTGTTGTACGATATAAGGATTCAAGGGGATCGCTGTCAGGTTGGAAAGACCAGCGCGCCTAAGTATCCATTCGCCGTCACTATCTTGTCGCTTGGCAAGACCAGCAGAAGGAGGCGGCAGGTACTTGTCCCAGTTGAAGTTGCTACGCGTCGTATACGCTCGTTTCAAGACATCTTTGAGAGCCGTCCAAGCAGTATACTCTGTTCGGAGAGGGTTCACACGCGCTGATCTGCCTTCGTCCAGGGTGGTGAGGTGAGAGTATATCTAAGGGGTTGATTTTAGTATCTGTCATATGTCTGTCGGACTGATAGCTCAACGTACCCAGGGGATCCCTCTTAGATTCAGCGCATTTCCCTGGTCAAAGATGGCCTCCTTCTTATAAAAGGTCCCAAACTTGGAATCCACATACGCCCATTCTTCCACAAGTAGTAGCTTGCCCTTTCCTTCCCTATCTTTTGCTCTTGCAGTCAAGGTGTTGCCAGGCATAAACAATTTTGCCCAGGGTGTTCCTGCTGTAGCGGTATCCTCTTTGGAAAAGTAACCATGGATGCCAATAACATCAATGGCAGCACATTCGAAGACGCTTTCGGGGAAGTTCTGGATGCCATCGACTGATTGCGGTCCGGACACACCGCCACTAATGACTGCTATATTAGAATATTCGAGGCCGATGTTAAACTTCAGATAGTTGGCTATATCGCAGAGCCATGACTCCCCAGAAGGGATCGGCCAGATGTCACTGAATGGTTGGTTCTGCAAGTCGACTCCCTGGTCATAGTCAGCGTTAGCCTTCAGTTCCCTACGAGAACGATTGATCCCGTGATTTTACAGACCAGAATGATCTCCGAAAGATCTCCCCAAGGACGATTATCAAAGTTCTTGGACGGATAGTGTTTGAAGAAGACGTCCAAGCGCGTCTTGTACGTTTCTCGCACTAAAATTTGATGAGGGGATTGGTTTCAGATGTTCGTGCAAATAGGCCATGACATACTTTCATCACTGCTGTAGAAGTCCAGAAATGCCCCGTTGAGTTTCTTGCAATACGCATCACACGGAACATCATTGGTGCCACGAAGTGCGTGCGCGTCGTGTGGTGCAATAATCACTTTGACTTGACCTGACCAACAGTCAGGATTGAAGTCAAGGTTACGTATGCGCAAATCTACCTTTTGACAGGTGGTGGATTGCGGCCATGGTATCGTCAAATTGATCAAGCAACGACTTGTCGAAACCGCCAAGCTCAGCCTCAGGCTATAGTTTGTCAGCCAGAGTGTTACTTTCAAGATGGCAGGACTCTCCTACATCGTTATGCTGCTTGTCCGGGCGGACTATAGAGATCTTAGCTCCCGTGTTACCAATCGCTTTGGTATTGCTTACTGAACAGACGAATCACTCTAGCACCGCTTTTGATAACCTCTCGAATCGTGTCATCTCTGTGCTGCGGTGTGAAGAACTGAAGCAAAGGATAATTGACGCCACCAAAGGAATGATGGTCGGCCGTGATCCTCAACTCAGCAAGCACAGGCCTCGTATGCAAGCATATCGAAGCCAGACTCGCTAGAATAGATGAGATGAGCATTTTCGGTTATCCTTTGATAGTAGACCATTGAGATAAATTCACAACACGGAGCAGGTCATATAAGAACACCAGACGCCTTCGAGACACGTAGACATGAATGTGTAGCCAGGTTTCAGTGATGGAAACGGTAGCCACAATTTCGTGGTAGGAACAAGAGGTAATGCCTTCTAAATGAGGCTATTCATTTAATATAGATTAAGGTGCAGCTCGTGGCCAATCACGGAGCCAAGTTCTCCCGGAAACTCGGGAAGGTTGACCTGGGCGGCGGAGTTAATACTGTACATGGGATACAATACAGCAAAACAGCAGCGACAGGAACATAACGACTCGGCGTAGTTTGACGTTGATCCGAATGGCATCTTTCCTCGGACAGTCGAGAGTAGCACATTCACAACATCCATGTGCAGATCGCTGTGCAGGCACGTTGATGGGCACTGGGGTCACGTGAGGTTTGCCGCGTAGGTAACCTGGGAAAGCCCTCGAAGGCTGTTGATGTAGCTGGCGGAAACAGCACAAGCGCAGACGTGCTCAGCAGGGACGAGGCGTGTAGTGCCGTGGTGGTGTCGTCCAAAGGTGCAGCCATGACATGCGCAGCGGACCGCATTGCATCGTGTCCTGTTCAGCCTGCAGGATGTACACAGATGGCCTCTAGCCTCCGCAGCGTAGCCACCACTTCCTCTCCAAGGTCATGGCCACTAACTGTCTGTGCAAAGCGGCCATGGCGCAGGTCGCTGAGTGCGCCGACGACTTCGCGGACCTCGTCCAATAATTTTCTATTCTCTTCTTCCATTTGTTCCAACTGGGCTTCCAAGCCTCGGCAAGCCTCTTGCATACTCGCGTGTGCTGTATCGAGTGTGTGTGGCGGCGTCTGGTGAGGCGCACCAGAGAGCTGAGGGGGGTGTCAGTGGCCGTGGAGGCGGATAGATATGGCTAAGTTGGGGGCGCATTGCCCACCTCATCTTCGATCTGGAGGGCAACGGGGTCCAGGCCAGGAGCTGCAGTGCTGTCGAGTCTGCATCGCTCGCGCGCATACTCACGCCGCAGTGGCTTGGACCGCTGCACCTCGGCAGCAATGTCGCGGCGCACAGTCTCCATGTCGTGGGCGCGCAGGCGCTGGAGCTCGCGGTAGAGCTGCGGGACAGCCGGGTTCTCGCGGTGGCCGCGGGGAAAGATGTCGGTGAATTGGCGCAGGGTGGTGAAGTCTTGCAGCGGGGCGGGCGCGAGAAGCAGATCAGCCAGCAGCTGGGCCTCGGGCGACGGCATTGCCGAGATATGAGTGTCGAACGTGGCAGTAGATGGGGTGTGGGTGGGTGAGGAGGTGAGTAGTTGGGTACCTAGGTGGTTGAGAAGAAGAAGAAGAAGGAGGAGGAGGAGAACGAGAAGCAGAGGGGAGGAGCAAGAACGCGACGCGTTGTTGGGGCCCGTGCTCACAACCACTCCAAAAGTACCCCTACCACAAGTCTGTACAGTATCAGTAACCAGTAACCAGTAACCAGTAACCAGTAGGTGAAGGTGCGCCTTGTTCACAGTCTGGAGCACCCTCGGGCCATTCTCGCCCGCTCCTTCTTCACTGCGCATTTTCGTCTGGCCTGCCTGTCACTACGGTAGAGTTTTTGGCAATCCGTCACGAAGCTTGCACGCCCGTCCAAAGCCCCCGTCTTGCGCCTCATTTCTAGGCCGACAAGACACGATCAACAGCCATCTGCTACACGACTGTCTTGCTGAGCCAGCGCTGGGCCTCACCCCTGTGTCTACAGAGTCCTCGCGCCGCACCGCCATCATGGCACCTGCTTCTGCGCCTGAGCCTATGTATCGCAAAGATGAGAAGGTCTACTGCTTCCACCATGAGTTGCTCTACGAGGCCAAGGTACTCGAGCTCAGGCCCGTCGACGGCGACGACAAGAAGAGTGGCTTCCAGTACCGAGTCCACTACAAAGGCTGGAAAAACACGTAGGTACCTACCGTCTGCTGGCACTCTCCCAACCGTTTGCCTGCCTGCTTGTTTCCAACCCACACTTTGCCCCATGAACAAATTCGATCCTCACACCTTCTAAATGTTATCCCCCTTGTTTACCCAGCCAAAGCCAACCAGTACATGCTCTTCTCTCGGGCAATCTGCGCCACAGGACTGCATCGCTAACAGTCACAGCTGGGACGACTGGGTTCCCCAAGATCGACTACGCAAGCTATCTCCAGAGAATAGAGAGTTGGCAAACAACCTAAGGCATGAGATGCTAGCTGCACAGCGTGCTGCAAGAGCCCAACCGCAACCTGCCAAGAAGAAGGTTCAGGGCTCCACAAGAGGGAGCGAAGAGCGTCAAACCTCTGCTTCCGCTCCTTTACCACGTGGTCAGAAAAGATTGCGTGATAACGATCTCGAGAAAGTTGGTATTCCTCTGTTCCGTGTCGCCTGCACTGTCGCGCTGCTAATGACTCTATAGGAGGAACACTTTCACAGCAAGTTGGCTGTCAGGATATATATGCCAGACCGCCTGAAGAGCCTCCTGGTCGATGACTGGGAGAACATCACCAAGAATCTGCAGCTGGTGCAACTGCCGTCAAGCCGGCCGGCCGGCGTCATCTTAGACGAGTACCAAAAGTATGCACAGGCAACCGGCAGCCGCAATGGTACCGAGCTCGACATTCTCGAAGAAGTCATTGCAGGTCTCAAGGAGTATTTCAACAAAGCTCTCGGTCGTCTATTGTTGTATCGATTTGAGCGCGAACAGTTTTACGATATCGATACCCGGATCAATCAACCAACCGATGACCTTGCCGGCAAGCCATTGATTGATATATATGGCGGCGAACATCTTCTACGACTGCTTGGTAAGGAGTGACACGTTCCTTGTTTACCTCTACCCATAGTTAACTTCTTGTCATCTAGTCACCATGCCAGAATTGATCGCGCAGACGAATATGGATCATCAAGCCATCAATCGCCTTCGCGAAGAACTGAGTGGCATGACAACATGGCTCGCCAAAGAACCCCAGATCAATGCATTCTTTGCTTCTGTATATGAGAGCCCGGGGCAGGCCTACATCGACAAAGTCAAGTCCAGTACCTAGTGTCTGTCTAGGCCATGTCCCCAGCACAGCACTTCACTTTCCCACGTTGGTACCATCACTATTTGCATGTATCGAGAGAGGGCTGGGGCAACCTTTCTGGCGCTTAAGTGAATTGGGCTGGCTTCTTCTAATTGATGATATATTTGCATGTTCCGCAATAACCCATAAGCCCATCATACACAGTACATCATAGCAGAATCGTTCTCTTGCGTGTAACGTGCGTCATGTGATGCAGCAGGTTTTGTCCGTACACGTCATGAAGCCTTCAAGACATTCTCTAATACGCCCACGGCCCAAGCCAGGCACTCGGCCATGTTTTCCTCGGCGTCTGGAGGCATTGGGTGAATGCCAACTCTGCTGCAGACCCCAGGGTCTAACGGACCGTGGACGTCTCCGCCCAAAAATAAGAATTTGTGATCCTGGACATAGTTGGGCCAAACGATTTTGTCTACGTATCCCGGTGGATCCTCCCAGAAGCCTTCGAGCGTTACATAGCCGCTCCTTGCTTCTCTCCTCTTCTTCGCAGTTTGGTACCTGGTGCGAAGGAAAAGCCTGAGGTCGAACATGGACCGAACGTCGCGCATGTCTTCCGAGAAGAGTAGAAAGCCATCGACTATGCATATTCTGCGGTCCTCCCATGAGGGTGTGGCACGTAGCCAGCCACGAACCAAGCTTCGGAGTCTTTCCAGCTCGCTTTCGGGGACTCGATGCTCGCCGACGCTGTTTTGATCTTCTTTACTGCTAAGCCAGTCTGGGCTCTTTCCGTGCAGCTTTATGTCTTGTAGTGCTTTGACTAGACTGGCTACGTCAAGCGACTCTAGACAATCCCAGTCCTGGATGCCGTCCTTGATTGGAATTTGGGCGTCGGTCAGGTAGAAATCGTCGAGATGCAATATGAAGATTTTCGAAGGCGGAAATATGTCTCGCAACAGGCGGGACAAGGTTGTTTTGCCAGACGACGAAGGGCCCGAAATACCAATGAGAAGGGGTGGTTGCATGTTGACAATGCAGAGGATGCCGGCGATTCTGGCATGGACTTGGTTAGTGAGTGCGTGTTGCTGTCGATGGAGTCACTGCTCTCTCGCGTGTTGGGTTGCAAAAAAGCACTGCGCAGGTGCGATAGTAGGTACCGGTATGCACCGGTACGGTAGAGAGGAGTGTGTGCGTCTAGTCTATTGTACCTATCTGCCTACTTACTCACTCTTACTGTGTAAGACTCAGGCCCACCGTTGACGGTTCCTTTAATCTCACAGCTCTGGGGGTATGGATTGGTATTCCGAGCGTTCAAGCACGTGCAAAGGAATACGGTAGTTGAGCCGTCTGTGTATTGTGTAGGTACTCTACTCTACTACAATCCATGCCGGTACAACGCAAGTGGGCCGCGCACGGTCGGCGTTTGATCGACATGCGGGCCGCAATCGCTAGCCAAGTTGTCTACATACTCCATGTACATGTGTACTGTACCTAGGTGGTAAGCAGCGAGCTGTCCATGACCCCATGGCCTATCTCCGACGCGCGGTGACAGGTTAGACGTGCCTTGGGACCGCTCGCTCAGTGAAAGAAAACGTTGTTCGCCATGGAACCCTCACCGCTGACGCAGGACTCACGTCCTCGTGTGTTCCAGCCTAAGATTATACGCCTCTACGAATCGCTCTTCACGGTATGTTTCTCTCTCTCTCTCTCTCTCTCTCTCTCTTCCCCACCGCTCCCCAAGGCTTGCCAGCGCGAGGCGGCGTATGTAGCAGCAGGCCACTAGCTGACGAGCTGCCCAGCAAACCGATGAGGACGACGACTTTGAGCTGTCCGAGGGCTTCTGGCAAGAGTTTTTTCTCCACAGACCTGACTCGGCTGGCCTCAAGCGCATACTGGCCTCGGTCGCGCCCGACGAGATGCTGCATCAGCAGGCGCATTCCCAACAAATGTTTCGACAGGCCACCCTGCGCGTCAAACAGGCGCGCGCGCCCTCGGACGAGATCGCACTCGAGGTACGCTGCTGCCCGTCGACGGCACCGCTTCGTGGGCTTACTGCCTAGACCCTGACCATCTTCCTCGATGCTGCCCTGACCAAACGATACACCAACCCCAGCTCTGACATCATCTCGGTGCTGGCTGGTTTGCACGATGCTGACGCGATTCTGACCGACTTCGTGGCCACGCTCGACTCTACTGTGCGCAGTGGACGGAGCAGTAAGTGTGTATTCCTCCCGCCGACTGAACATGTACTGATGGCCGCTACGTTATAGTCGAGTTGCGCCTCAAGGCAGTGCGCGCCACGCTCTCCATCATGGCCGCCGGCTTCCAGACCGCCCTCCCTTCGTACTTCACCCACCGTGATCTGTTCCCCGCCCTCGTCAAGGTATGATCCCTTGCACATCAGAGACACACCAACTCACAGGCCGCAGTACGTTCAAGACTGCCCCAGTAGCGACGGGGTACTCCCGGCCTTTTACCTTCTCGGGCTCCTATCCAACTACAACAAGTTCGAATTCCAGAACCCCTACCGGCTGCGTCTGGATGACTTCGTAAACGACGCCGTCATCCAAGAGTTGATTCGTTGCTTTGGAGCTTCCTGCCTCAAGTTACGGGATGCGTACGTTGCGATTCAAGACGATATGCCCGAGGGATGGACGTTGGGCTCAACCCTCAACTACATAGGACTAGGTGCACTCGCACCCAGCTCTCGGCCTGCCACGCCTATACCAGCTCCAGAAGAGGCCAAGTCACTGTTTGCTGCCCTGTAAGTATTCCTGTCCATCCCCCTCCCTCTTCAGCACTTGCTTATCTTAGCCCGTAGGCCTGGCCCAGAGATTGGTGTGCTTCTTTCGACTTACGAATTTGCGAATGCAAACAAAGTCTTCTGCTTTCATCTCATGACAGTAGATATCAAGGAGAAGAAGGCACGCTCACCTTTCAGCGCTTTCCTGTCTCTGACTTCATACCTGTTTCAGCATGCACATCGATCTATAAGAGCGACTCTGTACACTTATCTCAGCCTTTTCATACTTCAAATTCTCGTCGAAGACCCGGGGACTGTCAAACGCTTATGCAACGACGAAACAAAGATATCGGTCCGCTTATGTCGCCAAAGACAGCCCTCTCTTCCACTCGTCAAGGGCGACCGAGTTGCAGCAGCCGTCATGTTGGACTTGATGGTTGACGGCATCAACCACAATTTGCGCCGGCGACTTGATGTGGATTTCTACATGTATGTGGCTCTACAATACTAAAACACGACAATTGAGTAGACTAATGTGCTGCAGTCTTTGTCTCGGCATTACCCTACGGACACTTTCATACATCAGCCGTGCCAAAGTCCGCATCGCCTATCACTGGGCGGAGCTCTGGAAATCATTGTTGACTTTCATACGTTTCCTGGTGACTTATGCTGAGGATGTAAAGACCAACTACCGAACTGCGGAAATGAACAGCTTGGTCACCAACCTGCTCGCTTTTGCTTTGTCTAGCGGAGAGAATTTCCTCCCAGACACAGCCTCATACGATGACTTGTTCTACAAACTTGTCGAGAGTGGTGACATTCTTGTCAAGTTCCGAGACGTTTACGGTCGCGCCAATGAACCAAGCTCAATGCAGACACTTATCAATGTATCATCACATTATCAGTCTCTGCTCGAAAGTAGCAGGAATGGGAAAGCAAAGAGCAAGCACTTGAGTCCTCAGGAAGTTAACAACATTATCAAACTCGGCTATGAAACCTTGTCAATCGATGCCAGTGAAGGCTTGGATAGATCTGACAAGTTTCGGGAAGCGGATTTCAAAATATCTTTGAAGAAGATTGCAAGGGCCGCGGTTGATGACGCAAAATTGATGAACGGCGAGCGCTAGAACAATGTCCCAAGTGAGACTTGCGTGCCGCAGGTCGTGTGCTGTCGAATCAAATGCTTTTGTTTACGAACCACGGCAGACAGGAAAGGCTCTTTAAGGTGGTTTTCGAACTTGGTATTGATGCAGCAAATGCAGAACAAGGCACTATTTGAAAGGGAGACTTAGAGTAGAAGCCTCATCGCATGTGCGCACACCATTCCGTGCCGTTGTTTCTTCGGCTTGCCTTTGCAAAGATATTTCTGTTACCCAAGTAGCTGTCGCACGTCAGATAATACCCGGCATAGACAAGGACTGGGCGAGGGTGATGTCTTGATAGTCTGCAGACATGGTGATGCTAATACAACGATAGGCTCTCCCTCGGGTAGTTCGTAGTAATTCTGCACTCCCCTCTTCCGGAGCCCCAGAGAAGCGGGCCATGGCCTGTTTAGAGTCAAGAAAGTGGTGAAGCATTGCCACTCAGGACACACTTGGAGCTTCTTGTGCTCATTGAGCACACATGTTGTAATGTTGGTCTATACCTGCGAGTACCTAGGCACTTTGGTCAATCGATACAACGGCTAGGCCTGATGCGAACGTCATTTGCGTTTCCAAGATCATTGCAGGCTGCACTGACCTCGTAATCAAGTTACCGTACGAGAAGGGCAGGGGTCCCATCCCAATGGTTCGGAGTTCGCGTTTAGACACCACGTGGAAGCCCTAGGATGACCCTGCCTGTGGACGATATTGGGGAGCCCATTCATAAGCTTCGACCTTTTTCCTCTGTCGACATATTGGACTTGGGCTACAGAATTGGACGGCCGCAGAAGGGAAAAATTTGCTCGCCGTCATGACTCTCTCTCTCTCTCTCTGTAACAACGCTTCTCTGTGTTTGGTCGGGCCAAAACACTTCGGCATGACTACGAAGGCAGTCTTCCGACACGAGGCGTCTATTGATTTGACCAAAGCGCACGCTAGCTTCGTATAATAATACTGTATTCAACGCCAACCCTGATCAAAGTGGCGGGGTCGACAAAATAAAAGAGGAACGAAGGTGCGTGTATTGACAGCCTACAAGTCGTCTGCCCATAGTGTAATAATGTGGTGCGTAAAGGGTCGTCTCTTCTCAAGGAACGACGCAGATGGTATCATGAAAACATACAACACCATTCAAAATGCCCAATGAAAACGCCAATGCTAAAGATGCCCACACGACAGGCCGCTCTGCGATGCTTCCTCTCCTGAAATACCTCGCCTAAACCCATGGGTCCATTGGATTACTGATTTAATTACTTTCCTCGCCTGTAACAAGCTCGATAAGATCTTCATCGGAAGAAACACCTTTGCCGGCCAGCTGGCCAAGGGTCCATCGCCAATCTCGTGTTCTTTTCCGGCGTCCTGCCACGGGTGTTTCCGGACATGAATCGCTGTCGTCATCCGAAGAGGACGAGTCTCTTTTCTCACCGATCCGAGGAGCTTTCCGAGGAGGGGATATTTCCGTGGCAGGATCCATGCAGTTTAAAGGTCTGCTGGGAGATTTACTGGGGGGTTCAGCTATTTGATGCGGGCATGTGCTGTGCGAGGTGTCGAGACACAAGGACGACTTCAAGTTGGCTGCCTCTGGACCACTTGGCATGGTAGATGTTGTGGATTCATTTGAGGACAGTGTCGAGAGGGAAGACTGGAGGTCTGAGTGTGCGAGGGTATACTTGACAGTTGTGATCTCCTCCTCCAGTGGCGTACGGAAAGACACGCGCTTTTCTGCCGGGAACATGGGCCGGGCGGGCGTTGTCATCTTGCGGGGTAGTGTGGAGCGTGCAGGGCTGTTTGTGAGGATGGAGGCGAGGTTGTGGGGTTGCTTGTATGGTATTGAGCTGGAGGCGGATTGACTGGAAGACGCCGAGGTCAGTGCAGAGGACAGCGTCGCGGCCGAGTCTGGCGTGGATGTAGGGGTAGCCCGTGTCGACGAGAAGTTGCTGTCGATGGACAGCCGGGGCTTGGTGGGGCGCCCGAGGACGGGAGCAGAGGCAGAGGCAGAGGCAGAGGCAGTATAGGCAGTATAGGCAGATGTAGCTGTGGCGGCGGACTGGTCGTATGCGTTGGAAAAGGTATTGCGCACAGTGGGCGAGACGGCAGAAAGCAGGTCGAGTCGTAGACTAGCACATTTGCCGGGAATGCGAGGTTGTTCGGTATTGATGCAGAGCTTGGGACGCTGCGACTGCGAGGCAGCGCGGGGCGGTATTATAGGCAGCGAGGTGGTGGCCATGGTGTCGCGGGCAGATGACGAATAGGTCAGCGGTGCGGGTGTGTGAGAGAGGGTGGCGAGCATCTCGTGAAGCTCGCGCAGGGGGTCGTCTGGTGCAGCACAGGCGGGCAGGTGACAGAGAGGGCGCGCGCCGTCAAGAGGGGGGTAGTAGTAGTAGTAGTAGTAGTGGTTGGTGGTGGTGGTGGTGGTGGTGGTGGTGGTGGAGTCTAAAGAGGCGGGGAGGGGTGAGACGTTCGATGTGGGCGTGGGTGTGAGACGGACTAGCGGGGAGGGCAGCCACTCAGCAGAGCAGCAGCAGCAAAGTCCTCGTAACTCCTCTCGCGTTCTCTCATCTCTCCAAATCGCGGCCGCGTGGGAGCGAGTGAGCCCGTTTTAAACAGCTTGCAAAGGTTACCGCCATGACGCCGCCGCCGCCGCCGCCGCCGCCGCCGCCACCGCTCGCCAGACTCATTTTCTTGCTCATCGCGTCGATGTGAGCAGTGGTGGCCGAAGCGCTGGGGCTAGTCTCACGCCCAAAATACATACACAGGATGTACCGGTATGTACAAGTGGTAGATACCTAGTCCATACATGGTACCTGTACAGTACCATAGTACATATTACCTACAACAAGGCATGCCCCCAAAATAGAACTCTGCGTGGCAAAACTTGCATGGGGGGGCTCATGGCGCAGACGCACATCGCCCGCACCGGCGCACCCCCCACCGGGCGCCCCCCCTCCCCTTCTCCCCTCCCCATTCCCAGCGATTTCCTCACAGCCCACACCTGGGCCAATCCAACCTTCTCCCCCCTGCGGATGGCGCTTGCAAAATGAAAGAAGAAGAAAAAAAAACCCAGGCCTTGGCACCTGGCACTGCCCCACCCTCTGTCCGCAATCAATGCAACGGCCGCGTTTCGTTTTTGCGCGTTCATGTCTCGCATCTTGAAGGTCGTAGGTATGTAATGTACTCGTACTCTACTACCTGTGTACTCTAGTACTGTGTACTAGTCATCTACTCTACCGCAGTAGTAGACTTTTGTTCCCACGGCACCGCAGCAGCGCACCACGACACCACTCAATCGTCCTCGCCGGGCGCCTGTCCCTCAGTACACAGTACACAGTACACAGTACCAGTATGTACGGTATGCGCCGTCCACGCAAGCCCAGCCGTCAACTCGACTCCATCGTCCTGCACTTTGTAAGCCAGGCAATCCCTTCCCTATCGACCTCGACCCACCCATGCACAGCCATGGGCTATGGGCTTAGTGGCCGCGTCTGATCCCTGGACTCGACTCGACCGCACCGGTCCTGGTCCTGGTCCTGGTCGGTCCCCTCTTTGTCTGGCGGCTATGGCCTGCATAGGTACATACAATATGTACTGCTCTTGGCTAACGTGTCCTCTCCGTCTCTGTAGGACTATGTATGTACGCCATGATCGTTGAACCCGCTTGGACCACTGTGCACCACGCTGACTCCGCTCTCGCCTCAAGGACTGCTTCTACGCCAGTGTCTTTGAACATGAGAACCCATCCCTCAAGACCCTGCCGCTGGCTGTCCAGCAGAAGCAAATCATAGTCACCTGTAATTACGAGGCGCGACGGCGTGGGCTCCACAAGCTGCAACTCATCACGGAAGCCAGAAGGCTATGCCCCGACGTCGTCGTTGTGTTGGGAGAAGATCTCACGAGGTTTAGAAATGCGTCCAAGCAGTTGTATGCCTACTTGAGATCCTTCTCCTGGAACTCACGCTGTGAGCGTCTAGGCTTGGACGAGGTCTTCATGGACGTCTCAGACATGATCGACTACAATCTCGCCTTACTGGCCTCTGCTACCCAAAACTCTTTCTTCCTGCTGTCCAAAGAGGATCCCACTGTTGGCTTCGAGTTGGATGCCACCCGTGTAGTCGGTCACGTCTACCCAGAAACAGTGCATCGTAGTACCTCAGGTAAGAGCTTGGATAGCGCTGCTATGTATATCACGTGGCGTAGCAGCGTCATGGCCACGTCACTTGAGACAATCTTCTCTGGCTTTCGCCCAATGACATGTCGTCTACCCAAAACTCACAGCACTGAGGCACTTACTCTACAAGCCAGACCAGAGGCTGGTGTATTCATCACGCTAACCAATGCGTGGCAGACGTTCCGTCGTCGTCGTCGGACCCTCTACACATCCGGCTGCTTCTGGCAAGCCATCTTGCTCAACACCTACGCACAAGGCTGGAGGAGGAGACCGGATATACTGCCACAGCCGGTATTGCTACCAACAAGCTTCTCTCCAAGCTTGTTGGAAACCAGCACAAACCCAATGCTCAAACGACTCTCCTTCCGCCCTACCTGGGCACAGACGAAACGGGCCATGATAATGTGACCGCATTCATGGACGAATTGGAAATTGGAAAAATTCCTGGTATTGGCTTTAAAATCGCGCAACAGTTGCGTTCAAAGATAGTGGGAAGAAAGGCCAAGTTTGAGGATGGTCTCGTATACGGTGACACCAAGGAAAATGTACTTGTACGCCATGTCAGAACCCACCCTGGCATGAGTCCAGATGTACTCGAAAGAGCGTTAGGAGGCCCTGGTGCGCCACAGGGTATAGGGGCCAGAGTGTGGGGGCTTCTCCACGGATCAGACGAAAGTGAAGGTGAGGTGCCATGGCTGAAGTATAGCCTAGTATTCACGTTAACATGTAGTCCCGTCGCTAGTGGGTAAAGCTCGAGATATACCCAAGCAGATTAGCATCGAGGATAGCTACATACGCCTTGACACTCTCGACAAAGTGATCAATGAGCTGACAAAGCTGGCGAGGAGCCTTTTGAGAAGAATGCACACAGATCTCTTAGAGGACGGCGATGAAATCGCAGTGGATGCTACAGCCTCCTCGAACTCAGTGACTCCTTCGAAGCGATGGCTGGCACAACCAAGAACCATAAGGCTTTCAACACGACTACGACCAACACAAAACCAAGACGGCAGCCGGAACCGCTCGTTTGCTCGGACATCTCGATCTGCGCCCATGCCGAGATTTGCTCTAAGCTTGGAGGAAAGCGTGGACAGACTGGCGGAGAAGCTGGTTGGCGAAACCCTGTTGCCCTTGTTCCGCAAGCTCCATGCTGAAAAGCAGGGATGGAATCTCAGTCTAGTCAACGTTGCTGCGACAAACATGGCAGATGGAGCAAGCGAGACAGGTGGTGTTGGGCGAGATATTGGCAAGATGTTTAAGCGGCAAGACCATGTACTCAAGCAGGGCAAGGTGCAGGGGGAAGAGAGTGCCTCGACAAGCGCACGTGAGTGTGAGCTAGGAGATGGCTGGGACGAGCAGCAGCAGTGTGTGGCAGAACCGCCCCAGAGGAGCAGCAGCCTTGGGGGTGTCGGTTCTGAAGACCTGGCGACATGTTCTCAAGAAGAGTACTTCGGACCCTCGGACGCCCAGGCTTCCGAGGAGGATGGCGTGGCCGCCACCGATACATGTTGCTGTGACCGGTGCGGTGCTATGATGCCCGTCTTTGCCATGGGCCCTCATGCTCGATGGCATGAGCAGATGGACACGCAGAACTAGGTCCAAATCAAATCAAGTTAAGTTGGGCGGAGCGGGAGTTCATGTTGGTCAACTGTTCACATGTGTGGTTGCATCTTCAATGTTGGACCTCGCAAGCCATGCCCAGATAGGCTAATTACGAGACCCACACCTTCCCGAACAAGACATCCGGTGACACGGACTTATCCCATGGCATGTGATGCATGTTCCAACCTTCTTCCATGGACCTTCGCCCATGTGGTCAGCTAAGGGTATTCTCAAGTGCTACTTTCATCCTACCTGACTGCGCTATGTGACCTGTCTGTCTGTTCCATTGACCTCGCCCCTTTGTAGAGACACTCGTCATCGTCACGATGCCCGGCTCCTCACGCCTGCCGGTCAGCCTGCGCGACACCTTCAATGCGCGCAAGACCTCCGCCAAGGGCCAGTTCGTTGCGGCCAACATAGATGTGTACGTGCTGCCCTCTCATGTCTGATGTTCCACTCTTCAAACCCGTGAGCTTGTTGCGTTCGCCCCATGGCTGACGCCTCCTACAGTTTGCGCAATGTCGTCTTCCTCCTGTTCCTCCTCCGCTGGACGCGTGTGGCCTTTTACCAGCTCAAGGGCCGCGGCATTTTCGGCTCCCTCGCCGACCTGTACATTAACCTTCGTCGCTACCTCTATGGCGTCTTCTTGCGCCTCCCGGGCATCCGCACCAAGGTCCAGACTGAAGTGTCGGAAACGCTGCTGAAACTCGAGCGCAAATTGGTACCAAGTGGTCCGGGCCTTGTGCGCATCACCTCGATGCCCGCCGAAGGCTGGACCGCCGAAGAGGTGCGCAAGAAGCTGGGAGAGCTTGCCAGCATGGAGCATACACGCTGGGAGGATGGCAGGGTCAGCGGCGCCGTCTACCACGGCGGCGATGAGTTGATCCGTCTCCAGACGGAAGCCTTTGGCCAATTCACCGTTTCGAACCCGATCCACCCCGATGTCTTTCCCGGCGTTAGGAAGATGGAAGCCGAGATCGTAGCCATGGTCCTATCGCTGTTCAATGCTCCCGAGGGAGCAGTAGGCGTGACCACGTCCGGGGGCACCGAGTCCATCCTTATGGCCTGTCTGTCGGCGCGCAACAAAGCTTTCACAGAGCGCGGTGTGTCACAGCCTGAGATGATTCTTCCAGAAACTGCGCATACCGCGTTCCGTAAAGCCGGCGAGTATTTCAAGATCAAAGTGCATCTTGTCGCATGCAAAGCCCCGAGCTACAAAGTGCATCTGTCCTCCGTGTCCCGCCTTGTCAACCCTAATACAGTCCTTCTGGTTGGGTCGGCACCAAATTTTCCCCATGGCATCATCGATGACATCTCTGGGCTCAGTAAACTTGCTCTGAAGAAGAAACTACCTCTTCATGTGGATTGCTGTCTCGGTTCCTTCATCATCCCTTTGCTGCCCAAGGCTGGCTTTGAGTCGGAACCGTTCGATTTCCGGTTGAAGGGTGTGACCAGCATCTCGTGTGATACCCACAAATACGGGTTTGCCCCCAAAGGCAACTCGACGGTGCTTTATCGCTCAGACGAATACCGCAAATACCAGTATTTCATTTCGCCTGATTGGTCTGGAGGTGTATATGCCTCGCCGTCCATCGCAGGCTCTCGACCTGGCGCACTCATCGCTGGATGCTGGGCCAGCTTAGTCAAACAGGGTGAGAATGGATACATTGATGCATGTCACAAAATCGTTGGTGGCATGAAACAGATTGAGACTGCAATCCGTGAGAGACCGGAGCTTGCTTCGGACTTGAAGGTCATTGGTCGTCCTCTTGTATCAGTTGTGTCCTTCCTGTCGAATACGCTAGACATCTACGATATCGCAGATGGAATGTCGACCAAAGGATGGCATCTTAATGCGCTGCAGAGTCCACCGGCGATTCATGTCGCCGTCACCTTGCCAATTGTCGCGGTGGTAGACAAGCTAATTGAGGATCTCGTCGAGGTCACAGAGGAGGTACGGGATGCGGAAAGGCGAAGGGTGGCAGAAGGCAAGGGCGCCAAAGGGGTGGTCAAAGGCGATGCAGCTGCACTCTATGGTGTCGCTGGGAGTCTACCAAACAAAAGTGTGGTGGTCGATCTGGCGAAAGGTTTTCTGGATACATTATACAAGGTCTAGAGACGTAGCTTGGTTTGTGCTGCAGAATGCTCTTATTCGCAGCTTCACCAAGTGTTACATTGATATACAGATAGGAGCGGCATGCAATCTAAGCTATTGGACTTGACGCCTGCGAAGCAGCAGCAGCAGGCAATCGTGCAGCTGATTCCTCGAGCGGAAGCTTTCGTCTCGGTCGCTTGAGATCCCCTTCGGTAACGCCATTTAGGCCAATTTTTGTCACGCCCATGACCGGTGGATCTCCCTTCTTCACGAACTCATATAGGCCAGGCAGCTTGTTTCCTGCCAATCGGAAAGCATCGCGTACGACTTGTTCGTGCAGGTCGCCCTTGATTTCAAAAATGATCTTGCTCACAGCTACCCGGGCAGTCCAGCGGTCAAAACTTCCCTTTCCCTTTCCCATTCGCACATCGTTTCCGCTGGTGTAAACTCCAATATTGGCGGCAATGCGCATGTACATGCGGAACTTCATGCCTCGTAGTCGCTTCTTGATGGTTTCCTCGGCGATGCGTAGCTGATGGGCGCTAATTCTCCGGTCATGGTCACGCATGCGGATGCCATAGTCGCCCCACACGACCGTGGTGCCGCGCATGCTGCCACCGGTGGGCACACGGCAACGGCCTTTGCGTGATTTGCGTGACTCTCCTGCCTTTGGGGCAAGGTAATTAAGACGAGCTGGTGTCGAAGAGAGACAGCGGACAGAGGGTGACGAGATGTGAGCTGTGGCGGATGGACATTGCGGCGAAGGACTATTTGGCGCGAATGCTGCGTATCTAGTTAGCATTGCGTCGCCGCCGGCAGCAGAGAGTCACCAACGACGCGGGCGGCCAGCACCGAGACTCAACTGGCCGAACCGTGCAAGCAGGCCTTGCGGTATCCTCGGGGGCGGCATAGTGTTGTGGTGGTGGTGCTGCTGGATTTCGCAGTCGAGCGAGTCAACCAGCGTGCCGCCAGGAGAGTGAAGTTCTCGCCAAGCCAAGCCAAGATTACATGCCACCCGCCCCGTCATGTGTGGTCTGCGGTTCCGGCGCAAGCCACATCTTGCGCCACTCTACTATCACCGCCTATGTGGGATATATTGCGATTGCGACATCTACATTACCGAGTTGATGCAGTTCAAGTACCGTTTAAACCCACGAGCAACAGTTGCACCGGAAAAGTAAAGATATCAGCCTTTACATCGCTCATTAGCATATTAGCTACTTGTTGGGTTACCTCTATACCGGTATGCACCTTGGCTACTAATAACTATGGTCAAATCGCGCTTTCCAAGACTCCAGAAAGTCACCATGCTCGATGAACATGCGCTCATACTCATAGCTACAGGCTGAGATAGAGATGAGGTAGAGGGCCATACCGTTACGGACGAGGTTCGGGTATCCTACCCGGTAAATACTAGGGTCGTAGCAGCTTTAGAACCTTTCTCGGACTCCCCTCTCCGCTCCCACTTTTTCCATGTTTGATATCTGACTAGGTCGCTGTCATCAGCAGCAGTTGCTGCTGCTGTTGCCCTAGGATTGATACGGGCGTCAATAGCCTCGTCGAACGGCATCATTACTGACAACCTGAGGGCGTCTCACCAGGGCGGGGCGCGCCGCTGAGCCTTTGTACTCACTCCGAAGCGCCCGAAAAGAAACATGGTCGCTAGTAATTCCGTAAGGCCTATTGGCCCAGACAGTCTCGCAGTAGTATTTTAGTATGGGTGGAGCATCGAGAGTGTTAACTGGTAGCTTTCGCCGGGGCGGCGCGTGGATTAATTACAAATTGGTCTTCGCGCGCGTTGTAGTTGCCATAATGGCCTAATAGAGCTTAACGCACATCTTGTATTAAGTGAGTATATATTGTGTAGTTGACCCTGTAGAGTAAGTGTCTGAAGCCCAGGTAGATACATATGTAGTCCTTGGCTGACGGCTGGCCTGAGGTCGGTCACGTGGCTGGGGCATGGCCAAGACCTCCACAGTCCCCGATTGGCTGCACGAACCCCGTCAACGCGAGACCATTTGGGAATTAGTCTAATACTGCTATCACACCTAATAATATTACTTGATAGAGTGATGAAGATGTATCTTTCGAAAAAAGAGATCCTACATTGCTACCGAAATCGACTACACACCGACCAAGATATAGCCGCTTGAGGCATGTATTTGATCTGCCCCGGTCCGTGCCCGGGTCTGTACCGTAGGACCTGGGACTCTCGTACTTGGAGGTGCTGCTGCCTTACCGTACGGTAGGTACCGGTAGCGCGCCTGCTGACTACGCGTCAACGCGTTCTCGTGCGTCCCCAGTTGTCCACGCTTCTTCTTTTCGTTTGTCTGCCCCCACCCACGAACAACTTCCTGGTACAACTGTGGGTTGATTTTATTTTCGTTCTAGTGCTGTATTTTCGTGATCACGCGCGTCTTTCCCTTTGACGTACATCCCAAAATGCCTGCCGACATCCGCAGCTTCTTCGGTGGCGGCCCCAAGCCCACGTCCGGCAACCAGGGCTCACAGAAGCAAGACGAAGAGCCACCCAAGAAGGCAGCCATCAGGAAGAAGGGGCGAGTCAATCGTGTTGTTGACGACTCTGACGATGACGAGGGAGACTTAGTAATGTGAGTTTAAACGGGGCCTTGTAGAGTCGCTATGCCATCTAACCTTCGCGCAGATCGAAAAAAGCCACGCTCCAGCAACCGCCGCCTAAAAAGATCAAGCGGGAACCGACTCCCAATTTAGAAGAGACTACGACCTCGGCCTTCTTCGCGAGTACAAACATGCCCAAGCGCTCTGAGCCCTTTCAAAAGAAGGTCCTCAACATGCCCAAAGACACACACAGGGTAACGCCGACCAAAGCGCATGGAAAAGCGTCCAAGGTCGCAACTTCAACTTCCAACGGGAGGGCTTCTGGCAGAACTAGGAAGCCTGTGACATCTTATGCAGAGAGAGATGACGACGATGAATTTCCAGACGATGATTTCGCTGAGGCCGACGACATCTTCGGGGATGAAGTCAAAAGCAAGGGAAGAGGCAAGGACGACTACTCTGCATCATCCGAAAGCGACCACTACGTCGCAGTGCACCTGCCGCACCGTGAAACACCCCGAGCCCTACTTGGAAGGAAGCTTCTTAAAAACGAGGACGACTTTATGCCAGGGGAGGATGACGTAGAAATGAAGGATTCAAGTGCGGAGGAAGATATGCCAGAATCTCAAGAAGATAAGCAGGCTATGAAGAGCAAACGCAAGACGCCTACCTCTGTCGGACACAAACGGAAATCGCCTGAACTCGACGCTAACGAGGAAAAGAAAGACGAAGACAGAGAAGAGATCAGGCCCAAAAAAGGCTTCGTTAAAAAAGACACATGTGCAAAGTCGCCTGTGAGGAAGAAAGCGAGAAAGGAAGAGGTGGCAGAAAGCGCTGATATTCAAGCCATCTATGATAGTATTCCCACAGTTCGTGCACCAACCCCGCCAGCCAGGAACCCTGACGCCAAGTTCGACTGGAGGGCAAATGCAGGACGAGCTGACCCTGCACCGCTTTCAGGGTCTTCTGGAGATATGCCATCAGGCTCTGAGACCTGTCTTGCTGGTCTCAATTTTGTTTTCACCGGCGTTTTGCAAAGATGGGGTCGTACAGAAGCGCAGGAATTAGTCAAACGTCATGGAGGCAAGGTCACAGGTGCGCCGAGTAAGAAGACGAATTATGTTGTACTAGGATCAGACGCTGGCCCTAGCAAGCTACAGAAGATAAAAGATATGGATATCAAGACCATTGACGAAGACGGCCTTACTCTTCTCATCGAAAAGCTAACAGAGGCGGGTAATAAGGGCGACTCGAAGGCGCAGGCTGCCTACAAGGAGCAGCAGCGGAAAGAAGAGGAAAAGATCCGCAAGCAGGCTGCGGAGCTCGAACAGGAAGAAATGATACACATGAAGGATATGAAAGTTGCAAATGCAGCATCCGGACGCCAGACTGCTACGAATGCCGCTGCCACTGCAGAGCCAATTATTGATTCTCGACTTTGGACTACCAAATATGCGCCAACTACTCTTAGTCAGATTTGCGGGAATAAAATCGTGGTTGAGAAAATCCAGCGCTGGTTACAGATGTACCCCAAGAATCTCAAGACCGGATTTAAGCTCGCCGGTAAAGACGGCAGCGGAGTTTTTCGTGCGATCATGCTTCACGGACCCCCAGGCATCGGGAAAACTACTGCGGCACATCTAGTCGCGAAGCTTGAAGGATATGACATTGTGGAGCGCAATGCCAGTGACACCCGCAGTAAAAAGCTGATTGAGGATGGCTTGCGAGGAGTCCTGAACACAAACTCACTCCACGGATATTTTGCCGGGGACGGAAAGAACGTAGAGGAGTCGAAGAAGAAGTTGGTATTGATCATGGACGAAGTCGATGGAATGTCTGCAGGTGATCGGGGAGGTGTTGGTGCTCTTGCCGCGGTCTGCAAAAAGACTGAAATCCCAATGATCTTGATCTGCAACGACAGACGATTGCCGAAGATGAAGCCTTTCGACTTTGTGACCTATGACCTTCCCTTTCGCCGACCAACGGTAGACCAGGTCCGCTCTCGGATTATGACTATTGCCTTTCGAGAAGGCTTGAAGATACCAGGGCCTGTTGTAAATGCGCTGATTGAAGGGAGTCATGCAGATATTCGTCAGGTTGTGAACATGATCTCTACTGCGAAACTTGATCAGGACGCCATGGACTTCGATAGGGGCAAGCAAATGTCCAAGAGCTGGGAAAAGCACGTCATCTTGAAGCCGTGGGATATTACACAAAAGATTCTTGGCGGAGGCATGTTCGCTAGCAGCAGCAACGCTACACTCAACGACAAAATCGAACTGTACTTCAACGACCATGAGTTTAGTCCTTTGATGTTGCAAGAGAATTATCTGGGTACAAATCCGATTCTGTCCCTGGGTCTGTCTGGCAAGGAGAAAAATCTCAGAAATCTCGAGCTTGCATCTCAAGCGGCTGATAGTATCAGCGATGGTGACCTTGTCGATCGGATGATTCACGGCTCGCAACAGCAATGGAGTTTGATGCCTACGCATGCTGTATTCAGTTTTGTGCGACCGGCAAGTTTTGTATCTGGCAGCACTGCAAACAATCAAACACGCTTCACTTCGTGGCTGGGCAAGAACAGCAGTGGGAACAAGCTGAGCAGGATGATCAAGGAAATCCAAGCTCATATGAGATTACGGTCTTCGGGAGATCGGCACGAAGTCCGACAGCAATATGTTCCTATTTTGTGGACAGAGCTAGTCCAAAAGCTGCAGAAACAAGGCAAGGACGCTGTTCCGCAGGTAATTGAGCTGATGGACAGTTACTTCTTGACAAAGGATGATTTCGATGCCATCATGGAATTGGGTGTCGGGCCGATGGATCAAGACAAGATCAAGATAGAGTCCCAGGCCAAGGCGGCATTCACACGAATGTTTGTAACTCTCTGCTTCTGTTATTATGTATTGTATGCTAATCAAGTTGCAGATATAACCAGCAGTCTCATCCACTGCCCTTCATGAAGGCTTCTTCAGTAGTCGCGCCCAAGAAGCAGGTAAAGGAAAAGCCCGACCTTGAGGAAGCCATCGAAGAATCCGACGACGGTGAAGTTGTGGAGGAAGTCAAAGAGGATGATGACGATGTTGACCTGTCCAAAGACAAGTACGTCAAGCAACCTAAGAAAAAGTCGGTGGCCAAGAAAGCGACAACAGCGGCCAAGCGAGGTCAGAAGAAGGCAAGCGATGAAAGCGATGAGGGAGAAGAAAACTACGTCAGACCAAAGGGTAAAGGCAAGGCCAAAGCGCCAGCCAAAGGGAAGAAGTGACGGAATGGAACGGACGTGGGCATGCTACATGTCAGGAGATGAACTTTCTCACCTCTCAGATAGAGACTCTCGTAGCACAGAATTGATATGTTGCGCGACCCTGGAAGATGAACATTGCATCCTCTTCCGTGCCATGACAATCATTACCCGACAGACTGGACGCCGGTTTGCGTGCGCCACGTGTGCCCCCGCCAGCCAATGCAAACAGGGGCCTTACAGAGATCCCCGCCCCTCGCCCTCCCCCCAGATCTACGTCACGCACAACGTCCAGGTTTGTTGTCAAGCGCATCGTCGCTTGGCCACTGGGTCTGACAACAACTCCACACTCTCGAACTCGAACAGGCGCGCATCTCATCTGGTCTTAGTGCTCGCACGTAGCCATGGAAAGCAACCAGTCAGCCGCGCGACAAGCCAAGCGCTTCCTCGATGAGCGCGTCCGCACTGATTGGGCGTTCCCCGACTCGCCAGCCCCATGGTCTGCCTCTGACGAAGAGGTACGCGATGCCCAGAGCTTCCGCGAGCGATACTATGGGGAGAGCGACTCCTCGAGTGAATCCCACGCAGGGGACGAAGGCGACGGACCGTACAAGTTTGACAATCCCGATAGCATTGGCGATGCCATAGCCCACACACGGGAGACTCGTGTGGGCCGACGACGGGCGCGACTGGAACAGGAGATGGAAGAAAACGAAGGCTTGCGTATCTGGGTCCACCGCCGGGACCTTTGGACCGGTGCTGCGAGTGTCCGCAAGTACGGCATCCGCAAGCCTCCGCATAGGGCCTCCCCAACAGCTGGTGACTTACGCGAGGTACATGCCACGCCCACGAGACTGGAATCGCAGTCGACGAGTAGCTCAGCGCCTGAGCCGATTGACATGGTGCCTATTGCTCCCCGGCTGCTTGAGTCTAATCCCATCCGTGCCTCAATCACACCCCGAGCCTACTCAGATATTTTCCAGAAGATTGTCGTCTCAGCACGAACGCCCTCGGTTCCTATCAATCTTGCCGACATGACGCAGGCACTGGTTCATGGCTGGAAGGAGACAGATGAGTGGCCGCCGCGCGTCGGGACGCCGGACCCCCTTGCGGGTAAGAAACGCGGCATCACTGGCGCAGCCCTCAATCCATACCACGGGTGCTTCAATGGGCGTCATCCCCATCTCGAAAAGAGCGTCGATAGTCTCAAGCGGATCCTACATCTGAATAGCCATCATAATGTTGATACACCAGACGGCGGCAAGGAAGAGTGAAGAACCACGCACTTGGTCATATAATTTCCCCAAAACTAAGCTGATAACCGGATCAGGAAAGGGTCCTAGGTAGCCATCCAACGGACGTGCATTAAGAACAGGGCTGCCAACATGTATCCCGTGTACGAGGCCAAGACGAGTATTGTTACGGGCGTGCAAAGAATGCCCCCTTGTGCCTACGTGGTTTTGTACGTTCTTAACGACCTACAAACTTGAAAGTACTGTAGTCTGTTACATCTAATAGATCTAGTCTTCTCTTATAGTAAGTTTATTACTACTAGCTATCCTAGCTAAGACTTAAAAGTCTAAATAGTTTACATTGTCAGGACGCAGGGCTCCGCCGGCCCTGGAGGCCCAAGCTAGACAGATGACGTGATCATGGGCAGTATAAATACCCGTGAGGATCGATACACACGGTATCGACTCGTTTGATACTCAATCGACACCTATTGTCCCAATCTACCACTGAACCTCTATCCCACACCGTGACGTCTTACATACATCAGTAATTTACGTAGGCAATAGCTACTAGCTAGTATAGGTCGTATGTTGAAAGCGTAGTTACTAAGCTTAGAGGTCATTTGGCTAATAGTAATAACCTCATAATAGATCTATGATATATCTGCTCTCTCAGGTACTATGCCACTATGGAGATTAGATACAAGGTCCTTCATTGCAATATCAAGACTCAAGAGTATACACAATAAGCTAAGAATAGGCCTATTCTAGGGTTGCTAGACCATCTTGCTTCAATTCTTGCAAGAATAGTTGTGTGGCATCTACACAAGGCGAATCAGGTCCAAAGCAATTAATCACGACCTCTAGTTCCATCGCTGCACAGTTCCTGGCCAAGTCTAGACGCCCATAACGTTTCCAACCCAAGGCAGCATCGTGATAGGCTAAGCCCAAGGCCTCTCCCAAAATGCCTTCTTTCTTGAGTAGGCTTATCATCTCTAGGGCGTGGCGCGGCCAATGAGCCTTCCACAATTGCCGCTTTTCAGATCGAATCCTCGAGTCCAAGGTCGCCAACCGTGCTCGTCTAACGTCACTCGCCACATTAGTAGCATCACATGCTGAGCAAGCACACGTGAAGCCATAGGCCGAGGAAAGTTTTTCCTGTCGCCCCTCCTTCATTTGGTAGGGTCTTTCGTAGCTTAGGAAAATCTGTGTGTCCGCTGGTATAGCGACAACGGCATGCACGGTAATCTGACTAGATCGTGGATTCCAAGCAAACTTGGCATTGGGAACACAGGAATGGTTGAACCGTGCTGCCAAGGGACAGATGGACGTGCGGGATCCGGTTTGCCAGGCGTTGGAGTTGAAAATGTCAATCACGAGGGCGTCGCCGCATGCAGAAGGATCCTGGGCATGGAGCGAGAGGTAAGTTTGGCGTTGAGTCGGAGTGAGGAGTGAGAATTTGCTGGTGACGGAAGCATTGTTGCGAGGCTCGTGGACATTGAATAGAGGTGCCTCTCGGAGTATGAGGGTACCGGCGGCGATGTTCTCCTTTGCAAAGGAGCCAAGCCCTTCACCTGGAGAGGATCGAATGGTGTAGAGCGTGGCCATTGCTGCTGCCACTACCCTGAGATGATATTGTCGTATGCGGTTTTACCGCGCGTCAGGTGGCTAGTCAATGTTCCACAGCCAGTATACTCCATGGATGATAGCCGTGCGTACCAAAGAGTGGCGTCCGCCGCATGTTCAAACGGGATACATACCTTCATTAGTCGGCACGCCAGGTAGCGTGTTCCGGACTAGCGTAATGTCATGGTGGCAGTCGTCTTAGTCAGCGGCCTTGCCCAGCCAGTTTTTGTCAGCAATTAGTTTTATTCGCCAGGCCCGGTCAATTTCGCGCACAGGGCCAGGGACTACTACTTCCATGCTGAAGATTGTCACAAAGTTCCAGTTGGAGACAACATGCTACCATTGACCCGCCCAGGTACTATTCTTCGTTATTCCCAAACCGTCCATTCTTTATTCAAGTCATTTAATTGGCTTTTCACACGTTGCCACTGTCTACTGCCCTTTTCTGTCTTGAGCATCCACTTCATGATATCCGTTCGCTCTCTCGATAGGCTTGACTCGACACGCCTTCTCTCTAGGGCCTTTCGCGTAAGATACAAGAAATCATCCTCCCTGGTACTCGTGTCCCAAATGCGCCGCATGCGAGGGCTGTATAGGCAGCAGCTCGATCCCAGGTCGGGGTCTTCCTCGGGCACAAGCTGTATTGACTTGTTGAACAAATGCGGAATGGTAGACTGCGTGACCCTGGAGTTTATAGCTGGCCAAATCAGCTCGTCGTAGCAATCCTCGCAAACGGTGAATTCAGGTAGTGATGGAATAAAGTACCACGCTTTACGTTTGACAGCCTTGTCTCTACTGCATTCACGCTTGTATGCATTGTCACGAACCAGCTCGAGGAAGCGAGTGGCGTCCAGCGGTTGATTGACAGACCGAGCTTCGGCATCCAAGTGTACGAGTAATTCAAGATAAGTTCGTGAGCGGCGAGAACCGGTACGAAAGCTGCAGGTATCTCCGAATCTATCGTATAGATGATTGGTAATCAAACGAGAGAACAATCCTTGTAAGCTCGGAAACAGAGCTTCGAGCATTCTCTTGTCATAAGAGCAGACTGCAAAATTGGCAATATGCTTGGCATCTCTACTGTCAATAATCCCATACCAGTCCCTGCGATCACAACCTAGATCCCGAGCACCAGGACATGGCCGCTCAGTTTCAGCGATATGTGCCAGCATGTAAAGTAGGTCAAGTGAATGGAGGCAGTGCTGAACGGTCAACAGCCATGCTATACGCATCCATGGACTACTAAAGTCGCAGATTCGCTCAAAAGGCCTTCGATCAAGCCGTTTTTGTGCGAAGTGTCCTGCGAAGCGTGTCCTAGCAAAAGAGCCCTCGTAGCATGTAGGACATATGTCGAAGCTTTCGCAGCCTCGCAAACTGTACCAGTCAGCGTGACGAGATGGCGTACTTCTCAGACACGAAGGCAACGGTACCGCCGAGTCCAGTGGCCTATGCATCGTTCTCTCAAGCTCATGCTGTTTATCGTCGCTGGTGTACGACCGAGGAATGGGTGAGTTGATGTCCACAGTATGGGATGGCGCTTGGGGCAGGCCAGAAGTATGTTCAGCAAAGGGCATTGGCGGGTCTCTTTGACGCGGCGAGCTCATGACCGATGACGAATCTCCGGATGGTGATTCAGCGTGTGACTGTCGAGAGGATGTGACGGTAGCATTGTGGAACTGGTACTGCTCTTCGGGTGGCATGAAGACATCGACAGAGCAGTCGTCGACTGGATACGGGAGTGAAGAGGCTTGTGTTACCTGTGTAGACTGAAAAGGACTACAGGCATGTATGCGTTCTACAGGGGCGGGTATCATCTCAGCCCTACCATAGGAAGAGCGTGGCTTTACTCCGTCTCTGATGGGGAGTGGAGAGTGTGTGGCATGCCAATCAGCCTCATTTACAGACAAATGGCCAGGAGATAGAGGTCCCAGTGGGGCTGAGACGGAAGGCGGGGAGGGTGGTCGAGTGCCATTTGCTTTCGATGACGTCCTGGTGTTGGGAGGAGAATGGCGTCGACGAACAGGCAGCTCCGTCACCGAAGCTGGGGGGCCTGGAGACTGGGTCTGAGAATCGTGCTTGGACGGCCGTAGCGTCTGGAAAGAGTCGTGCCTGGCCGGCGATGTTTGGGAGGAGAGGTCATGCAGATCCGTGCGAAGATGGTCCCTGTACAAGTCGCTCTTGACGAAGCTGTAGCGTGCAGGCTGGCGGGCGGCACGGAGGCGCTTGGTATCGTCGGCCTCAAGATCAGAAACGTCGAAGGTATCATCCCTTGGCGGTGACGGTGACTTGGGAGGCGTATGGAAGTGGGCGGGGCTATCGCTGGAACTAGGGGCCATTGACTCTTTCTGTGGCTTCGTGTAGGCATATGGCGTCGAGATGCGCTCGGTGAAGAAGAGTGGAGGGCCTGCCGGGCTCTGGATAGCAGGCAAATGTCCCCGCTCAGCAATGCTCTGCTGCCGTCTCCGCCAGTGGAGCGCGGGGGCACTGAAGCTGTCCCCTGCTTCTTCTTCTTCTTCTTCTTCTTCTTCTTCGTCGTCGTCGTCGTCATCGTCGCCGTGGGTGATAGGCCCAGAGACGAGTATGAAGCGGCGGTCCTCAAGGGCAGGGGTCAGAACCGGGGCCACCACGGGCGGGTCAAGGCGCTCAAGCAATATTTCCTGATCGACGGTGCCCCGCGTGTTGGCTGGCGGCTGGCCCTCACAGTCCTCAGCCAGCTTCGCATCATCCTCTACGCTTGGCGATGGTGGCCATGTCGACGTATCCGGGCGGTACGCGCGATGCTGCTGCCGTGCTCGTGGCCTGGGCTGTGACTGTGGTTGCGGTCGGGGCCGTTCTCGTGCCTGTGACGGTCGTGGTGCAGCAGCGTGTCGTGGGTAGTACAAGCTGTCGGAGTCGGAGTCGTCAGAGTTCAAAGGCGCGATACGGTATCGCATCGCTGCTGCAAAGTCTGCTCTGTGTAGGTACTAGGATCGAGGGTAGCAGGAGAGGGGAGAAGGAGGGGGCTGCGCCCGCGGTTTGTACGGCGCGGTCAGAGTCGCCATGACATGTTGGGTCACCGCGGGGCTGGAAAATGGTAACCCCGTGGACGAGAAGAGGCTGTTGCAGCCGGCGGGCGTGACGCAGAAAGGCAGAGAGGCGGAAAAGGCAGCCCTGGAGAAGAAAAGACAGAAAGGCATGCGCATGTGTGTGAGAGCGGGTCGCGGCACCGTCTTGCACCCTCAAGTCTTGAGTCTTGACTGCTTCCAGCAATGCCCAGGTACCCGAGGACCGGGGCCTAAAGTTTAATAATCATACGGTAATGATACCGGTACTAATGATGAAACACACACGCCTTGTCCACCGCCAGTTCGCCCTTTGCCAACAACACAGCACTGAGCCTTGAGCAGCGTCTTCCCAACACTGTAGCAGCACGTCTGGTGCTCTTCTCCTTGCAAGTGTCACCCGTCACTGATCATGAGCGCTTCACAAGTGTAATGGATGCCCTGCAGCCGTGACGTTACAGAAGTTCAACGAGGACTGCATGCGTCAGTCTTAGGTGCGTGTCATACACCACATCACTTGCTCTATCTATGTGCTTTTAGATACACCGCCCCCCACCAAGAAGAAACACATCAAGAGGAAAGGGAGAGACCACTTTACATGACCCATCCAGAACGCCTGAAACTTTCGTCTCTCGGAGTCAAATCGCGTCCGTGTCGTTGCACATACTCACCGGTATTATAGGGTATCAGAACAGTTGTAAATCTAAGAGAAAATGTGCAAATAGCCACCGTCGCAGAAAATCTGTTGAAAGATAGGGCAGCCCGACTATGAGAAGTAGTTGCCTTTGGGGATGGCGCAAAAGATGCCACTAGCCAAGGCAGAGAGGACGAGTGCGCCGACAATGGCCTGAACGAAGATGGTGTCCTGGATTTGGCGCAGAGCGGGCTCCTGGATCCAAACCTCACGGTCAAAGATTTTTCGAACCACGTTGCGCTTCTCGTACTTTGCGACCCAGGGTTCATCCTCCCATGAATTGCTCGAGCCATGCGAGCCCAGTGTGTCCATGGATGCGAGTTTGGTGTCGTAGTTCTCTGGCTCATCGTCCGAAGCGAACAGCTCCCACGGTCGTAGGTGACGGTGGTGCATACCGTGAAGAACGACGCACATGCCCTTCCACGCAGCAATGAGGGTAGAGATGCCGATGAAAAAACCGATCATGGACAAGACTCGCCAAGCGCGGCCAGCAGTACTAAGAGTAAGAAAGATGGCGACCAGGAAACCAGCGACGATGCCGCCAATCCCGAGACCACGGGCGAATAGGACACGAGGACGATTGCCGTTACATATGGTCCAGCGAATGAAGTTGGGGTGGGCCTGGCAACGCAACGACCACTCCACTGTCGTGATGACCTCTTGAAAAGCCGATGGGTGGCTGGTGTTCTGAAGAGCATGGAGCAAGGTGGTGCGTTCTTTGGAAGCCAGATTGAGCTGGCGTGACCCGCCGTCGGCAATGTAGATGGAAATGATGCGATTGATTTCCTCGCGGTATGGCTGAACGGTGACTGTTGCACGTGAGCAAGGCAACTGGGGCAGAGAGTACAGGTGGATCAAGCAAGACTTACGCGGCTTCCACCTGAGACCAGCATTCTCAAACGCACCGGCAGCACGTCGAGCGTGATCTACCTTGCCAATAGTCATACTATCGTCGCACGAGTCGAGAGAGTCCTCCCGTCTGTCAAGACTGGTGGGCGTGAGCGGGGGGGTGAAGAACGGATTTCTGCCCACTTTCTGTGAAGGCGGCGTATAGACGTTTGCAAAGTCGGAGCCCTCCAGCATGGCTGCAGCCTCGGCGTTGGTGGGCTTATTGGCGGGCTTCATCTCCATTTGCATTGACATGTCGCCGTGCCATTTGGGGGACAAGACTTGTTCGGCCTCGGGAAGCTCATCAAAGCGCTTGCTATAGTCGCGGAACCAGAGGTAGAACTGCAAATTCTCGGCCGACAGCTCAATGTATTTGAGGAAGTTCATGAAGTCCCGGATCGTGCAAGGCTGGGTATGGTGAGCGGACGAAGGGGCAGTGAAAAGGGCGGGATTTGTTGGAGGCACTTACAGGACAGACACCGCCAGCAATGATGCGGTCAAAAGAAAGAGCTTCTGGGATGCCGTGGGACATTCCGCTGCTGCCAGAGTGGACAGACTCATCGATGGACTTTTGCTTGCTCTCGCCGGAGAATGAGGCAGCCGACGAGGCTGGGGAAACGCGAGCCGGGCGACGATAAGTAAGTGGGTAGACCATGGTGTTTGACGAGTAGCAAGGCCGTGCGTGCTATGCGCAGCTCACGCGGCTTGTTAGAAACTGGCAAAAGGTGGTGAGGAGGCAAGGCAGTGGTGAGGGACACGGGGTATGCACAAAGGGCGGTAGTGGTGGTAGTGGTAGGTGGAGAGAGCAGTAAGAAAAAAGAGGAGGGGAGGGGTAGAGTAAGGAGCAGGTACTAGTGTCGTGTAGTAAGCAGGCGTTGATGCAGGATGCAGGGCTTCAGCTGGTGGGGAAAGAGCGGCTTGGGTAGGTAAATAAGTCAGTCAGTAAGTAGGCAGGTAGGTAGGCAGGCAGGCAGGTAGGTAGGTAGGTAGGTAGGTGCGTAAGTAAGCAAGTAGGTGAGTAGATGAGTAGGTAAGCAGGTGCATAAGTAAGTAGGTGAGTAGACAAGTAGACTAGTAGACAAGTAGACAAGTAGGTAGGTAGGTAGGGTGTGTGGTGTGGTACCTACCTATGTAGGTACCTAGGTTGTGGTAGAGCTTGGCGGACTTGGGTTGGAACAGGTCCACGGCTGTCCACCCGCTGGGACCTTGGACTCCAATTGATTATAATATAAAGTCGGAGGTATAGGTACAGTTCCCTAACCTTGGAAGCCATCAAGGACAAAATAGACACTTGACTGGCACACTCATGACACTCTCTGCCTGTCGACTCCACATAGGTAACCTACTGCACTCTCCATGGTACATGCCAGGTCATGTCACCAAACTAGTCCAGAACATCGCCTTCTAGTGCCAGACTCGATCTGAGCTGTCCCCTGGGTCTAGCTGGTACTAGTACATACATAGTGTATGTAGGTACATATTCAACTCAGTTCCTGTGCCGTACCGGTACCCCATGGTGACTGGTCCCCGGTAGGTATATCCCTGTCCCAACCAACGACCATGCAGTTGATCGATCCCCATGGACCGCACGCCTTCAAGACTTCAAAGTTGCCCGCCAGCTCTCTGGTGAAACCAAGACTCGACACAGACCGGGTCGCCGTCGTTCGCTTTAGGGACCGGTAGGCATTCACTCACATTGGCAAACGCTGCACAGAGGCCCAGCCGCCCAATGAGACAGGCGCAGCATGACCCAGCATTACATTTGTTCAGCCAGCCATTGGTTTTCTCTCCAGACACAGGCGTACCTAGCTGGGTAGATGGACGGACGTTCCAAGGCTCCAAGGCTCCAAGGTTCCCAAGGTTGTGGTTTTGGCGTGCTTGGTTGGCAGGACATTTCAACACCACACCACCTCCCCGAGGTCCAGGGTTGCTGGGCACCTCCAGTGGGCATGGATCACCTGGGTGTGCCGGGGCAGGTCCACTGGTCCACTGGTCCACTGGGTACAAAGTATACTACAATATACACATTGTTGGCGGTTCACTAGGTCTACCGGTACTGGGTCCCCTGTGTACTGCCCGTGCCAAGTGGCTGTTTGTATCTCCCGGAATGGTACAAGTATCTCCCGTATTCGTATGTACCAAACTTTGCATTCACTTCTCCGATGCAAATCCAGATTTCCAGATTCTAGCCGACCATCCCTCTAGCCTCGATACCGCACAAGCAATCCCTGTCCATGTGATGCGCCGCCGACGCCAAAGCACCCTTTCTGGCAGCGTCGGCGTGGTTTGTTACTCTACCAGGTACGTAAACAGGTTGAGGTTGCGCCAACTCCGCTCATAGGTACCAGTAGCGACTGTTGCCCTGTCGAGTGCGCGTGGAGATAGATGCCTGCCACCAGCCAGGATGCGGCTGCGCACAAAGCATCCAACGTAGAGTAGTAAAAGCTTCACGCTACTGTGCGACCCGTCGACGTCTTCGGCGATCCTGATCCTAGATCATCGCCTGCTTTAGCGCGGGAGGCCGACAATCTTTGCACCTGTGCTGCCGAGCACTCCTATTTCAACTGCGTGTGGCGAAAAGGCGGAAAGTAGATGCAGACTTGAAATCGATAGTCCAACAGCTGGATCAGTCAATGGCTGTGGAATTTTTGCTGTACACTTCGTCGACCACGTTAATGCAGTAGGTGAGGAAGACCAGCTCCTTGTTGGCCTAGGTATTTCAGTCTGTACTTTGGACCCTTGAGCAACAGGTACCGGTACGGTACCCTTTTGTGGATCCTCAGAGGCTGCTCGAGTAGGGCTCGCGAGCAAAAAGAATCTTACACCTCGAGGATTTTGGTCAAATCGCTGTCGATTAGGCTCTGTGACTTGAAGCTCTTTCAAAGAATTGGCAATCAGCTGATGAGCTCAGCCATTCTGACCGTTCAGCACCTGGCCCTTGGCCACCCGGTTCCTCGCATTCACAGGCGTAGCGAAGCCAAAATTCAGGGGCTTCATGGGTCCATGGGTCACTTGGACCCAATGCTCATAATCCAGAGGCGGATCCGACAGCGTTTTGAGGCTCCCTGTGGTAATGGGACAGGCCATCTTCACGTTCCCCGTGTACGTAGAGGTCTTGCCGATGTGTCCCATTTCGAGTTCCACATGTGGGCGATGAATGCCCCACGGCATGTGCTATACCGGTAACCTGCATTGGCTCCGAATCAACAAACCTTTCATCCGTCGTTAAACCTCACCTCAATTTCACAAATTACGTCTTTTGTTGAGCTTCCGTACCCATCGAAATCCGGACCCTATCTTGTCAGACTTCAGAAGATTGACCAATTACAGGTAGCAGTCTCGCAGGTGTACCTACTGCCGCCTTCTTGATTCCCATACTCTGAGCCATCTTGATGCTTGCCAATAGCACATCGCGGAAGGCATCCAAAGCGCCGCATGTAAATATTTCTTTGCGCAATCCGCTTGCAGAGCAATGTACCCGTCATTTACTTAGACAAGCTGCTTCTGTCCGAAGCTGGGGCTCGAGATTACCCTTTAGCCGGCTCAATCGTAGTCGGCATTTGCGTGCTGAGCCAGGTTACGACAACCACCTACCGAGTTCCTCATGTGGGCCTATCGTCAATTACTGCCTAAGCACACAATCCCAGGTATCTCTTTGTAAATCCATGCCCCCACCGACAGAGTGAATGTCCTGCACTTAGCCTCCTCCTGGTGGGACATCAGCCAGTATAACTATTCATCCCTCCTAGGTACTTGCGAGGGCTCAACAACTCTCATCTCCCTACCTTTCATCAGTTCAGGTACAAGAGCATGCGTTGGACGATTGCTTTGCCTTCCTTGGGCCTTGTTGCCCCGACTAAAGCTCTGATCAGGTTTGGTTGTTCTCAACTTGTAGTTGACCGACTGGATCCCCTGGTAGAACCTGGAAATGCTCCTTCCGCACATCTTCACCAGATTATCGGTGGCAACTCCTTTCTTCCTAACATGGACCCTTCTGTACATGACCCTGCGAACCTTTCTACTTGCACAACCTGCCAACCCGCAGACGATTTCTCCAACTACTGGACAGCTTCACTATATTTTCGTGCACGCAACGGGACCTACAGACGGGTCCCTCAGAAAGCAAATACCGGCTTCGAAGGGCAAAATGGCGGCATGACAGTTTACTACATGCAGAATCAGCTAGCCGACTACCAGCAGCAGGCCAAGGTCAAAGCATTTCAACCAGTCAGTCAGATGACAATTGGGTATCAATTTTGCTATGTACTGACTGGAAATAGGGCTTCAGGATGGCATGTCTCATCTGCAATACTGAGACATCTATTGGAAAATACTGACACATCTATAGCTCGTTGGTGCGCCGACGGCATCGACCAAGCCAGAGGCTGACAAATATCCTCAGCTCACTTACACCTGTCTGCAAAACATGGGTACTCGATTCCCAGAGACTAAGAGCTTTCCGAAAAAGCCTTGTCCTTCGGGTATCATGGTCAATTTGAGATTTCCTACCTGCTGGGATGGAAAAAACCTTGATTCACCCGATCACATGTCTCACGTAGTATGTTCCTCCTGATTATCTGTACCAGGAACTGCTTTTGAGAAAGTTGTGGTCTGACTAACTTGTAACAGACTTACCCAGTCTCCGGTACTTTCGAGTCTCAAGGTCCATGTCCGTCATCTCATCCGGTTCGTGTGCCACAGGTGATGTACGAAGTCATCTACGAGACCGGGGCCTTCAACGATCCCTCAATATGGCCTGAAGATGGTAGCCAACCGTTTGTCTACTCCTTTGGTGATAAGACGGGGTTTGGAAACCATGGAGATTACTTGTTCGGCTGGAAAGACGATGCATTGCAGAAGATCATGGACGAAGAGTGTTATGTAAACTGTTCGAGCATGCGAACTCAAAGTATCGAGCAGATGAACGCTTGTAGCGTTAGCCGGAAGGTTGTTGAGGACATTGGTGACGATGACTGTAAGCATCCATGTATGGCATCTTAGCCCAACACTAATTGACATGCCTAGGGATTACTGTGCTCCCTGGCCAGGCGCAAACTGTGTAACTTTTTGTAACACATGGGACTAGTCACACACCTGTTCCATGATCTCGACAGTGGCCCTTTGGAATCGTTCTTATCTTGTAGTCTCGCATGTTCTCGCGCTTTTCTTATTATCCTGACTGCTTTCTTGATGTGAAACTATCATAGCGGAATAATTCAATAACACATTGGTATACTCACATGCAGTGCCATTATATCTTTGCAACTCAATAGATATGCTTGAATTATGTTCACCCAAAACTCTAGTATAGTCTCGAATGTGCACTGCTTTGCGGACCCGGTGTGTTCACTATGTGAGAGGAACCGGGGGCCTCTAATATACTTCGCCGAAAAGTCCCTCAGCGCGCTCAAAGTCCTGAAATTGCCATCTGAAGCCATTCGACTACTCATCGCAACGACAACAGTAGAAGCCAGGCTTGAGAATTGCGTAAACATAACGCCGACAGCGCTCCATCACCGTATCTGATATCTCACGCTTGTTTTCAAAAATATCTTGTCCAGAAATTCTGTATCATTAATACGTAAGCTAGAAAGGGGCGATCGTATGTCCTCTTCTCCTGTTTTCGCCGCCCCATTTCAGCCTGATACACGGAATCTGACCTCCTCCTCTCGTGCATCCGTCACTCCGTCTCGTAAAATTGTATTATTTGCAAGTGCAAATGTATTTTCGTAGGTTGAATGGTATTGTGTCCGGAAAGGCCCGTCATCACGTCTACTGGGCCACGGGGTGCGCGTTTGCGACCACTCAGGTCTATTTTCGGAAACCCAGCAGTGTTCAGCAATGACGATGCGTAAGATTTCTTGTTCGTCGAAACATGGCGGCTGTATTGTCGATCTTGTTATCAAGTGCGAGCGATTGTCTCTTTCTTCACGGTTGGGTTCCAGGTAAACTTCGTGAATATGGAACTCGCTCAAAGGAATCTCGTCTTGCGAATCTTCAACAAGTACTGTGATCAAGCCCCTCAACTGAAGATCGATTTCATCAGCATACCGACCTCGATACCCCCTCCTCCGACAGCCATCGAGTGCATATTCGAGCGCCCGGATGGCTATGCGTTGTGCTGTCGCGAGACTTGGGTAGATACCGAGCATGTCGAATGATTCTGTTCCGTTGCTGGAAAAGCTGGGGTTCCGCAGATGGATGACCTGGAAATTCCTTCCTCGCATGGGCGGTGAGATGGGCTCGTTGACATTGTTGGAAAAGGACATCAAGGCGTTGATTGACCACAGGATGGGGAGACAGGATGAGAATATGTTGATAATGTACGAGAATTGAAATCACGAGTTTGTATTAACGGAGCAGTGTTTGTTTTCATGTCGATGGTTGTGTAGCGTTTGCTGCTGGTCAACTCAAACAACAAACAGTGATTTCCCACTTTTGTGTATTACAGAGCTTGCATCCTGAGAGAAACAATGCAGATGACATGGAGAATGAGTACCCATTGAATAGAGTGCAATTTCTCAGGACGCTTTGGCTTTTCCAAGTGTACGAAGGCTGTCGACATTGGCTACTGCTTGTCTCTGAATACCCACAACACGCTCCAGCAGACTGATCACCAATTGCACCAACCCCAGTATGAATCTCAACAAATAGTCCTTCCAATTGAGTATTGGCTTGAGTCCACGCATGAACTTTGCGTCGACCACCTCCCACGGGACCTCTCCGCCTAGCCGCATTCCTACGGCGAGCCCACTTCTACACCCATCTTCATGGAAGCCATATCCTGTCCAGGCACCCGCATACCAGATACCCTGTTCGCCTTGAATCTTCCCTAGCTTTTCCTGGGCGTTCACCATACGGGCATTATAGAGAGGATGACGATATTCGTATGTGGCCTGGGTAAGCGCAGGTGAAGGAAGTTGTTCCGGGTTCAGTGTGACCAGTACGTCAGAGAAGATTGAGGTGGGTATATGTTGGAGAATGTTCATGTTGTATGTTAGAGAGACGTTTTGAAGAGATCCTGACGGAGATGTGGCGGAGGGAGCGGGTGAAGAAGTGGTCAAATAATTCCAAGCGGACCAAGCAGTGCGGCGCTTTGGCATGAACTAAAAGTCGTCAGCAATGATGATACAGGGTGACGTAGATACTGTAACATACTGAAAGATCCGAGTGAAGGTATGCAGTATTTGGCGTCGTTTTGAAAGCGTCCAAGATGTCGCCTTCCTCAGAAGTAGCCGCATCTCCTAGAAGCTGGCGCGCTTGATCGCCATGACACGCTAAAATGACTTGATCAAACACTTCGGTCTTGCGATGAGAATTTTCCATCAGACTGAGTTCCACTTTGCCATTCCTTCTTTCAATCCTGTCCACATTCGTGCCGAGGTGAATGTTTGCATTACGACACTCGTTCATTACAGCATCAATGTAGGTATTCGCGCCATTTGCAACCGTCAACCAGGGTGGTCTTTCGGACACGGTGCTCAATAAGTGGTGATTCCACATGAACCTCACGAGGGCCAGCGCGGGAAATTGTAGGGCGCATTTGTCGGCTCCTGTGCTCCATACAGATGCTGTCATTGGAATGAGGTAGTCGTCACGGAATGCATTTGAATAGCCCTCTTTCTGGAGATATTCGCCAATACTCATCTCGGCAGCTGCTATAGCGGCAGTTGAGCCAGGAAGGGTTTGGAGCAGATCCAGCGCGAACTGGTTAAAGCGAACAATGTCGAAGATCATCCGCCAGAAGGTGGGCTTGAGGACATTCTTGGGCTGAGCAAAAAGAGATGCGGCAGAAGTGCCTGACCATTCGAATGCGCCAGCATCACGAGAAATGCCAAACGTCATCTCTGATGATATTGTCTTGACACCAAGTGCTGTGAGGAATTGAATGAAGTTGGCTAGCTCGATTAGCATGTTATTCTTCACTTGCATGACCTCTGAGGATACGCACGATAGGTAGCGGTGTTGAGTACGATGAAACCGGTGTCCACGGGCGTATTCTGACCATTGTGTGTCCACGTCACTGTGTTGGTGTGACCTCCCAACCGGTCTGCCTTTTCAAAGACGTGGACTTGATGATGGGTGTTGCGCAAAGAATAGAGTGCGCTGAGGCCGGATATTCCGGTGCCGACAATGGCTATGCGATTCCTTTCCATGCTTCGAATGGTACCGGTAGCGAGCTAGTGCAGATGTGCAGATGTTGTGTACCGGTAGTGATTGGCGTACAGAACGGGCGCTTGACAGAGGCTGTCACGACACCAGCACGAGAGACGGAGCGACATTGCTGTGAAGTTTCGGAATGATGAGGTCATCGAATCGGAAGCGAGCCTTGATGTGTGTAGTGCGCAGACACGGGGTTACTAGAGTAGAATTACTCCATGGAGTTGACTGGCTGCAATGTACAGACTCACAGAGTCGGGAGCAAAATGGTGTCGCGAAGACCATTCTGTTACTATGCTTGGTTGAATATTCCAGACCGCCAGAGACGGACCAGTCTGACTCCGCTCAGAGCACGGAAGAGAGTGAAGGCGGCAGTCCAGGACCAGAGCGGGCGGCTTAGGTTAGGAAAGTTAGGGCAGGCACATTAGGTAAGATGACAATGCACGTGACCCAAAGTGCGCATGATTCATTGATTGATGTTCCAGTCCATCGCTTGATGCTCAAGGTTTTTGCACGTGACACATGGTGACATGACTGCGCCTTGGCACTGCCTAATGCCTAGTAGTATCCCCCACTGGACAAGTGCCCGCCAGTAACATAGTTGCCTACTACATTATTACCTCCGTACATGCTGTGTAGTTGCGTTGCGTTGCCTGCTAGGGTCTCGGGGCTCGGGACTTGGAACCGTGGGCATTCACCTCAGCCGTCGCATCCTTGCTTGTACACATCTACCACCACACACACACACACAACCACAACACGCTTCCATCACTCAACCTGCGCAACACAACGACACGGCAAGTCCATGCATCCGTAGCCCCAATCGTATTACGAACACGGCAGGATCCTGGCGGGCCATCTCGCATAGTCGGTCGACCCCAACCGCCCATCACAAGACCACACCCACATTCGAACAACCTCATGGCCACTCTCATCGATGCCGACGCAGGTACTGAGCGCTTCGGCGGCTATGAGGCCGAACTCAAGCTGGTACAGGCAGATCTGAGCCAGCAGCTGGAGCAGATCAAGGAGGCGACGGGCGAGGCGCGCAAAGCAGCTATTAGCAAGGCGGAGCGGGCGCTGGAGGAGGCCGAGGAACTGGTGAGCGCCCGCCATGCACGATAGGCATCACGTCACGACATGACCAGTGGGACGCTGACGGCAACTTGCCAGATCGGCCAGATGCGCCTCGAAAAATCAAACATCCCCGCCAATCTCAAGTCGCAGTACAATGCGCGCTTTCGCAACTTCGAGCACGACCTGGATACGACCAAGCGCAAGCTCGAGACGTACACCAATGACCGTAGCAAGCTCTTTGGCCACCGCTATACCGACAACCCAGATACGGATGCCCAGCTTGAGCAGCGCCAGCAGCTGCTCTCAGGTACCGACCGGCTGAACCGCTCGTCAGGGCGTCTACGCGAGTCACAACGCATTGCCCTTGAGACGGAGCAGATTGGCGCTGGCACCCTGAGCGACCTGCACCGCCAGCGCGAGCAAATCACCAACACACGCGAACGCCTGCTGGAGAGTGAGAGCTACACAGACCGCAGCATCAAGACGCTGCGCGGCATGGCACGACGGTGCGTTCTCGTTCCTGCTTGCCTTCCATCTTCTTTCCGTCTTCCCCCCTTGTTGATGCATTCTGCTAGATGGTCACCTCTTTGATCCGCAATCACCTTTCTTCCTGCTTTGCTGACCACTCCCTTCACAGCATGGCCACCAATCGCATCATCACCATTGCCATCATCACCGTCTTGGTTCTCCTCATCATTGCCGTGATTTACAGCAAATTCAGGTGATTATGCACCCATCATCGTCGTTGCTTCGTGGTTTGGCGTCTGGAGTACATTGCGGGAGGCGTAGGAAGTCGCGGCCACTGGCCCCTTCAAACCCAATTGGGTCGTAATGCATTCGTGGGCACATTTTCAAAGCTGCGTTCCCGAAGCTTCGCAATCCAATAGTCTTTCCGTCCCTCACATGGTCATTGGTTGCAGTTGCCGGAACATATTCATCGTTACAAGAGTGACACTTTGAAATTGAATGGCTTCCTGAGGAACCTTTACTGGGCCATTCTCACCTCTGCAAGTGACGCCAACAAAGTCGCTGTTCACCTGACCGTGACCCCATTCATTCGCTGCCGCTCTTGGACTCTACTGCTACCTCTTGTTACTATACCTATGATGCTTTTCAACTAGCGCCTGTGACGTCATGATAAACAAATATTTGGCACCTGTCCACCGTGGAGAAGCCTTGGGCAGCTGGCAGCGAAGAACAGCCGGATTATTTCAACACTTGCTTTCTACATTCCGGGCCCCTCGCCATGGGTCGCAGAGACCGGCTCGTCAGCATCTCCATCACGCGCGCCATCTTCCCGACTCAGCCTGCACATGATGATGAAGGACCGCGTCTCGGTCTGTTCGCACGTATCTGGGCTTTCTTTGCCATCTTCAGTCTACCCCTTGTTAGGTATCGAGCATCCCTATTCGAGAGGCTGAGAAGCGATGCATGGGAAATGGAAGAAGAAGAATACCTGGAGAGTTTCCGGAGTTCAACCAAGAGCAAGCGAACGGATCTTGTGGCCGTCGGGGACTTGGGCTACTCGGGCTCAGTAGGCACTGATATCGAATTCGTCAAACGTATGACTAACGTTGAACAGACTTTCTTTACCACTCCCAACTCCAAGTATCTGATCAAATCGCTGCCCCGCAAGTTCGAGCAGACGTTCTTTCGCGATCGCCTCCTCGAGCCCTATGTCGAACACATGCTGTCTAACAAGGATTCCCTTCTCGTAAGAATCACCGACCTTCTCTGCAGCCGTACATGTACCATCGGTACTGCGATCGGCGCCGCGCCCAGTCATCACATAGTCATGGAGAACATACTGTATGGAAAGTCGAGTGGCAGCAAGATCCAGCAGGAGCAGTGGGAAACTTACGACCTCAAACCCAACGACTACTTCTATCCTGAGAGGGATGTCGCTGGGGGCAGGCTAGCTCCGGAAAGCGTCAAGGACCGACTGATTGACGTTTTCAAAGACAAGATCAAGGTCACCATAGACCAGAAGGAGAATCTCATGGCCCAACTTGTACGAGACTCGCATACTCTGCAAGCCAGTAATGCAGTCGACTACTCTTTGTTTCTCGTCCGCTACCCAGCAAATCTTGGCTCAATCGGCTCAATCGATGACGGCTGCGTGGGGAATCCTCCAGGACGTGGTTCCTCGTGGCGCAAGGGCGTCGTCTCGAGAGATGGAAAGTGGGTCTATCGCGCTGTTGTCCTAGACTTCTTCTGGGCTAAAGATGCCCTACAAGCGCAGATGCTCACTGGACTGGTGAAGTTGTTCAACACTCTTACATTCGGCAAGGATTATGGGCCAATGAGTATCACGACTTCGAGCGATGAGTATCGACAAAGGTTCCTCGGCATGGTTGATGACATGGTCGAAGTACCGGATAGTGCTGGGCAGCCGTCGGGCAAAGTACGAGTTACAACACCGAAAAGTAGTGAGCAGGTATGAGGCCGAAGACTTGAGTAGCAATGTAGATGCCCACTACAATCCAAATCATAATATACGTTGTTGCCTTCTAAACTACCCGTCTTTTCAGGAGAAGCGGTTCGCTTTTGTCGCAGTATGTAGTAGGTAGCGTGCAGGACGTGACTATTGCTCCTTGCATGGACGCTTTCATGACCAGTTTGTATTCATGAAAATCAGAAGTTCGTGGATCATCTCAGAAGCATAGGAAAGGGTCTACTTTGCTCGATCTTCCTCTTACTCGCTTTATAATGATTCATCTCCACTGCTATCACGATATCACCCAACCGCAAGTCAGCTGACGTGCGTTCCCAAATGACCTTTGTAGAATGGACCATTGTGCACGATGCAAAGTGCCGCGATGGCGGTGAAGGATCCATTGCAAGCTTGTCGTCATGGTACAGATGGTCAAAGGCCTGAGTGGCCTTTTCTCCGGGGGAAGGGGAGGGGGCGTTTGAAGTGACGAAGCTGCCAGCGCACCGCGGGCGGGACAGGGGAGGAGGTCACGATGGACCAGAGCCTCTGCAGTAACCTGAGACCTCCAAGTGCCCTGACATGGACTCTACCGAGACTGGTTCGCGACCAGGGTCAGACTCTCCATGTCAGTCCTAGAGTAGCCTACTCTAAGAGGAGATTCTGGTCTGGTATTGGGCTCTTCGTTGCCGGTTGATGAAAACGAATGTAGACGTGCGCTAGGTGGCTTTCCGTAGACGGTGTACCAGGTTTGTAGAGAGTGCAGGTGGCCACGAGGGTCGGGACAATGAAATGAACAAGCTTCTGTCGTGCATGAGCAGACAAGACGGGAGATTCGATGCCTGTAACTGACCAGGCAAGAATGATGAGTGATGAAGTGAATGGACAAGCTGAATTCGGGGAATGATGCGATGACGTAGTTTGTGCACTGTACCATGCCGAACCAGCGATGTCGTGACCAAACCGTGCCAGGCATAACTGCTTCTTCCCACTACTACGTGACTGATTTATAAAGTCACATCTTGGCCTCTTACCGCTTACTTCTTCCTTACTGCTTACCTCTTGCCTCTTGCCTCTTGCCTCTTGCCTTCCACACGCACATTCACTCCTGCGCGCGCACACTAGGGAGAGACAGATTCTTTCTTACACCACACCACACCTCACCTCACATCTACACGGCTGCCTTAGACACATCCTTCCACACCATTACCTCTCGAGATTGACAGTCAACTCCTTGCTTTCCATCTACAGCGCTAGACTCTACCTGAACAGGACGCCCCACGCTACGGCTGGGACCGCTTGCGCTCCAACCACACAGCTTGGCTTGTCCGAGCCCTACCTACGTCACTCCTGCTGTTACCTCCTCCAGACACTGGCGTAGGCCCCCAGTTCCATTGAACCATGTCCGTCCTAGCCTTGAAGGCCCTGAGCTACGGTGCAGAGCAAATTCCAGATAAATTCTTCGAGAAAATCCCAGGCGGCTTCTTCACCCCACAAGAGAGCAGGGACATCAAGCAAGGTCGCAAGGATCGCAAAGATCGCAAAGGCGAACGAGATAGAGAACGTCGCAGGAGCGAAGATCGATCCGAGAGACGACCTTCTCGCCGAGAGGGCACCTTGTCAACCCATTTGTCTTATGACAGCGCAAACGACGATAGCAGTGACAGTGACAACAGGCGACAACGTGAGCGAAGGAAGAAAGAAGGCAAGCGGGCAAAAAGCGCTGGGAGATCTCCTAGTATCAGTTCGAGTCGAGCAAGGGACGATAGGCGTAGCAGTGGCTTGGACGGAGAATATAGCGATTCTAGAAACATGGCTCAACCAGAGCAAGGAGTGCCCTACTTTCCGCCCCCGCCAACCTCCGAGTACAAGCCATATAATCCACAGGATCACTCGTATCCGCCAGTGCAGAATGGACACAGGTCTTCATCGGCTATCCCTGCATATGGCTACTCGTCAAAGGTAAACTCCCACTTTTCAGATTTTCGTAACCGCTGTTCAGCACTTCCGTCGACACCTGAACATCCAACACCGGTCAACTCTTGTCCACCGCTGCAGATGAACAGGCCGCCTTTGGGCGCGTCGACTCTACCGTTCTTCCCGCCCCCTTTGCTTCACAACCTCTCCAGCGGTACTCCAGTATCTGCGGCGTTTTCTCCTTCCTATGAACCGCCTCTTGCGGCTTTGCTTCAGAGCCCGCCTACTAATTCTTCAAAGTCAGCTGCAGCGCGAGCCTATCCTGCACAGCCATCATCTGCACAGCATGAAGCGTCCCGATCTGCCGCATCGCGCTACACTCCTGGACCTGGATATGCGCCATCGTCTCCGATGAATTTTGCTCATCGACCCCCAACTGCAGATGCGAATGAGTCCTCCTACAGCCCCTACACCCTGTCCGACTACCCTCCTGGCATGACTGGCTATGCGGGTAGCACTTACTCATTACCACCGCCTTTCCAACGCCACCGATCTAGCTCTCAACCTGCTCATGCACCCGGCGGAAATCTTCCTTATCCGACCTACGTTCCCCCTTCTGCCGACCAGCAGGTCATGACCGCGTACGACCAACCACCCAGCCGTCGTAGCAGTACAAAGCCTGATCGTGAATATCGACACAGGGCAATGTCTGCAGACTCCCGTTCCCGTTCCAGCAAAGAATACCGTCGAGAGAGTTCACGCATGGGCAAGGTGCGGGAGAGGCTCGATGGTATGGATTTGCATGAGAAGGGTCTGGCAGCGACGGTAGGAGGTGCGTTGGCGGGAGGACTTGCAGGCAGACAGATGGGGAAGAGTAGACTAACCGTTCTTGTAGGCGCAGCGGCAGGTGCGATCGGAGGACGTGCCATTGCCGACAAGCGGTCGAAGTAGGTCACGCCCTTTTCTCCGGCTTGTTTCATCTTGTGACAACTTCAACATCACCGACCTGATCAGTAACTAACAAAGTGACATTTACAGAAGTCGAGGCGAACAGCGGACCCAGTCTCGCACTCGGTCTCGGTCACGTGCCCGGGACCATGACAGAGAGCGTGGCAAAGACATTGGTCTCCATGCTCGGAGCCGTAGTGTGACTGATCGCTTCCGCTCAAAATCTCGGGGGCCGGATGACCGAGATAGCCGCGCTTCTAGGCGCGATCGCCGGCCCGATCGTGGATATGAGGACGGCGATGAGTATGAGTACTTCAGTAGCGAGTCTGAAGGTGATGGATCCCCTGTGCAAACGAGAAGGCGCAGGCGGAGGAGGAGGAGAGAGGATTGAATCCTGCATGTGAGATTGAAGTGGCCGGCATGACTACAGGTATAACAGTATCTCTGTTCCACGGATCAACGGGACGGGGCATGTCATCTGGGCATGGGCGATAGGTAGCGTGGCGAGATTGTACAAGTATTCTTCTGTTCCTGTTTGGGGGCGCGGGTCTTGCTTTTCGGCCCGTCTTGTCGGTCTTTGTGCTTGGTTCCCATGCACGGAATTACGGAAATAACGAGGAAATAGGTCGCGTGCGGCTTGTGACTGGCCAGTTGGATCGTCTGGTGCCAATTTGCCAATCGTGTTTGGTCCTGGTCTGGTCCTCGGCCCTTTTCACCCGTGGATCCATTCCTCTTTACTCTAGAGTATGTACCTACAGTACCGACAAGATGATGTCCAGTGTGTACTGTACAGTAGAGTACGTATGTACCGTATCTTTGTAGCCTGCTTGTAGTATCCTAGTCCACGACGTGCAAATCGGTGTTGTTGATGGAGACCTTCTTTTTTTTCCCTTGCCCCTTGCCATCCATGGCACAGTTCGCCGAAGAAGGCCAAGGGGGCATCATCCTCCATCCGAGGGAACAACGACACGGGGGGGGGGGCAAAGGGGCAATGACTCCATGGGCTCGCGAGCAATCGGACCTGATTTTTGCCTGCAGGTGCAGGAGATATTGCTTCTTCCCAATCCCAATCCTTTCTTCTCTCATGGACCATGGGAGTATGTAATCGCTTCCCAGACAGAGATGGGGATTGCCGATTGCGTGATAAAGTGGAGCCTGTCTGGGCTGCAGTCCCGGGACGCTCGGCTGTCCTTCCCCCCCTGATCAGGTTGAGGCCTTGATATTCAGGCCAACATGTCGCCAAGGAATTTGGCTGGGCGAAATCTCACAAAGGGAGGGATGTGGGTGTGACGGGATGCGTCTGTGACTCTTGAACATTCGGACCGGTGCTTATGAAGGATGACTGATGCTGCGCGAAGGAGGCGTGGCCGAGTACAAGAAGGATGGCCTTCGCCGGTGACAGGCCGATTGGGGGAGGTTTCGGGTCAACCATGACGGTTGGTGGACATGTGAAGAGATCGCTCGCCCGGTTTTACTTTGTCGCTCGAGTCTCGCAACGACGCGGAGGCCGAGATGAGTCGTGAGGGTTGCTTGGTGGTGGCAATCGTCCCTTTGTTTGCCCGTTGCCATGTCCTGGCTCGATGGAAAAAGAGGGTTTGATGGGCCGGCCATGTGCATCTGGCCAGCGGCATAATGGCAGAACAAAGCATATCCTTGGCCGACAGTACGGCGGCTGTACTATGGCGAACATCAAGCATAGTATGTATGTACCGGTTTGTCGTCCATGTCCCTGTCGGGTTTACCGTTTGCATGTACATACAGTACATGCTCTACTATAGTAGGTAACCCCCCTTCGCGTGGAAACGTGCTTCCGCAGCCGCGATGCTGTGTGGGTACTCCGCTGGGTAGGCCACTCGGAGCTGATGATCTATTGTTGTACTATTAGGTACCTACCGGGTAGGTATGTACTCACACGCCATAGTTTTAGTCTGTACTGTCGTACCTAGGTAACTAGTACTGTGTACACTCACTAGTAGAGTACTCTACACTTGCTCTCGCGGCCCTGTATGGCGGTTGATGATGCCACCTGCCACCACGCTCTTTCACATCTTCGTACATCTCTCTCACTCTGGCATGTGGCTTGATCGGGCCATCAGACCTCTTCCTCCCAATCCCACTTCCAATGCACACTACCTATGTAGGTACGGTAGCGCAACATCGGCCGGCCATGGCGGGATCAAGATGCTGCGACAGGGGGTTTGCCGATGCAATTGCGTGTCTTGGAGACAAGCTCCTGTGCCTAGATACTGTGTACTACATGTACTATACTTTACTATATACTCTACATACCCATCCTCATGTACTAGTACTCTACATGACATAGTACTTACTACTATACCTAGGGGTAGTAGGGTGTAGCATGTACTCTATGCGCGTGTAGTAGGTACATGACTACATGTAATCCATCTGTGTGACATGTCTGGCCTTGGGCCGGGGCAACCGGCGGAAATGTTCCGCGCCTAACCTTGCGAGCTGGAACCTTTCATCATCGAACCACGCGTAGAATATTACCCGCGAAAGAAGCACCGAACCCATTCTACCATTCTCCCATCTAGGCAACTTGGTCGTCTTGTCCTGACGAAATTGCCGAATCGGCCTTGTCCACAAGCCCCATGCCATGCCGAAGCTCAGCGCGGCGCCGCTGTGTGTGTGTCTGTGTGTGTGGATCTTTCGGTCCGCAATATCCATGCCAATATCCGCCTTTCAAATCTTTCTGACCCTGCAGCCTCTGTTTCTCCATGACTACTGACCTCTGCGAAGAAAAAAAAAGAAAACCCCCGCGCCTCCCTCCCAATTCCCCCGGGCGCTAGCTTGCCATGGTGTTTGGTTTGTTCCCACGGACCGTCATACATACAAAGTATCGTGGAGTACGTACTCTAGAGTACCGTACCACGGTAGTACTGTGTAACAAACATGGCATATGTAATGGGATGGGGACGGGTCGACACTGGGACCATACAACGGTCCTTCAACTGGCCTGCGCCTGGCTCCGCTTTTCCTTGTCTCCCTAATGCCAAACAGGTGTTGCAGCGAGCTATACTACAGCGAAGACCACAAGTCTTCTTCCTTCCAGAACAAGTCGAGTGGTGGGCGCCATTGGCCGGCCTAGGTCCATGGATGGTCCCTTGATGATGATCGACCATCACATCACATACCGAGGCTTGACTCAAGTGGAAACTCGCCCAGCTACAGCTAGTCACTCACTGCGGAACACTACCCGAGCGGTACAGCTTTTGCCCGGCCGTCGTATGCAACTATTGGAAGCCGCAAGGTAGCAGCAAAGTTGAGGTTGCATAATCGGCGCTTCTTCGTTCGGTCCCCAAGAGCGAAGAGCCGCCTTTTTTTCTCTTCTCGTCACCCTTTGTGAAGGCGAAACAGTAGCCCGCGTGGCTTCTCAGGGACCGTCCGCCCTTGTTTTGCCTGATTTGCTAGGTTGGGCGAGTAAGCCTGTCCTGGTCCCGTAACCTGGACATGGTGAAGCGAGTGGGAAGAGGTTTTTTGGGCTCGGGAAGGGATGACGAAGAGAAAGTGGAGTAGGCCTTTTTGTGGTCCGCCGACTTGGGACTGTTGGATAGCAAAGACGTGGGGGTAGGTTGGAGTACAAAGCCAACTCAAGGCCCAGTTGTGGCGCCGAACCGTTGTTTATTCTTCTCGAGGCGTCTTATTTTCTTTTTGCAACATATCCTTCTAGACAGAGCTCCAATTGTCCACTTCCGAATCGGGACATCCACTATCAACACAAAGAAGAGAACGACAACCACTTCAACCACCACCATCCCCCCAAGTCGGACTTCTCATCTTCGCCCACTGCCCATCCTGCGAAATCCGTCATTTCACATCGCAAGGAGACAGAAGAACAGATTACACGATAGAAAAACCAGGACCACCACCACCATGTCCCACTCTCCGCTTTCAGCAGCCTCCTCACGCTCACCCTTCCTAAACCTCCCTCCCGAGCTCCGCCAAAGAATCTACATGAATCTCCTGACAACTCCATCGCCCATCCTCGGCCCCATCGCCCGCGGTTCCCAAACCTACTCCATCCATACCTCCATCCTCCGCGTCTCCCGCCATATCAACGCAGAAGCGCGCCCAATATTCTTTTCACAAAACACATTCGTCATCACCAGCATGCCGTCCTCATCAGAAGATGACCTCGTTTCGGGCGCTGGCGCGTTTGAGCCACCGCTACAACTCAAAGACCTGCCACTTGTACGAAAATTGGAAATCGACGTCTTGTTCTATCCAAAAGTCCTACGCGTGCTTGAGGGACGCAAGTACGGCGGCTGGAGTCCAGTGTGTGAAGCTGCAGAACGCTATGTAGGCAGCTTGGTCGGGGTTTTGGGAGCTGTGGAAAAATCATTGTTGAGCCTGAGATTGAGTGCGGATACACGGCGCTATACCGCAGTTGCCTTGCCCTCGCCGCAGAAACAGAAAGAGGAGGGTAAAAAGGAGGCGAAAGCAGGAGAAGAACAAGAAGACGGACTCGATTTTCGCAAAATCCTAACTGGCTTCCACATGCTAGACCGCAATCCCCGCTTCCGCGAGGTGCAGGGAAAGCTCGCACTCGTCCCAACCATTTCGCTCCATTTCGACTTTATCGATTGCTCTTTCGATTTTGAGATTGAGCGGAGTGTCCTGTGTAACCAGAGATTTGCAGAGCTGGCTGGACAAGTCTTGATGAAGCGGAATGATATTCAGGCGCGCATGGCAATGCAAGACGTCGATGGGAACAATGATACAGATGGGGAGGCACGGGGCAGTGTCCGGCCTAGGGGTTACACGGAGGTCTTGGAGTGCTTCGCTTGAAAGCTTTCGACTATAAACAATAGGGAAATGTTGCTTCGGGAACACATCTATACATTGCGTATGGGAATGAGCATGGTGGGCTTGAAGACATGATACCCAGTTTGCACTATGTTTTTTATATATATTCTGGCTGGGGGCAGCAGTTTTGGGAGTCTTGGGAGTCTTGTTTTGTTTGTACGACGAAGCAAACAGTCAGTCTAACTAGGTGATTGGGATGGTGTGGGTGTATACAGAACAGACAGACACGATGTAATCTAGATGTGTTGGCCGTTGTGGTAACTGCAAGAACTGAACGGAGTAAGCGGCAAGTAGGATTTCATGACGTATGTGTTTTCTAGGCTTGAACGTCACATCGCAGATGGCCTAAGCCCGAAGAGGAAACAAGCTCATGTTTGTTCTCCGACATTTACAACATTAGACCGCGCCCGCTTGCGCGTAGTATGTGTACACGGACCCTGGCAAAACCAGCGTTTGATAAGCACCGCCTCCCGGTTGACCTTTCACTCTTGCAGAACAACACCGAGACAGACTTTGTACTGTGGACAATTATGAAGCAATTGCCCGGCTCCGAAACACATCCTCGACTCAGCCCGGACGTTCCGGCCTTGTCATCAACCAACATACTGTACGAACCACTGTGTGAACCAAGGCTGGTGTTTGATCTTCGGTCCTTAGTCGCTCAGTTCGATCGCCTCGCTGAGTTGGTCTGCACCAGACATTGGCATTCGCTTGCCCGGTCGAACATGCGAATTGGTACGCGGACCGATGCCATCGCCACGACCCTCCCACCAGCTCGTTGACGAGGCCGGAAGTTGAGCTCCAGCCCGTGATGAAACGTTTGCATTAGTAGATGCTCGTGGAGACAAGGCTGAAGACCTCGCGACACTGTGTGACTCGCCGTATGGGAAAGTCGGCCGAGGAGCTGGAGAAAGAGGGGAGTGAGATGGGGTTTGTGGCTGTAGCCGCGACACTGTGCTCGCTCCTCTTCTCGTTAGAAGCAGTGCGTCCAAGTCTTGAATGTCTTCCTCTGCCCCAATAAGACCTTCATCGAATGCTTCCAATGTCTTGACAATGGTCCGGTACATGGCCTCTGCCATTACAGGAGGGAACGCATTGCCCACCTGTTTAGTAGCTTCTGTTTGGCTGCCGGTAAATTTGTATCCATATGGAAAACTCTGAAGCAGGCTTAGTTCGCGTACAGTCCATCTTCTCAAGCCAGAATAGTGGTAGCTTGGACTCCCACCCGTGGTTATGCAACCTCGTAGGAAGCCATGGGCGTCAGTGGGTTCTCGAGGCTGTCGAGCTTGCTTAGGCATGTGATATCGCTCTTCCAAGGCGCGGGGTCCCATCCGTTCGAGGGTCTGGAGAACCTTATCAACGTACACAAATGGTTGGAGGCCACTTCCGCTAGGACCATGTGACTCCTTCGGAAAATGAGGAAGCGGCGTGCCTCGTCTTGAAACATGTTAGCAAGAGGGAAAATACAGAAAGGCCAAGGGAGTTCCTTTTCATACCGAGCAGCGATGATAAGCAGGCGTTTGCGCCTCTGTGCCAATCCATGCTTGGACAAATCCTGGATCTTGTAGCGAACATCATAGCCAGCTTTACCGATATCATTCAGCAGCATATAAAAGTTCTTCAGATGCCGACCGTCCGACGCAAGTCCAAAAGTCTGTTCTAATGTCGCGACACGTGGCCCAACCTTCTGAAGTATTGGTCCTATTGTGTAAATGGCTTCGTAGTTGGCCTGATCGTTCGGACCTTCAACAGTGCTGTTTGCAGTGAGTAAAGACGTCAACTTATATCGAGTTGGAGGAACTTACTGAGCTGGGCTAAAAAAACAGCACGGGGGAGACAGGTGAAGTACATGGACCCTCAGCTCTTCCTTGGTCTTACCAGGCGGTGGAAAGTCGTGAGCATTGCACAGGAATCCAGACGCGCCGGGATGGTTCATTTTATACGCTCGCAGTGCTTGCTGATCTACGTCCAGACCCCACGCGACATGGAGACCAGCTTGTGCAGCGCCCTGGGATGCGCCCCCAAATCCACAAAAAACGTCGCCAATGGTGTACCTGCCCTTCTTTGCTGGGTATCGTAACGGATGTTTCGGCAGTCGTTGTTCCAGAATCTCAACTGAGTCCGATCGAGCCCGTCGCTTTCCGCTACTCACAATGACCACATCATCGTCATCGTCATCTTCTACAACGATAGACGTTTCGCGAGAGTCTCCGGTATCCGGTGTTCTCGAGACTTCAAAGGCGCTGGTTCCTGAGGTCCTGGTCTCGTGTGCATATAAGCTTCGTACAATACCGCCACGAGCCTTCTGTGTGCTCTTGGTCTTCATGGCCTTTTTGTGCATGAAGAGAATAATGACAACGCGGCAAGTGAGTCGACCCTCATGATATACTTGGCGTCGTATTTCTTCTTTGCTTGTACCCACGGGATGCGCGCAGCGCCAACCGTCACGAAAACTTAGCAGCGGATACGGTTTGTTGGTAAGCGCACACGGGCGTGTGCCAACTATCTCTCCCATGGCCACTTCTTCCAAGCCGGCGACAAAAGGGCATCGATGATCACCTTCTTCAATATGGAGAACCATACAAAGTTCATTTAGCTTCCCTAGTATAGTGTTAGCGGTTAATATATAGACAGAATGTAATGACTCACAGTCCCAAATTTGGCCTAGATACTTGGTGCGCCGCATCCGATGCCCTCTGAACCTAATGACATCCGTCTCCAGATTCTGGATGATGGTCCTAATCATAAAGAAATCTCCACTGTGCATGCTACTGGGGGCATGGGTAGAGTGGTCCAGTAACTCTAAGGTGTCCCCAGGTCTCACAACAGGTCCGTTGCTAAGCCTAGCATGCGGGATCTCTACATCAGGAAGTTTGATGGAGGGATTATTGTGACTTGTCCCAGAGGATACCGAGGGGCGTGTATGGGTTTGGACGGAGATGACTTCCGGTTCGGAATCTTCAGAATCTTAAGATGGAAGGTCAGCATGCATACGTCAAGCAGAGATATGTATTACCGTATTCTAGCAATTCAACATCGCCATTGTTAGTATTATAGCCATCGTCATCGTCACTATCATCAATGATGAAAGGACAAGCAGCTGACATTGCGATATCTGGCGCAATACGATTCATGTTAGTGACTCAGCGAGAGCATATTGCATGTCGCAGCAGTGGTCGTGGCTGCGCTTCATGGCTTCGAAGTACTCACCTGTGCGTGCGCACGATTTGCTTGACGGCAGGCTTTGCAAAGGACAGGAAAAGAAGTAGAGCGGGCAGATCAGGTTTGACAATGCAGTTTGCCACCGACATGAGGGTTGGGAAGCGAGAGGGTGACTGGCTCGTGCTTTCATGGTGAAGGCGGGGTGGGTCTGAGGAAAATGATGGGGGTGTTAGGCAGGCTTGTGCTTTCATGGTGAGGATGGGATGGATCTGAAGAAGGCAATGGGGGTGGAGAAGGCATGCTTGGTATGAAGTCGAAGGAATGCAGCGTTGTAGTTGTGCAGGTTTCTACCAGTACATTCGTGAGGTGTGAAAGTCTCGGACGGTATACGGTAACAAACACGTGCAAGTGAGAATATGAGATATGGTAGTGGTGGAAGTAAGAGGGGTTGAATAGGAGGAATCTAGGTAAGTATGATGTGGGAAAAGCAGCCAAGACAAAAGATGTCTTTATTACAAGGTTTCCTGACCCGTAATCCTGCACAGCATATTACTGCACCACGGCTCATCGAATGGTGCGCTCGACGAAGTCCTTCTCTAGCCGGCCTACCTCCCTCTTGAATGCCTCGACCTCTTTCCAGCAGTCCAGTGGCCGCCGGTCATAAGTTCTCAGGCAGGCGACGACGGCCTCCTTGGCCTTGCTGAGGTCCTGATCGACCTGTTCTAGCTTCTTCCTCTTGTCCAGCTTGGCCTTTAAGTTCTCAATCTCCTTGATGACGCTGTCTCTGCTCATAGTCTGTTGGCGTTGCTTGTCTGCGAGAGTGGCTTGGCTCGAGGTAGCGTCCGTGATTCGGTCGACGAGGGAAGGCTCGCTCGGTTGCGCTGATTCGGTGGACAATGTTTCGCTGAACTTGGAGAAGTTGTCCAATTCTTCCTGGCGCATTTTCTCAAGTTCGGCTGTGAGACGCTGCTGGTATTGGAGTTCTTGCGCCTTGGACCGCGCTGAGTCTGTCTGTTGCCTTCTGTCAGCACTGCGTGTTTGTGTGGCAATGTCGCCATTATGCAAGCCTATTCGAGGTTCTGGGGCCGACTCACGAAAGTGTTCTTCTGGATTGAGTCGACCAGGCCATTGGAGAAGCGGACGGGGTGTTCACTGCACGCAGACTTGTCAGTTGGGCTGTGTGTGGGCTTTGGGTGCATGAAGATGGGATGGAATAATTACGCACGGAGCAAAGACATGCTGCGTCACCTCAGACGAGGGCTTTGAGTTGTCGGCGCCCATTGTGTTTTTGCGGCGGGCAGGCAATGGTGAATGGCAGTGAATGCTCAATGCTCGATGTTGAAGTTGTTGCCAAGCTTGGCACATCTACGCCCGGGTGGAACAAGGCACTTTCAAGGTTAGATCGCGTCTTCGGCCGAGCACGGTACGGCAAAACACATACACGTACAATACATACACACTGTGTACATACATGCATACATACATACATACATACATACATACATACATACATACATACATACATACATACATACATATACATGTGTAGACACATCTATCCAGTGCTCTAGTACCCTGGTATAGGCAACTCCACTATTGCCCTCAAAAGCTGGGCCCGTGTTTTATCAGTACTTTACCAAGTACCGGTAACTAATGAACTGGCATTTACCCTACCACAGTACCCATACCGTGCACAGTACAGTACAGTATACATACACATACATAGAGTAACACCGCACCCCCGGGCCCTTGTCGCTGATCGGCAGGCACATGGCTTGCTTGCTCCTCGATGGATCATAGAAATGCGCCTTCATTCCTCACACCCGCCACAATCCTCCACTGTTTCCTTCACCATTTCCTCGACCTCTCATGACGGCGAGTCCTTGAGCAACACTGCGCCACCCTTCAAACCGCGCCTACCATCTGGCAAGCACCCCCGCGATAACAGCGAAAAGGCATCATCCATCACATCGCTCACCGACATCCACAACACCAGAATATTCCCACCGTCACCATCAACAATAACATTAACACCAAAAAATTCTTCGTCACTGTGCAGGGAAAGCAATGCAGTCCTCACTGAATGAGTGGCTTGAGAAGTCCTCCGGCCAACGAAATAGAAAACCACCACCTCCTCCTCCTCCACCGGTTACAACCCCAAAGCGACCCCCACCACCCCCAAAGTCTTCCTCGGCACCGAGCCGCGTTCCCTCTACTGGCACGGTGCCAGGCATGTCCAACATGGACAACTGGAACGACATACCCGATGACTTCCTTCAGGCCCCCTCGAGGCCAAGACCGAAGAAGAGTCCGCGATCCTCTCGCAATGTTACGCCCGCCCATCTTTCCAGAGCGCCCTCGCCTGTACCTCCTCCTGTTCAAGAGCCCGACATCCCACAGATGTTTGCCTTACGCCCGCTCCCCGATAATGTCCAACTCGCGCCGCTTACAGAAGAGCACCTGATGGCCTATAAGCAGCTCAATGCCCTCACTCTACCCATACCCTACCCAGAAAGCTTCTACAAGGAGACCATGACTGAGCCTCACTTGGGCATTACCCTGGTGGCACTGTGGCATGCTACTCCTGGATGGCGCTCTGTCTCGTCTTCAGAGAATCCACAGCTCGTGGGCGCAGTTCGCTGCCGTATTCTTCCCGGATCGCAGCTGTACATTTCTACTATCGGTATCCTCGCACCATATCGCACCCACGGCATCGCCATGCACCTCCTACAGGCCATCGTAAAGAAAGCAGTGTATCTGCACGGTGTGCGCTGCGTCACTGCACATGTATGGGAAGCAAATGAGGAAGGTCTGGAGTGGTACAAGAAGCGAGACTTTGAAATACTGGCCAAGGAGGATGGGTATTACAGAAAGCTGAGACCGCAAGGTGCTTTCCTCGTCAGGAAATGGATCGGGGTGGGAGATTTGCTCGCCAGTGGCGCATCAAAAGGAGAAAATGTGGACAGTCAAGTGCTATAGGAGCCTTCGAAGCGCCTGGCTTATACACCAGTAGTGACATCCTCTTCATATTCGCGCGACCGTGTACCTGGCTGGTACCTCGCCCGGCATATTGGCTCAGCTCGCTCTTGACGCATCCGTCTTCCCGATACCTGTCTAACCGGTCCCAAAGCACCGCACTCTGGAATGATCTCCACAGATCGGCCCACCTTCATGGTGTACTAAACATCACTTGCCATAGGCCATGTCAGCCATTTGTTGATCCGCGATCTGACTGCCCCCGCGCCTTAGCTCGGTCTTCCAGCAGGCGACATGGATACTGTGACGAGGTCGAGCCAGTCTTGATGTGTGGGTAAAGATATTCCCTTTGACCATGCAGGTTCATGCAAGAGTAGCAATACAATGAATCTTAGGATTCCCGGATCGCGCCCGAGTGTTGCTCTGAGGCAATTGCACAAATAACTTGGACGGACGTGGGTATGCACTACAGAGCTCTTGGAAGATGTGAGGACGAGCAAAGATGTTCTGGACCGATTATTTGCATACAAGCATGTGATATTAGTGTTCATAACATCAAGCATTTGCAAGACTTACAGTGAGTCCATTCTTGACTGCAGAGTACACACACCATCGGCGATTCTTATGCGTTGACTCGAAACCCGACTTGTTTTTCAATTGTCTAACAATATCCATCGACAATTTGACGTCCTCTGTCGGACAGCTACAATATAATATCGCTGCGACATATTGATGGAACCCATATGCTGGTTTCGGCAACATGCTGATTGCAATCCATGCATGACTCTGACACAAGATTATATCGCCACGATGTATTTGTCGACTATGTGAACGTCAAATTTAGAAGCAAGGACATATATAAAGCGGCGGTTGTGAACATTGGTGCCCAGCATAATCCTTAATGAACTCTACCGTACTGTCAACTGAGTAACATATACTGGCTCATGATGCACCTCTTTCCCCGTCACCTTGTTATCTGCAACCCTCCACCTTATCTCTACCAGTACGTCTTTGCCCGTGGTCAAGCGACTTCATGCTCATCATGTCCAGGCACCAGCAGGAGACCATAAGAAAAGCCAGACATAACGGATAATATACATCGGTTGTCACCTGCGAGGAACCTACTCAATATCAAATATTGTTGAAAATAGCCAAGCCGACCACGACCACAACGACTCGCAGGCCTGGAAAATCGGGAGATTGATGACCAAGGCTGACAATGCATTGCAGAGATGACAATCGGTTTTGAAGCAACATGACCTCAAGCTACCTAGCCAGCTATTGTGTAATTTACCTACCCCTCTAAATCGTACCTGACGAGCCCCACCCCCACCTCACCTCTGTACTATGTTCTCAAACACTTAGTGGCAACGTCATACATACGGATACAAATACAAATGCAAGCCAGATCTTTCTCGGCCATGCCTACAACATTTCTACCTCTCCTCTGTTTACTGCGACCCTTCTCTGGCCTCCATCGCGCCTTCGACGTTGATCAGACCGTACCGGATGCGTATCTGTATTATACAAGTGACTGAAGCAAGATTCCAGAGCACAAAGGGTCGCAATGCCTGATCCTCGCGTCTTTATCATTCGCCATGGCGAAACAGAATGGTCCCTCAACGGGCGACATACTGGGATTTCGGATATCCCACTCACCGCAAATGGCGAGAAGCGTATTCTCGCTACGGGCAAAGCACTGGTCGGCGATGATCGCTTGATCGTACCTGGAAACTTGGCACACATGTACGAATCATCACTTTGTTTCCCCAATGCTTACAGGTCGCTCAAAGAGAAAGGAGAGAAGGGTAGAATCCGTGCTCATAGAACAAACAACATAGTTATGTGTCCCCCCGCACCCGCGCAAAACGAACCCTCGAACTTCTTGATCTAGGCTGTCGCGACCGCTTCCCCTGGTCCTCCGCACTCCCCTCTCTTAGCCCCCGCACAAACGCCTCGATTCAAGTCTGCGAGGCAATCCGCGAATGGGACTACGGCGCCTACGAGGGAAAAACTTCGCCGCAGATCCGCAAAGAGCGGAAAGAAAGGGGGTTGCACGAGGACTGGGACATTTGGCGCGATGGTTGTGAGGGCGGGGAAATGCCTGGGGATGTGGAGGCGAGGCTGGATGGGTTGATCAGGGAGATTAGGAACAAGTTTCATAGAGGTAGGTTGGAGGATGAGGGGATGAAGACAACGAGAGCTAATGAGTGAGGCTTGTAGGACGATTTGGATCGGACAACAAACCAAGCGACGTCCTTATCGTTGCGCATGGACATGTATTACGATCTTTTGCAGCACGTTGGGTCGGAAAACCGTTGCGAGATAACCCCAGCTTGATTCTCGAGGCTGGAGGTGTGGGCACGCTGAGCTATGAACACCATAACGTGGAGGAGCCGGCCATCTTGCTAGGTGGTGCGTTTGTTGTGGATGTTGTGGAAAAGGAAAGACAGAAGAAGTAGGGGATGATAGACACTCAGATACCCAGTTGACAAATCACATGTGAGAAGCAAAGCGGACAATTGGTATCCTCAGCAATTGTTGTATTATTGTCTCGTATGCAGATTACGCATTAGTCGAAGGATACGATTCGCACACCACACAACGTCTTCGGCGGCCCAGATCTGTCCATTCGCCTTGTACGAGTCGTCCCATCGTCATGCCGCTATGTTCCTGGCTGTTTTCTGTCGGCCATCTTTCACGTCATCAATGTTTGCAAATCCAATCTCGTCATTCCCATCATCAATGTCCTTTTCATCCGCCCATATATCACCCAACCTATACTTCAACCGCTCAAACCAGCTCTCTGCAAATCCAAGCTCGTTTGTCTGGCCTTCTTCCTTAGCGTCTCTTCGTTCTTGCTTGCCCACAGCACAATATCTCTAGCCGCAAACGCATTCATCAATACATCCCGGCCATATTCCGGATCATCCTTGAGCTCTGTATCAAAGAGCTGCTTGCACATACTGTCTAGGCCCAACTGCATCTTGTTCAGTGGCCCGTTGGCTGCCTTCTCGTAGACCTTGGCGACATCAATGGCTTGGCCGTGAATCATGCGCAGCGCGTCGAGATCGGAACGTAGACGGTGCCCCACGAGGATTGTATCTTTGTCGATGAATTGGTGGAGAGCTGAGCGAACAGCAGACCAGCCTCTGAAAACCTTATAACCGTAGGAGCGCGCCCGTTCCATGTCACGCCAGGCGAAAAGGCCAGTAGATGCGGAGTGCCAGTCTGCGACAGCTGCATTTGGTGAAGTGCATACTAGATGATTCATCAGGATGCGACCGCTGACGACATCCACAGCAGCGACCTTGACGACCTCCTGGGCGCCATCTGCGAGAATGACTTTGCTACAGGCTAGGGCGACAGCACCGAGACCAGGCTTCATACTGTCGCGGGCGGGTGACTTCTGAAAATCTTCAGAATGATATGCGTACTGGTACTCCTCGCTGAAGGCTTTGGGGAAGGGCGCATATTCGTCTTGAAGAGATTTTGGCAGATGAACCATGCTCTCGATTGTACCGACGACCTCAGATTGTACGTACATTCTAACGCGTATCCAATCAATACCGCACGCTCTCAATTTGCCATAGTTTGTAATGTAGATGTCGGATTGGATCAGGAGACGCAGAATCTTGCCTTGGATCAATTTAGCCTGCTCCATCTCAGCCGGTCCGCCGGCGTTTGTACAAATCGGCATAGCGGGGCCAGGAGGAGGCGGCCTAGGATGGACGTGAACCTGATGCACTTGGGCCAGTGCTGTGGTCGCCACTCCAGGTCCTGTGGCAACACAACGTCTGGCGTGAAGAGGTCGACGACTTCCTCGACCACGAATAGTCCCTGGAGATACTCTCAAAAGTGCCTCGGCTCGCAATCGGTCTTGCTCTCGCTCTCGATTCCCCAGCGTCCATGAATCGCGGCTATGAAGATCAAGATTTTGGCTTGCTATGCCGTGTACGTCGCCGTCGTGGGCTTTCAAAGCCAGTTCCGATTTGAAGGACTTTGCACAGCCACGCTTCTGGCAAGAGAATGGCTTCTCACTTTGGGTGGCAGTGCCAGGGCGAAACATGGAGTTCCGAGCTTGGCTCACCGCTTCGGACCCTATGTGAATGACAGGCATACGGTGTTGGACCATCGGCTTGGTCTTGATAATGCCATTCTGTATGAGTATTAGATTACTGCCAACAGTATCTCTAGCTATTGGAGCAGATACCTGGACTTCTTGGGTTTGATATAGTGGACATGACATGGCGGTCGCGATTGTTTCAGAGGATTCTGTGGTTATTGCCAGGGAGGTGGTGATAGACCCACTAGCAGACTGACATGCAAGAAAGTGATTATTGAACTTTCCCAAAGACCTGAATGACTTGTGGCAAATGTCACATTTGGTTCCATCATCGCTCATGTTCGCGGCCTCCGAGGCAAGCGTGGCAACATCTTCGCGTCCAAGTGCTGCGTCCTGGACCGGCTGTAGTGTCGGTTTGTCGTGTTCAACGTACACTGGCGGCGGAGAGGGCTTCGTGGGGGTGGTCTTGTTATTTATGAAGTCAGCACATGTCCCACTGGGCCAACTGCGGTGAATCATGTATTCTTTCTGGGAAGTGAAGTCGTTCGAGCACCTATCACAAGTGATGGCCACAGCGGTGCCGATATCACTCAATGGACTAGGATGTTCGGAGCTCCGCTGATGCGCCTCGAGCGCGAGCTGGTCATCGAACGGCCATTTGCACACCGGGCAGTACATGACTGGGGGTAGGATGTCGGGGTGATGAGCAATGTGGCGTTTCAAGTCGGCTTTGGAATTAAACGAGTCGTCGCATAAGCCGCAGTGGTAAGGCATGGCGGGGGTGAGACAATGTGAGTGGAGAGGAAAGGATTGTTACTTTTTCCCCATGTTTGTCCCTATGACAGCGAGAGGAAGGTACGTGGTGAGCTTGGACCCAATCCAACGACGATGGCGGGCGGTCTCTACAGTGGAAGTTGCGAACAGGTAGGTACCACTGAGCCAGTACAACAACAAAGGCATACCGGTGCCTTCTCGGGCGACCAGACCTCGTGAGAGGGTGCTGGTAGAGTAAAAGGTTTTCTGTTTCCATCCAGCTTCGACTGGGGTTTCCTAGGCACACCTGGGTAGACTGACATGACGCTCACTGCCCAAGTGGAGTGTATGATGGTCCGAATCTGTTCAAACTACGTTTGTTCAGACAACCGTCCGCACGCAGAAATGGAGCATACATGAACCCCTCTCCACCCTTGCCAACCTAATCAAATCCTCTCTTTCCATTCCATGTTCAAGATGGGCACGAGACACGTCACAGCCTTGCCACGGTGGTGGCCTATAGATGTTGGGTGACGCATATACGATTGGGCCTGTATGTTGCCTATAGGCAGCAGTGAGTCATGCCTTCTTGATATCTCCTCGTCAGAGACAACCGGGTACAACCGTGCTTTCCTCTTAGTTGATGGGTAGGTGGCATCTCCATTCTATGGGCCGAAGTTGCGGCAAGCTGATCACATTGGTAATGCAAATTTTCCGGTCTAGGCGAGTTATCTACGGGAGAGGATCAGGGAGTGATTCTTCTGCCTGCAGCGATGATGTCTAGCTGCGGAGGGGGAACCTAGGCAGATGATCAGCCATATCGAGGCTGTCGGTAGCGTAGTGTACATGGAATAGGGTAGAGTAGGGAAGGCTAGGTACCGACCCGTACAACGATGGTGACTCAGCTTAGTCCAAGAGTCTGCCCAGCATACTACTAGCCGGAACAGCCAAAGTCGGCATCCGGTACCAGAGCGAATTGGCACCTGGAGCCTCCACATGACTCACCGACGATTTGGGACCTTGGCGTACGATGGTGTTACCGATGATGGCAAGCTTTACACGCCTTTGTGTGTGTGTGTGTGTGTGTGTGTAAGGTAGATATGTAAATACATAGTAAAGGCAGTTTGTGGCTGCCTGTTCCAGGCTTCTTTTTTGGGGAGCATATCCGCTGAGTTACAGCGTACGTGCACACGAGCCGAGCGAGGGCGTATTGTACCTACTTCTGTGTACTCTATTGTATGTACTTGTACCATACACAGTACAGCCAATGCACAGTTGGGTCCACCTCTCGGGTGCTCAGGTGCCTAGGCGGTTTCTACGTCACCAGACGCCAACATGTTCCTCTCAAGCCCTCCAGCTCTGGAAGCCCTATTTACGTCATCACAGCGATCAGAGGCATACTGCGATGCATTTTGCTTGGATAGACGCAAATACGGTACATGGTGTGCAGATAGGTGGTGGATGGTAGATGGTAGCTGAAGGTGTACGGTAGATGAAGTGTTGTCGCAGGCTGATGAAGTGTTGTCGCGGCATCGAGGCCTGCTCGCGAAGACTCTATATAGGTTCCGGTACGCTACTACCTATGTACTGTGTCCTGTACCTACAGCACCTACAGTACTTACCTACATCTGGCCAACACGTGCATAGCCATGGCAGCGGCAAGAGAGAGAGAGAGAGAGAGAGACAGAGCGAGACAGAAAGAGGTTGACACGGGCTGTGTGCGGCGTCTATTAGCTACGTATGTACTGGTAATTGCCCCTCCCATCCCACCCCCTTTTGTCCAGAGGCCAATAGCAGCACAGGCAATGACGGAGGTGTGACTAGTACCGCAAGTGGCCAACTGTCAACTGCCATGTACGGTATGCATGCCATGTACCTAGGGTACAGTGTTTACTTACCCATGTATGGCAACGACTACGATGTTTGCCTGCTGCATGTCTGTAGAGTAGCCTATGTGATCGGAAGAGTACGCCTACTATATCGTGTTAGAGGTAAAGACAACTAGAGACGAAAGTAGACACGTCCAAACGCCTTGTGTCGCAGCAGATGATGCGCCATGCGCCATGGGCCTGTCGCAATAGCTGGCCGCTGCGGCGCACGCGAACCGCCGCAGCAAGGTCCCAAGGGTTGCAGGTGTACATAGGTAGACTACGTAGTAAGTGACTGTTGAACACTCCCCTCGCCAGCCCGCTGCGCCGTGTTTGGTTGCAAAGCGGGCGGGCTGTACCAGTTGGCAGCATCTAGAGTACCCTACCGTATCTACCAGTGCCACGGTAGGAGTAGGTACAGTGTACTCTAGAGGATTTGCTTTGCTCTGTACATCCTACCTGCCTGCCCTGCCTGCTCACCTACCTACTACTCCTAGAGTACTCTGCGCTATTACTGCCTATGACTGCCTACTAGGTTGGCTCGGTTATCCTCAAAAACACGCAACAAAGAGACCACGTAGCCAAAGTGGCATCCGCGCAACCGCGAGATGCGAGATACGTCTGCTGCAAACAGAATGTACAACGCTCTACACAGACGACAGTACACAGACTTTTTGGTCCCTCGGCTTCACCTCTTTGCGCAGCGCATAAAAGAGATGGGTCGAATAAGCGTTGGGATGAGGCAAGAATATGAACAGCTAATAAAAAAACTAAACTAAAACAAAAAAAAATGCAAGGCGTTGGCAAGGTGGCTGCCCCCGATGAGTCTTCAGTTGTGGCAATGAGAAGGGGTCTGTGCACCGTTGAGATGACTGGTGATACCTAGGCTAGGTGGAGTACTGGCCACTTGGGGCGTTTGCTTGGTGGGAGGGGTTGAGAGGGGGGGGGGGGCGGCGGCGGTGGCGGCGTCGGCGCGCTGTTACGCTGGGAGCCCTGGAGTGGTGCGACTTTATTAGTATCGCCATGTCCGCCCAGCCTGTTCATCCTCACCAAGAACGCAGCAATGGACTTTACGATACCCCCCCGCCGCGAGCCCATGGCCCTCATCTAGGACTGTCGCTCCCTCGCCCATCTGTATCGCAATCTACCGGTTGCCTGCCGTCTTGCCATATCATCCAATCCAAACCTTCCCCCTCCCCCGTTTCGTCTTTGTCCAGGTAACAGCCCAGCACGACCTCTGTCGCCGCCGCACTGCCGCCTGCCGCATACCCTCCGACTCATCCCTCGGTTTCCAGTCACCCATCCGACCAGCGACCAGCGACCAGCGACGACCAGACTCATCCCTCTACTCTGTAGTAACAACATCCTCTTCTGGACCTGCGTTGCGACCGTTTCCCATACTTGTTCGCCCCTTCCGCCTTTACCGCTTTCCCGCCGACCGCCACTTCGTCCCCAACACGTCAGCCCCTACACCCGACATCTGCAAACACCCCCCATATGCGCGCCAACGACCAATAATCTTCCACTTATACGAACAAAAAAAAAACGCCCCTCTCTCTTCCCCCTCTTACGACAAACGCCTACACCTTTTACGCGCAGTTCCCTATTTCCCTTCAAGCAAATAGACGAGGTGGTTCGCCTTGGCAATACCGCCCAAAGGTCATCACCTTGTTCGAACAAACTTCACACGTCCTACTCTACAACACAATATGTACCACTCGGCCTACACTGCTCCAGTCACACGTCACTCAGTCATCACCTTCTCTACCGGAAACAAGGCCTTCGCTACAGGAGGCTTCGCTTGCTAGATCCCCGCATTTCCTCGGAACTTCCAGTCTTTGCGACAGCCTTGCTGTTCCTGTGACTGTAATTCTACGAGTGCTTTGCGGACGGTCTCGACGGTGCTGTTTCGGTGATATTGTAATTGACGGTGACTGGAGGTAATCTCTAGTCCGCATCTGGCAGTCTTCGACCATTGGACACTGCGTGGACATCGCTTCCACCTGCGACTTCGTCAAATCTCCCCTTGAACTCCTACGCATCTCCTCTCGACTTTGCAATCTGCTCACCCAGCCTGTTTCAGATAGTCTCATCGCTTCGATTGCGCCTTCGTCACATACGTGACAACGACCACATCGCCGAGACAAACTCGGACCATCAAAGAGCAGCAGATTGAGGAGATTTAGAGCTCACAAAAGATACATTAGAGCCATAGGGTCCAAGCTCGTACGGTTCGTCTTCTTGGTACACTCTACGGTCACACCACGACCACTCCACGCTCTGCGCCACATCTCCAGGTCTACCTAACGGTTAGCACTTTGAGACGTAACGCCATAGTAAAGTCACCTCATCTCACCACTCACTGCTTATTTTCTACTTTTTTCTACCCTAGCGCCTCTCTCTCTCTCCCTTCTTCTGTATACTTCGTCTTTTCATCATGGGTCTCGACATCCCCCACACCTTTAGCTCCATACCGGAGTATCATCCATATGCTCATACCCTTTCCTCTTCTGCTTCCTCTTCTGCTTCTTCCGTTCTTTCAGATGCTACCTCGTCTTCTACCTCGTCTTCTAATTCGTCTGTCTTATCAGACGCAGTATCCCAGGCGTCGAGCTTGAGCTCTACCTCCTCACTTTCCAGCTGGGAACCCGAAGAATGGAGTTCCAGGATACGAGCCATCCCGGTCTCCAATGTGGAGCCTGAGAGCTTGTCTGGTCTCTGGCCAATCACCCGGGTTCAGACATACCCTCCGTATCATCAACCTTCAGCGTGCAGGGAGACTGCTCAAGAAACCTTGCCATCTCTCCGTGCTGAGTTTCCAGCTCCAGCGGGATCGCGTCAGCATCCCCGACGTTCGTCTGCAACCATCCAGCAACAACCTCCTCAATTGGTTCGACAATGCGACCGAAAGGTCAATTTCGTCGACTGCCTCGTCGGTTAGTACACCCTTTCTCCGGACTCTGGTTCACCCACTGATGTATTCACCAAGACTCTGCCTCTCAAATGGTCGAAGTGATTTGGCAGCTCTCTGAGCCAAAGAGCCGTTGTGAGAATGCTTCTGGACGTGGTGTGCTGCCTCTCCGCACCTTTATTCAGGAGACGCTGCGTCGATCTCGGACCAGCTACTCTACGTTGCAAGTCGCATTGTACTACTTGATACTTATCAAGCCTCACTTACCAAAGCATGATTTTACCATGTCTCAACCCGAAGATGCTTCTCTTCGTGCATTGCAATGTGGTCGTCGCATGTTCCTTGCGGCGTTGATCCTCGCATCCAAGTATTTGCAAGATCGCAACTACTCGGCTCGCGCGTGGAGCAAAATTTCGGGCCTCAAGGTCTGTGAAATCAACACCAACGAGATGGCCTTTCTTGAAGCCGTCAACTGGAAGCTGCATATTGTCGACTCCATTTGGGAGAAGTGGCAAGAGGTTGTCCTTCGACATACTCCCACCAACCCACCAGCGTCGCCTGGAGCAAGCATTCCCAACACTTGGAAAAATGTCATCCCTATCTTGACTCCAGAGTTGGATGTGATCGAGCTGGCTCCCAAGACGCCCATCCGTCCTCAACTGCTAAGGCCACAGCCATGTGCCTCTCCCCTCCGTTATCCATCTTCGGATGATTTCGGATCGCAGCAGAGTACGCCAACTCCCTCCCGCTACCAAGTGCCTCGCTTCTTGGAACCGAAGCCTGACCTGCTTCCGTCCACCCCAGCTTTACCATCATTGGCTCGTCTGGGCCCACTGCCTACACCACACTTGACTCCTCAATCCTTGACCAGCAACACTCCTGCCGCGAGTGTCATGGCCTATGGATCGATGCGCCCAGCGATGTCAATGTGTTCAGCCATGCAACAAGCCCAGTGCTCGTCCTTGGCTCGGACGTGTGTGGACCAGATGAAACCAAGCGTTAGGAATGGATTGGAGGCTTATCACTGGCCCACACGGCGACCTTCGTTGGCACCCTCGAGCGCTTCATTCTCATCATCTCCGGAATCTATGATCTCGGACAACTCGCGATCTTCCCGTGCTTCTTCAATCTCGTCAGTCTCCTCTGCTGGCTGGGCGCCAAACCACAGTCAGGCCAAGTTGGCCCGGCTGGCGACCTGCCGTAGGGCGAGACTGTCCTATACAACCTTGTCGAAGTGCAGGGAGCAAGCTGAGTATGCTCCAAGCGAGGCCTTGTCCTCGCCTGATCTTGACAGTTTTCACATTGATGAGTCGGATAGTTCGCCTTCAAAAGCCGACTGCAGAACCGTCAAGTCTGCAGGTCGCAAGCGTGGCAGATCCTCGGTTGATCTCCAACAGAATGTTCGTCATTTGCTACACACTACTCGGTCTGCATTCAATCTGCGCGGAGCGCAAACCGTGCTGCCTGATCGTTCAGCCTCGCAGTCGCTCCTCTTTGCAGGCAGTGAACTCAAAGGATGGCAATCCCCGAAAAACACTGTACCCGACTACTCACGTCGCCCTGTGCAAAAGGACTTTGGCAAAAAAAGGTCATGCTGCAGTACTGAGGCTATCCAAGCATTCCGACCCCGAGGCCCTGGCATGTGGGAAGGTATCTTATGATCACAGGCACATCTACAATCATTAGTGCAATGTACGTAATGTCCAAGAGCAGGGGCAAGAAAGAGAAGGACAAGAAGCCACGCGCCTTCCTACGCATAAATACTAACACCACAATGCTCCATGTATATTCTCCTTTATTGTCTCTTGTATTGTCTTCTGTTGTCTTGCAGATCTCTCCTATACTAGTTACGCTCGATATACCTAATTCTGGTATTTTCCTGCCTGGCGTTGTCATGTTTCTTCTTGTTAGTGGCGTCTTGACGGGCTCGAGTTCGAGCTATATGGTCCGGGTCGGATACCTTGCTTTGCGGTCAGGTGCATTGCGCGGTTATGGATCCTATTGCCCGTGGATGGGTGGGGTGGAGTTGCTGTCTCGGATTGGGATTGCCAAGCAATCTTTTGTCCTGGCTGGCGGGCGCCATGTACGTTAAAACAATGTGTCCAGAGAGAGGGGATGAGAATGACGCGACTATTAGTAGCTAGTGAGTAGAGTAGTAAGAGAACAAGTTCTTGTCGCATGTGTTGTGTAGTTCAAGCTTCAAGTCCTTTTCTAGCATAATATGTCACCCTAGCTGTAAGCAACTATTTACTTTGTTACAGAACTTTTAATAATAGATATATGTATATACCTAGTAGCTTGTATAGCAAACGCTATAGTAGATAAATCTATCCCTCTATACTATCCTAGTCTGCTTCTCTTATTAGGAAAACTTTAAGAATTAAAAAAGTACTTATAGTAATAGTACGCTTTAAGGTATAGTATATGCATTAAATATATAGTAGGGTTACTAGGGTAGTATATAAGCTATACTACACTCCTAGAATATTACCTTAATACTATAATAACGTAGGTAGGTAAGGCATCTAAAAGGTATCCTATACAACTTAAAGGCATATAGGAGTGCGCGTCTATATAGAAAAGGATAAGATTCCTACACCTA